TTGGGTGAGTTGCTGGTGGTTTGATGGATGATTCAGTGGATGGACTTTTTTGTGTGGATGGAAATTTACAGACTGGCGCGGGTAATCGATAACCGATAAGCCGCGATGGGAATTTATCGACAGCGGCGGTAAGTGGGGCCTTTTTCATTGCGGTTTGCCGGATGGGTACGTACCTACTCCCGGGGGGTCCTTTTAAGCTCACTTCAACAATGATGGCGACGTACATGACATGAAATGGTAGTAGCATAGCCTCTCTGGCAGGGTCCAAGTAGGGAGTTCTATTGATTCTTATATAGCCGACAAGTATGAGATGCTCCGCTAAATTTGCATAAACAATACTGTTACAGGCAATCAACTAGAGTGCCTCTATATGGAGTCGAGTAGTGTGTCATTCATTATATCAAACCAACAACAATACGAGCTCTTCTTTTTCTTCTTTTTCTTTTTTCGTTATTAAACTTTTTTTTCTTATTCCATTTTTTTTATTGTCAAACCGGTATTTCACACCTGTTCATTGCTTGCCCACCATGGAAACGACATGTCGGGCTGGATAGAGCCCATGCCCCAGTACGTCTGCATATTGTCGAGTGAGAAAGAGTTGAGCGAGTCGGCGCTGCACGATCCGTCGAGATCAGGCCCCGAAATCGACGGTGGACCCGGACTAGGTGGGATCTTGTGAATGGGCGTCCTGGGCTGTTTGCTGCTGTTACCGTTGATGCTGCTGCTACTGCTGCCGCTTCCCATGGGCAGCCCCAGAACCTCGCGGGCGATGGCCTGGACCTCGTGAAGATTGCTGCCGGCCTGCGACCACACGTTGGCCATGGCCTTGTGGCAGCCGATGCTCATGCGGATCTGGTCGCGCGCCACGGCGAGCTTCTGGCCGCGGAGGGTGTAGCGGCAGGCGGCGAGCAGGGAGAGCGTGCCGGTGGTGAGCATGCAGACAACAAAGGGCGTGTGGCTGCAGGGCTTCGTGGGAAGGGCGAGAAGGCCGATTTGGGCCTCGGCGGCGCGGATGCATTTGATGGTGTGGATGGAGCGGAACTCTGCATTGTCGGAGTGGGTGCCTGCTGGCGGGGGAGTTGAGCAGCTCGAGATGCATTCTAGGGCATCGAAGGCGCAGTTGGAGAATGGCCGGTGAAGGCCTACAGTTGTTCTGTGGAGAGAGATTAATATGGGGAAGAAATACATGTATATAGGGAAGGAAAGCTTACGCATGAAGAGCCATCATGGCTTGGAATATCAGCTCGTCGACCTGGCCATCTGCTGAAAAGATGTCTTTTTTGGATTCTGGTAGCAGAAGCAGCCATCCCTCAATGATGGAGTCGACAGAGTCCAGCACCCTGGGTGATGAGCCTCCCGTATCTGATGAATTTGGTGGTATCGAGAGGGCTCTACACATGGCTGATGCCATGCCACGGACGGCACCTATTAGGTAGGCAAAGGATGAAAAGACAGTATCTTCGGAGCTGAACTCGCGAGAGTTGAAGTCGTCCAATGTTCTTGGATGTGGGATATTCTTTGGCCAGTCGTTAGCAACGATGTTTGTGTTAAGAATATCAAATGCAATTACTTACTCCTTCCTCATACTCTTCTTCTTCGCACGGAAGATCTGTCGTGGCGTCGACGGAAAACGTGGCAAAGCCAGCGTTGCGCTTGATGGCAGAGTAATACGCATCAATCATGTACACCTGCCACCATGTGCGCCGCCAGGATTCCTCTAGAACCGCATCTCCTTCTCCGTGGTCTACGGCAAATTCACGGCGATGCATTCCCACGTCGAGCGCGAGTTGGATTGCCGTGTCTATGTGGTGTCTTGACTTGGCCGTGTTGCCGCGCCAGTACATGCTGGCGGAGAAGATGGTGTGGCACTGAACCATGAAGAAGTTGCACGACGTTGTTGGCGTCTGGGCAATGGTTGAGGATGCGAGCTCTTCCAACTCTAGGCATTTTTGCCGTAGTGATGGCTGATGGCTGCTTAGGTAGATGCTGCCGATGAAGCGCATCACGTATACCAGTGGCCGTAGCTCATCTTGCCGAATCGGGTCTTGCAAATAGCGCTCTAGGAACCGGCGAGGAAGTACACAAGGGTGATAGCGGTGGAAGCAGTTGTAATAGACGTCTATGAAGGCGTCCCTGGTGATGTCGACAGATTGCAGGTCCGTCGACGGCAGCACAACGCTGGAAGTAGACCAAGAATCGTCTGGAGGGGTGTACAGGCTGGGATCGATGGCCGGCTGCTGCGGAACCAGACCAGATGGCAGGACGTTGTTGAGGTGAGACACGGAATGAGACCGAGCCTCATTGCGTCTCATCACGGCCTCACCACTGAAGCCTCCGTCGATGCTCCCGGCGGGCGAGAGCTGGCCGTTGTTCCTTGCGGCAGCCAGAGCGGCTTGGTTTCGGCGAGCAGCCAGTGCAGCTCGATCAAGACCGCCGCGTCTCGACTTTGCATAGCTGCATTCCTTGTCCTCCTCGATGCAGCGAGCACATCGCGGCTTCTTTGCGTCACAGCGGACGTGCCGGGTTCGACAGGGCAGACAAGCTAGTGACACTCGGCTGCCGGAGGACGGTTTAGGGGAGCCGCCCTTGCCGGCCGAGAGTTCAGAGTCCGGATCCATGGGTTGAGTTGTGTGTGTGCTTTGTGAGTATGTAGTTGGTTGGCTTGTGAGTGAGCGGCTTCCCGCAGGCTCTCTCTCAGCGTCTCTTTCTCAGTGTTGCGGCAACCTGATGCCGCTGGATCGATGATTGATAATCGGCTGGACCCCTAAAAACGGTGGGGGATATCCACGACAATGCGGGCAGCAATCTCGCTGGCAATACGTGAGTCCACGAGGCTCTTGGAGTTTCCAGGGGGCATGAGGAGGGCAATTGGTGAATTGCAGGCTCGGGGCTCAGCGCGTTGTATACCGTTTTGGACCCCGCGGGTATCCGGCTCGGGTATCCGCCACATCGGATACCCGCCGGTTCGATTCAAGCTTATACCAGGCCCGTCCGGAGATGCAAAATCTCACCCGCACGTTCGACGCCGCATCTTTTTGCCTCGTAAAACTCTGTGGCTAATTTGCAAAGAGTGGGAATGCTCTTTGGGAAGCGATTGGAAGGGATAATTATTGGCCTTTTTTGCTTTAGAATGACGGGGACCCCGGCTGCGAATATAGCGCATGATCAACCCCGTATCAGGACTCTGACACTGTATGTGATGCATGGCACTAGGATACGCGAAGAAGCTGGTCTAGGAAGCAGCTCGGACGAAATAGAAGAACTTGGTTTTAAGCTCGTTTAAAGTCTCTTTCTAGTGCTTACGTGGATTGGTTGCGGTTTACGAAGAGAATAGTCCGCATAGAGACTCTTTGCAAGATAAGCAAGTTGAGAACAGTAAGTCGTGTCTTTTCGCTCAACTTGGGTGGGCTTTGACATGAGTTGCCGCCGTTGCTTCAGTATGTAAGGACCTACCTACATGAGCATAATGTAAGCAGCCACGCAAAACATTGCCGCAAAGGTAAAATAACAGACTCTACGACATGCCCTATTCTATAGAGTATAAAGAGAGAGGTTGGCAGTCTCATCGTGCGTGACAAATCTCTCCCTCCTTCTCTGTGTCTTACTCACCTGCTGCAAGTTGACTCGTCCTGATACACGTAAATGCAGCCTTCTGCAGATGCTCGCCGTCCTCTCGTCCACAATGCCGTTTACGGTTACGCCAAAGCTGCCCATCCCCATTTTTCATTCCGCAAGCTAGCGTTATTCTTATCTTGTTGTCAAATGCTCAACTTGGCACAACCGCTGCGTTCAGTGGCGATGATCCCCGGGTTGCATGGTGGAGATTGAAGATTTGAATTCCCACGAACCGGTCTTTCAGAAACAATGGCGGCGGCGCCAAACACTTGTTAACGTCTTCCTTCGTCTCGGGGACTCATGACTAAGGTGCTTTGAGTCCATCTCGTTTCAAATCGGAATCGTGACGGGATCAAGCCACCCCGGTGGCCACCCGGGTATCCGTTTTGGGAACTCGGGATAGACGACGAAGGTGGCATGGCAATGGCGGCTTTTCGACGCGCAATGCGCAACTGCGTCGTATGCTTTTTTCTCCTTCTCGGAACCGGTTTTCGTGTTTTTTTTTTTGTCTGTGTCGCCTGTCTATAATTGTGTATAAAAGGGCTAGTTGGAAGTTCTCGTTTCGTATTTCTCAAGCTTAGAAGCAAAACAACCAATGTTAACGCATCACAATAGACGCAACCTCACAACTCGTCAATACAATACAACCGCCATGGCTCAAAAGATTGTCATCATTGGCTCTGGCTTTTCCGGCCTATACAGCGCCTTAGCCGCCAGGCGACTCATTGAGGAGAACAAAGACCGTGTCGGCAATGGCATCGACGTCGTGATGGTTGCTCCTGAGCCCAAGCTCGTCACTAGGCCGCGCCTTTACGAAGCCAACGCTGCTGGCATGTCGGCCCCGCTGAGCGAACTTTTGAACGCCACGGGCGTTGGGTTTGTGAGAGGAGTTGTCGATGTGATCCGTACCAAGGACAAGCGAGTGGAGGTGGTTGATCCTACGGGTGAGCGATCGAGCATCTCGTATGATAGGCTGGTCCTGGCGGCGGGAAGTCGTGTGGTGAAGCCAAACCTCCCCGGTCTGCGCGAGCACGCCTTCAGCATCGATACCATCACCGATGCGGCAGAGCTCGAGGCCCATCTTGGACGCTTGGCGGCGCTGCCCTCGAGCCCCGAGAGAAACACCGTGGTTGTGTGTGGAGGTGGGTTCACGGGCATCGAGCTCGCCACGGAACTCCCTCGGCGCTTACGAGCAATTCTGGGGATGGCAGAGAAGGTGAGGGTCGTTGTCGTCGAAAAGGCAGATGTCATTGGCCCTGATTTGGGCGAGAACCCTCGCCCGGTTATCGCTCAGGCCCTCGGCGACCTCGAGGTTGAGACTAAACTGGGCAACGCCGTGGCCTCGATCGATGCTCGCGGCGTGGTTACGGCTTCAGGAGAGCGGATCAATGCCCTCACGGTCGTCTGGACTGCTGGAGTGGAGGCAACGCCCCTGACTCGACAGATTCCCGGCGATAAGGACAGGCAAGGACGGCTACTTGTCGACTCTGATCTTCGCGTCCCGTCAAGCCCCGATGTCTTCGCCACCGGCGACGCGGCTTCAGCTCAGACCGACGACAAGGGTAACCGTACGCTCATGTCGTGCCAGCACGCGATTCCGCTTGGCCGTTCCGCCGGACACAACGTTGCTGCCGATCTGCTCAAGATTCAGGGCCAGCCATACCTGCAGCCCTCGTACGGAACGTGTCTCGACCTTGGCGGCTGGGGCGCCGTCGTGTGCGATGGATGGGATCGAAAAATCTTCAAGTCAGGTGGACCGGCCAAGGAGATTAAGAACTGGATCAACAGTTGCGTGATCTACCCTCCCAAGGCGAATGCAAAGGAGGCCTTTGAAGCGGCTAACCCCATGGTGAATCAAATCTCGGTCCTTTGAAATCAAACATTCACAGATTTGTAATTCATGTGCTTTTGTTTGCCCGGGCACTGTGGTTTGGAACTGTTCAAAAGTTAGTTAAGCATTAGCAAGAAATTGTCTGCATGAGGTGCATGGCGGAGAGCGAGAAGAGGATGTTGAGAGGACTGATAGACTCAACTCATTCTAGTCATTGTGGCATGTAGCGTTAGAGTGGAGCATATAAGTAGACATTCAATAGAGATAGAGTAGAGAGAATCTGATGATGTTTGTGATTAATATTGTGCTCTTGGCGTTCGGATAGCAGTGAGTCAATACGGGTCATGTGTGTCGAAGCTGTGCAAGCAGGGGGTGATGTGGTAATTGCCCCTTTTTGTGGTGTTGACACTAGAGTAAAGTATCAGGTGCATCGGCTTCTTCTGCCTTGGCAAATATGGATGGATACCACTCATATATAACTGTCGCTTTACCTATGGAGTACCATGAGCACTATCGGAATCATCGGATCTTTTTATTCTTTTGCTCTGCTCTTTGACTCCTTTTTGGGAATCTTTATGCTGTGGGGTCACTTGCCTTTGCCACCATTTCCGAAGCATACGAGGTTAATGCCCTTCATTAAGTGCCCGATCGTATTGACTAGACAAGCCGGAGATGTCTTTTCCCCCTCATTCTTTCCAGTATTTGACATCTCTACAGGTGAAATTTGCGCTCAGTCAGTCACATAAATGAAGGATAAGCAATTATCAATCAAAGTGTATTTATAGTTGAATGGACTGGTTTTGGGGCTTGAAGACGGTCTCGCTAGCTATGAGTGCTGTGAGCCGAGAGAGCTATCCGAACCACAGCAGCTCTCGAGATTCTCTCCCCTTTGTAGCAATTGATGGGGCAGATTCGAATTTAGTCACCGGAGACCATGGTCTCATCTTCGTGTATGAATAATCCTCTATAAATGTAAAATCAGATTGCAGTATCCGGCGTTGTCTAGGTCTTTTATTTGTCTAGACTATGTAGGTGATTTTTGAAATAAGAAAGAGAACAATTGTTTCGGGCTTGAGCCTGCGATAGTGTACATGACTACTGCAGTTGTAATTCATCGAAGGCTGTAATCGAGAACACGCTGCTTTCCCCCATTTAATATATTATACTAACTATGTAATTAATATAATATACTTGATAAGATATTTTATTCTATTTAATAATATCCATATGAGCATTTATCCCTTAGGAATCTCCCTACCCGATAATATTAGATCTTGGATCCAGGGAATAGATCACCAACAAGAATTCCCTGTACAAGACTAGTGCGCGCGTATAGAATAAGCATAGGTCCTAATCATATCCTATCAGCAGTTACTTGCTCTATACTGAAAGGTGAGACTTGTCATGATTCCATTCACATAAAAGGTGAGACTTGTCATGATTCCATTCACATGAGGGCCGAGGATAATTTCACAAAATCTCATTCCCTAATCTAGGAATTATATATATCGTCGAGTGCCGGCCTGTCTCCAAGTCAAGCTGACCGCGTTTACGCATCAATCTCAATCAATCCCAAGCCACTATCACTCTATAACAATCTAAACCCTTCACGATGAAGACCACAACTTTCTTCTCGGCCACAGTCGCTGCCCTCTCAGTGCTCATCGCTCCCGCTGTTGCTGATTCGCACGCTGACTTTGTCCTCTTTCGCGGCCAAGGCTGCACCGGAAGCACCCTCACGCTAGATGAATACCTCGGCGATAATAGTGTCTCGTCCCCCTTGGGCGAAGGTTTCTCCTCGGCTAGACTCCAGAATCCCGACAGCGGCCATGCGTTCGGAGTCTGCGGTCAGGGCTTTTCATGCGGCGGAGCTCACGTCATCCTCGACACTACCAACTGCTTCCAGCTCGAGCAGTCGAATGGAAACTTGATCCATATCGACAAGACCTGCGTTGACGCTGGTTGCTTCTCCTAAGCGCCTATTGTTAGAATGGCGCTGAGACTTATAGCGCACCGGCACGAGGGGACCATCCCTTAACCACAAGTTATGGCGGAAGATATGAGGGTTTCACAAAAGTAGATAGAAATCAATGCAATGATCTCTTTGCATGAAGTCACTGGCTCGTCATGTTGAAAAGGTACCTCTGCACGCACACATACGCATAGCATAGGACTGCATGTAGAATCCTGATGCAGCCTCATTCATTTGACTCTCTAGACTGGTATGCAGCGTGTTGTAATCTTTCGAATTCCGTGATGTAACCGAGGCTTGGTAGGGTAGCTTGTAAAATATACCTTGACTTGCCATTAGAATAGTCGTCGAATTAACGGTGTTGATAACGAGGTCAGCCGTTGCGCTGTCCCTTTCACACTTACCTTTTCCCTTCCTTGCTTAATCACAGACATCGGAGATTGTATTACAGATTCAAATCATCAAATGAATACAGTAGTAACTTTCCACCTAGTGTCAGCATTTCATCTATCGTAATGCACAGAAGGGTTAGCCGTTGTAAATAATTTGTAGTAGTATTCTTAAGTCTTGTAATAAACGCCTGTGTCTGTTGCGAAACCGGAAAGCGGAAACTAGTGCTGTAATCGATCAAACTTATCGATCGAAGGGTCAGGATCATTAAGATCTGATCCATAAGCCTACTAGGTATTGATCGATATTATGTGAATGTATGTAGGTGTTAGAGGCCAGTCACAAAGGATATGCCTCCTTCTTCTTTGAGCCCGGATAGGGGCGTCTGAGTTATCAACTAGCAAGCTAGGTGGCTGAAGAGATTAAACAAAGGATATAAAAAGGAGCCGCCGACCCTTTATTCCTAGGGAGGTCAGAGATAAATACAGTCCTTTATGTAATCCTAGCTGCGTAGGCCGTGAGACTGACCGTGCCGCCTTCAACCCTGACTCTCTCACTCTTCCTTTGAGCCGCCGTTCCTGACAGTAGGTAGATATAGTGTACCTTATGGCCAAGTCTCTAGCTGCTAAAGCCGCTTCAAACAGCGGCATGCGCCAGCCAAATCGGCGGCAGTAGCAGTGCATTCTTGATTAAATCTGTAATTATGCATATTTTTGGCTGAAATCGTATTAGCAGTTGTAATCACAGTGGCTAGCCCGTAATCATGCATACCAAGCCTGTACAATAATCTGACAAATCGTAATGCTACCTATGAGAAGCCGGCCTTCTTATGCAAACGCAGCAGTTGGTTAAGTAGCTCTAATATGCTTACCGGGCTGCTGACGCTTGGTATGTGGTGACATGCATGACTGCATCACCAGATTCAATAGAAGCGTTGCATCACAACAATCTCAAAGGGACAACCAGGGAAATAGCTGGCCCATTACCGAGTGATTGACCTCGTAGTTTCACGCCATTGGACAGATAACCCCGTTCCTGGGCTTCTCTTACGTACACTTGTTCTTTTCTGAGTCTTTGAAGAGATGTTGTTTAGTGAGCTCGGAGATATTAACGGGCCATAATACACTTGATCCGGTAGATACAAGGATACGTATATGCTCGCATATATATAAACTGAAACTGAGCTGCATGATTGTTATACTCTTCAGAGGAGACCTATCTTCAGTTTATTGTAACGATCAGTGTAAGAAACTCATAAGTGCGGCCGGTATAACGCACACATAGCGTATAACTAGCTCTAAGGTACGATAGGCCTGGCGTTTCACAGACTCATTGATGATGTATTAGTAGAACTAATACTGTCATCTAGAAAAAAAATCCCAATATGGCTGAAGACCCTCTTGCTGGACTTGACGAGGACTTTCTCCTCTACGCTCAGGCCTTTACTAAAGAACTGCACCGGGATGTCTACCCTTCGATAGACCCAACAAGTCCCGCATTGTCGCAAGCGGGCAAAGTCGTAATAATCACCGGTGCAAGCAAAGGATTAGGACGAAGGGTAAAAGATCTTACCGCAATTATTGCGAAACCTAGTTGCTGATGTGTGTTTAGGGATTCGTGCCGTCCTTTGCCAAGGCGGGAGCTAAAGCAATTGTGCTTGTTGCCCGCAACTCTGCTCAGCTGCAAGAATCGGCCGAGGCGCTGACACAAGAATACCCAAACACAAAGTTCTTGCCCCTTACGTGCGATATCAAGGACGAGGCGTCTGTGAGGGCTGTGTTTCGACAGATCAAGGAGGCATTTGGGACTGCCGATGTTTTGGTGAACAATGCGGGTACCCCAGACGATGTCAAGCCTTTGCGGCACGCCAACATTGACAATCTTTGGCACGGAATTGTAAGAAACGAGTTCCATTCTTCAGGTTGAAGAATTTTGTGGACTAACACCACTCAAAGGAAGTCAACATCAAGGGCACCATTCTCATGACGCAAGAATTCCTCAATCTGGTGGGCACAACTAAAGAGGCCACCATTGTCAACTTGTCGTCCGCCATGGCATTTGTACCTCTACCTGGACAGGCCAGCTATACTCTGTCTAAACTTGCGATTGCGCAGCTGTCTGCGTTTATTGCTCTGGAGAACCCCAACGTGCGGGCCGTCAGCGTTCATCCGGGAACAGTCATGACAGACCTCTTGACTCCATCTCTCCAAAAATTTGCAAAGGACGCGCCGGAGCTAGTGGGCGGATTGTCCGTCTGGTTGACGACCAAGGATGCAGCTTTTTTGAATGGTCGATATATCACTGCAAATTGGTCTGTAGATGAGCTGGTGCGCCGTCAAGCGGAGATTGTTGATGGGAAGAAGTTGGTGATTAACCACACAGGAGAACTTGCGTACTAGTGCAAACAAGCATCTCGAGTCTTGAAATGATGAGATGAAGATGTAATTGATAGCATGCAAAAGAAATACTACTGGTCAATTACCAAGGACTCAGGAAGCCGAGTTCTCTGGAGATTCTGCTATTGAGTGCTCATCTTACCTCGCTAATTTCCCAGTATTTTGTCACAGTGCTACACGCAAACAGGGATCAAAGCGCAGCCAACCAATCACGGCATCCACAGTGAGACGCTGTTTAAGCAGTAGAAGATGCATTACAGTGACTGCCCGTGTTCCGTGTCTCCTATTTCCTGGCATGTTTCCCTCTCACAACTGAAGTGGTGCAAACTGGCATTCAGCTGTCTTGAGTGAGAGGAGATGAGTAAATATCTGGGATGGGCGCGGCGTTTGCTCCAGAATCAGTTTCCTGATTCTCTCCAATTCTTTCTGCCGAAGCCCAACCACGCGACATCCGCGCCAGGCCTGAACATGAAGAATCTCTTCACCGTCGTCATAGCGGGCTCCCAGTATTTGCTTCATCCTCAGAAACTGGTATGATCCGACGTGTCCGTCAATTGCATGTCGTCAAAATTCACTGTTTTGTTAACATTGGATGGTTATTGTTTAGGGCACAATTGAGGAGACCATCAATCCCGATGCGCTTATTCCCGTCACTCTCCTCACGACAACTGAGATCAATACGGATCTGGAGGGCATCCTGCAGTTATTTGCAACAGTAGACGATGTCTTTCAGCCTGATTTTGGTGGCATCCTGGTAGAGAAGCCTGAGAAGAACAAGACGATTGGGTTTATCCAAAATCCAGCACCCCGTAGCAGAGCTTTGTTCAGTTTGCAGCGGCCCGAGGTTGAGGCTACTGCTTTTGAAGACTTGCCTTCGGGTCCGTATTTTCTCCATGGACCAAATCTTTACCAGGCATGGAGATTGTACGATGATTTCCTGGATGCATTTACCTTTGGGGTGATTCCCAATAGTGTGAATGGTACTGACGACGGGTATGTATTGCTCAATTGGTGAAATAAGTTCAATTCCCAGGGCAGATTCGTCTGACGCGAAATTCAGGTTCGAAGCGCTCTCGTCACTCTCTGACAATGGTTCATCCAAGTCGATTGCGGTGCCATCTCGACTCTATCACGCTGCACCGTCAATTCGAAAGCCGCTTTCTGGAGTCCGCATTTCCATCACGGACGCTGCATCGCTGAAAGGTGTGCAGACAACTTTGTCGAGCCGGTCATGGTCTCAGCTGTATGGCACTGAAGCTTCTGAGACGGCAGAATTCGTCCAGAAACTAATTGACATGGGCGCCATAATCGTGGGCAAGACCAAGTCATCGCAACTGGATTCGGGGAGAGAATGGGTAGATGTGGCGGCTCCGTGGAATCCAAGAGGTGATGGCTACCAAGATTCTGGTGGAAGCGCCGCTGGTGCTGGAGCAAGTATTAGTGGCTATGACTGGATGGAATATGCCATTGCGAAAGACTGTGAGTGCAGTTATACTCTTATTGTTAATGAGAATACGTGAAGTTTGCTGATCATGAGCCTAGCTTTTGAGGGAGTTCGTGAGCAAGCGCGTGTTCATGGTGTTTACTCCATCAGAGCCTCTGCTCAGGCTGCATCTCTGCAAGGATGGAGAAATGATTCGCAGTAAGCCTTGAGAGATGAATATTTTGGGACAATATTTCTTTCTTTTCCTTTTGTGTGAGCGTTGAGACTAATTACCTGTCATTACTGCATAGGAATTATGCTGCAATTGGCTTGCTGAATCGCAACTTACACCACCTGCTCAGTATTGCTCAGCTCACATTGAACACGTCAAACGCGAACATGCCATTTCCCAAGCGCATCATATATCCTTTGGATTTTGCTTCCACCACTGAGAGTGACCAGGCTCAAGACAGTAAATTTGTCGCCATGTTGGAGCATTTCCTTGGAGTCAAAGCTGACAAGATGCGCTTATCCGATGCTTGGGACGCGCATCCGCCAAAGGAGGCCAACGGGCAAACCCTTGAAGAATACATGAAGGAGGTGTGTAAGAAATTTGCCAAGTATTAATTTCTCCGATCTCCCGTCACCTGCTAAACATGACGCAGGCTCCCTTTAGCTCCTTTTGCTCTGATTTTTATCATGAGTATGAGGACTTCCGCGGTGATTACAAAACCAAGTTTGGCCGCGAACCCTACGTTGAGGCGACACCTCGTTTTAGATGGTAAGTAGTAAGCTCACTGCATATATGCACTACAAATCCATGATCCAGGACTTGGACAGGCATGACTGCAGTAAGCAGGTCAAGAGTGTGGGTGAAGTAATGCTAAAGAGCGAGCTATCAGGGGCATCGGCGAAAACGAAACGAAGCAAGACTACACCAACCACCACGAGCGCATCGAGGTGTTCAAGAAATGGTTTGGCGACAACATCATGTCGACACTCGGGGATTCGGAGACTATCATGGTCCTCCCCTTCGGCCCTCATACAGTGCAGTATCGCGATGACTTACCACGGTGGGTTGATGACATGGTTTCTGTATATTACTTGCAGGATTCAGTGCATGCAGCTAACATCATCTAGACCGCCGACCAGAATTCATGGTATTGGCCCCCAAGTCCTCGCGCCTCTTTTAGGACTGCCGCATCTTGTTATTCCCTGTGAGCTTCTTCTCGAACACCTTGGCATCATTTCCCAATTGTCGTCCTTCCCCTTTGAGCAACGCTGTACTGACGAGACGATGAACATCACAGTCGCACAGACATCCTACCATTCGCGAGTAACCGATAAAAGCGAGAGTCGTCCGTTTACTGGCTCTATCATGGGCCCTCACGGCAGCGACATCATGATCCTTCAGCTAGCTAAGGCGGCATTAAGACGTGCGGAATGGCGGTCGCGGGTTGATACTGGGCGTTGGGCGTTTCCTCAAGGGTATAAACCGGAATAAAAATGCGCAAGATAAAGCCTAGAGATAGAAAAACGGTTGTCTACACGTGTGTGTCATGGGTTCCCGGCTAGTTTAGACGCACGGGTCCGCTAAGATGCTGTGCGATGCGATAGATCGGAAGCGAATTGGCACGTTTGAGGCGCTCAGCTGGGCTTTGACACGCTTCGCTATGCAACAGGGGCTTCGGATGTCTTGTTGCTCGTTCCATGGATGCGGGGATTGTGAGGCTGCCGCGATACCGTATTCGAGCCTGGCTGAGCGCCACAATATGTGGTTAAATGCGCAATCTCTCCACATGGTGACGCTTGTAGTTGTTGAGTTTGAGACAGTTTTCGGCGTTGATGAGGATATCCAGACACTAGAGCATGTGCGGAGAAGAGAGCCCACAGCCTGTAGAGACAATAGCCATGGGCTAAGATGAATCATCCGAGACTTGGGGGCGTCTGGATCGTGTCACCGGCGATCGACGACGATTCGCCTGTCGGCCGAAGCCGGGCTAACGAGCGGAAGCTGTGGACACGAGCCGCGGGCGGCTCCCAGTCCCAACCCTGCCAGGATGGAAGCCTACCTTAGTTGCATTGCATGGTGCAAGGATGAGGCAAGCAAACAACCCTTCGGTCGCTCTCCGTTGTCCGATGACCCTGCTCTGGGAAGCTGTTGTTGGTGGACGATAGAGAGAGAGAGAGAGCATTGACGATGGAGAAGAGCATTGGATGATAAATACTAGGGCATCGGCTTGGCTGTTTGCTAGATGCATTGGCCTCTCTGCTGCTACTTATATCGGCGGCTGGCGCTGTCTTTGCACATGTTCTCATTCCAAGTCCCGCATGGTTGACATCATCCATTTCATTTATACCATTGATAACAAAAGCACGCACTGAATGATATTTGACGACAACTACCTTATATAAAAGTGCAACCACAAACAACCAGGGGAGCGAAACACAAAACTGCCCTAGCATTGAAGCTACTACATCGGCTTCTCCCGCAAACCGCAGCCATGGCAGTTGGATCTGCCAGGGAAAAGTTCCCCAATGACCTCCTCCTAGTCCAGTTCCTCCGCTCCGCCAAGAGATGCGCCAACCAAAGACCTTATATCCATGACCATTTTGGGTATGAAAAGAGCTTTGAGGAGCTCATCGCGGACATTTTGCGCATGCGCGACCTTATGCGACAGCAATTGCCGGCGTCTGCATTCACCGAACGAGGCGTCTTTAAAGATGAAAATCCGTACGTTGCTGTGCTGACAAGGAGCGGCTATGGGTTTATCGTTGCCTTTTTTGCGACTCGAGTCCTGGGAGGAGCTCCCATTCCCTTTGGTACGTAGTAAGACAACATTAAAATTACTACTAGGAAGAGTCTAAGCTAATCAATTGTCATGGCTTTCTCCAGGATCTGGCATTCTCCCAGAAGAGGCCCGATACTTTGTCAATCGCTCCAAAGCGTCGTGTATACTTGCGGGAAACGATTGTTACGAGAAAGCCGAGCGAATTGCCTCCATCTCCAACGGCCCGACCGATTCCAAGACCATATCTATACCCATTGTGTGCGACTCAGAGCCTGTAAAAGAGATTGACGTTACCATCGATGAGACGCTCAACATGGATCCTCGGGGGCCTGGTCTGGTGATTTTCACATCTGGCACCACTGGGCCTCCAAAGGGTGCTGTTCTGCCTAGAATCTGCATGGTCTTCCAACCAGATGCGCCTGCAAACTGCCAGACTGTTTGCTTCCGCCCTCCTCACTGGCTTGGCGGTGCCATCAGCCTAGTTGAGCCCATGCTCACGGGCAAGCATGTTCATATCCTTCGGGAGCGAGCCAGTGTAGAGAATATCTGGAAAGTTTTCCGCAATAACCAGATAACAGGAACAGGATTTACACCTGGCGTCCTGCGCGAGATGAAGGAGTGGCTGGAGACTCAGAGCGAGGATGAGCAGGAAGAGTATCTCAAGGCGTTCAAAAAGATTGGTGTGATTCATTGCGCTGGCGCCATGGTCTCACCGTCAGTATTGAAGTTCTGGAAGAGCAGAACGGGATTGAACTTCAACAATGTTTACGGATCAACGGAAGTTGGAGGACTTGCAACCTTCAAGTGTCTTGATGGCACAGAGCGATCGGTATGCTCTACAATGAAGTCTCTTCTAAATGTGGTTAGTAAACTAACTAACAGTTTACAGGATGCAATCGGTGTCGCATTTCCAGGTATAAAAGTCAAACTCGCCGATGGGGACCACGGAGAGATTTGCGTCAAGAGCCCATTCATGCTAACACAGTGAGTTTGTATTAAACAAGCTGCCTGCCTAACTTTTAGAGAAAAAGAAACTCTGCTAACGAAAGCTTTCAAAGCTATATTGGCGACGAGGAAAAAACAAAAGCTGCATTTGACGACGAGGGGTATTTCAAAACGGGAGACTTTGCTGAGCTGAAAGACGGGGAATACATTTTCTCTGGCCGCGCCAACACCGACTGTATGACCTTTTCCCACAAATTACTCCTCCTCTATTCAAACCTCTTTTTCCTATGGATCCCTAGTTGCTGATTAGTATCTTCCTAGACATCTTGTTTCGCCACTATCGCATTCCTAGCGTCCAGGTAGAGGTCGCACTTACAGCTCTCCCTTATGTGACCGAAGCCTGCGTCCTAGGCGTGCCGGACCACGAAGCAAAACAAATATGCGCCGCCGTTGTACGCCTCACTCGCGAGCAGGAGAAGTTGCAGAGCAGACATGGCGAACGAATCATCGACCTCGCTCGCCTCCGTGCCGACATGAACGAGACATTGCCGAAATATATGCTTCCCGTGCTGGTCAAGATTCTTGGCCCTGGAGAAGAGATGCCGCAGACGGTGTCACATAAACCTATCAAAAACCAAATTATTAAGAAATGCTTTGGAGTGGAGAAGTCGTGGTCTGCTGAGAATTCCATCCCTGGGGTTGAGTATTGGGGCAGCATGCCTGCTCCTGAAGAGGCAGACACGAAGCTGTGGGATTGGCTTGGCTTACAACGAGCTGATTTCAAGGCCGAGGCGTAAGAAAACGAAAACGAAACCGAAACCGAAATCGAAATCGAAATCGAAATCGAAATCGAAATCGAAATAAAAAACAAAAACAAAAACAGAAAAGAAAAACGACGAGGAAAAAGAAGAAAGAAATAAGAAATAAGAAATATGTCGCATGGTCTCGCCATGCGACGAAGAGCCCGAAGATGGTGTGTTCTGTTGTAGCTTCAATGACTCTGGCGTTGGTATCTGTATATGTGTCCGAGCATATGTATGATGGCGCATTTGGTGATTTACGACTGTTGTATTGTTAGCTTCAATCCCCGGCAGGTATATGTATGTATGTTTTGAGATGATGATGATAAGATGATATGACGACATGATCGATCAGACTTACACGAATTAAAGGTATTTCGGATGCATGTAATTAATCGCAAGCTAGCTTCCTAAAGCCTTGTGTTCTTTTCGTTCCTTTCCTTGGCTTTCTTCTCCCAGTCCCAGGTTTCGTGCCTGTGGGGGGTGTTCAAATATTGGGTCATGGCGTATCCTTGAGGGGGTTTGCTGTTTCATGATCAGAAATGTCACGTTTTGATGTGGTATTCTGATCGAAATCATACCTTTGGCCTTGTCTGTGCGATCGCAAAATTAGTGATGTCGAGCTTTTAGCGTTCCTTATTGTTCCTGATCTTACCTTGTCGATCCCTGGCCCTGACCCTGGCCGTATCCGTTGGCGGGCCGGGTGCTAGAGCCCCGTCTCGGGTCGTAGTTGTAGTCGGAAGGAGCCCGTCCAGACATGATTGCTGAAAAGAGTAGAGAGACTTGTGTTGAACAATACGGTAGGCCAAACAGCTGAGACGGTTGGTTCTATAGAAGACCGTATCTAGTTGTTGGATCAAAGATTCGGATCAAATCTTAGCTTTTATTGGATGGGTGGTAGCTCAGTAAAATATGCACAACGTTATTATTGAAGAGGAAGATTGATATCGTTTATAGTATAAGAGGCCTGGTTTTAGAGGCATGTATGATGGCTTTAATACATGTGTTCTAGATCTCAATCTCTATCTACACACCTGTGAGGCCTCTCTAAATTACCATGGCCTGGATCGTTCTTTCCACTTGATCAGTCCAGGTGATACATTTCAATTTGTTTGAAAGCCTTTTTCATCGTTTCTGTGCCAATAGCAAAATGAATACCACCGAGAGACAGGAACGAACTAGGGCGGTGCAAGTGGCTTCGCGAAAAGTCTACTATTATCTGTTTTCAAGGCGAAAGCGCTAGGGAACTGCGCTTATGCTTTTTAACACAATGCTCGACTATATTTCGGTGTATTATTGGCCTTGACTGCCGATCTTTAAGTCGGTGTGTAAGGTGAGGGTAGCGGTGAAGATGAAAAGAGTATCATCCGAGTATTGTCTTCCATCACCTGCCGCTTGCTTTATGCCTGGCAATGCAAAAGTGTGGCTGTGAATTCGTCATGGATGATTGAACCGACTGTCGTTCGTATGTGTGCCTGGCTAAGTGCAACCCCATCTCCACCTTCATTCAGGTACCCGGGCGGCAAATTCTATGAGGTGGGTGGGAAAAAATAAAGAATTCGTTATTAGGTCGGTTCCAGAAGCCAGAAGTCAACGTCATAAGCCACACTTTTGGTGCCTGGCGCTGAATTGTGAGGTGAACCTGGTGGCAGCCTGGTCAAAACGAGGCGTTGCTACCACGAGGCGTTCGACAAGTGCCATAAGGCGTCTACCAAGGCTTGCCGGCCTTTTGTGAGACGCGCACTCAGAATTCTAAAATGACGGCTTTTGGAGGCCTTCGGACCATTGTTCGAGTAAAATTTTTATATTCTTACGTAGGTTCATTCATTAATATTGCCGTCATCCAAAAAGTGGGCGGCCGTAAGATAACCGTATGTCTATGTGTCTAGTGTCAGCCCAACTGCCTGGCGTCTCGAATTCACCAAAACTCAACATTTGTAACCGCATATTCCCAATTTTTTCATTCTAAAGGATTTTATGAATATACACTAGTATCTAGTCTGTCACACGAAGAGCAAAACTCCACATCCCGATGCATCGGCAATCAATGCATGCACAGAGATTCGCGTGAGACATCCATAACGTGACATCCCAACATCCCAATCATAACAGTCAAGCGAAGTCATCTAAGCATGTCATTGATATACATAGGTAGAAGCTATTATCATACACGGATGTTTAGGCATCCCGGCAACCATCCGTCATGGTACGGATAGCATACACTCATTTCGCAACACGAAGTAATACATGTATGTCAAAGATTCATGGCCAACCAGCCAATATCATATATGCTTTTAGATAATTGCCACAGCCTTGCCCCGCGCCTAATATCTAACCTATAGCTATACCCGATCTCCGATCTCGTTAGGGCTATCTCTGGGGCGAACTTCTCGCCAGGCTTGGAACGTCACTGCCAGATTGACCAGGTATCTACCTAGAGGGGCAAAATATAGTTTCTAATGTGAGTAATGAGCTTGGGATCGTATGGTAGAAAGGCTCGGGACCGCATCGGAGAATTGCCCAGTTCACAACTGCAAGACAGTGTACGAAATCGACCTTGGATATAAGCACATATAAATACTTTTCTGGAACAGTATGTAATAATATAGGGTAGCCTTTGAGTTTAGCCCAAAAAGTCATCAATTACGGATCTTCAATCTGCAAAACTAGAGAAACATTCTAGGGTTATAATACTTGCTCAGGTCTGCGCGCCTATGATAATATTATATTGATTAAATTTATCCAGCTTTCATCTCAATTGGCAGCGATACTTCTTAATCACCAGGAATTTGAGCTAAATGGGAGCGAATGACCGCGAATCACATTTTCTTGTGCAATGTTGAACAAGTTGGTGTTTGCCCATTGCAAGGTATAGAATTGAAGACGGCTATTGTCCTTTCGGGATAAGAAACAAATGATGCAAGTAACTGCTATAGTCATATGCATTCTAATACACAATTGCAGCTTTTCCTTCTACGACACTAATTTCATGCATCAAGACCGTGATATATTCTCTTCTAACGAGCCTTCCGCTTCACACCAGCAATTATTAACAGAAGAAGAACCAAATGTCATAGATAGGAATAGGGACGAATTCTGGGTTGATGATAGAGCTGCTCAAGTGACTCGCTATCGTGGGCAAAAGCGATGAGATGCACAACTTACATTAGCTTTCTAACCTGATTCCAAATGATTCCAAATGTAGCTTATGCATCCTAATGCTCGGCCAGAGACTGTATGCCAGACTGCATCTCATTTGATCGACATCTCACGCTGACCGGCAGATCCCGTATTAAACGACATGTCATTGCGCTACAGCTTCACAACCACATCAGAAGCTCCCTTACTTCTGTAATGGTGCTAGTGCTTATAAAGATATACCTATGTTGACTTAACATTGCAACCCAAGAGGGAAATCCCCGTGTCCATCATGCACTCCCGCAAAGACTTACCTCGAAAAAATGGGGTTTGTATCTTTGGGTCTTTATTTCGGGTTCGGGTCGTCGCTATTGAGTGCATGGTCTTCCGACGGCAGTGCCTAACATGGGCCCTTCTTGACCAGCTTACATATGAGAGAGGTACGGTCTACCTAGCATTCAAGTTATTATAGGGATCGCAATATAGGCGTAGAGTTTTAAACAAATAGTTCACTTGAGAAAAGGTCTCCTATAAATCAGTCAGGAGTTCCTAAAAAGCTATGAAGACTCGTAATAAATGAAGAGTTGTCCGTACATCTCGACTATTCGTCTTATGAGGTAATGGAAACTGGAACCCCCTGATGGTAAATGCCATGTATATAGACACTCTGATCGCAAGTAGGTGTCTCTGATCATTAATCGATAATATAACTCTTCCTGCCCCGTGCGATATTGTCTGACGTGGTACATGTGCTTATGATATATGATTTGCTCGGTTGTAGTTCAGCGGATATGGTTGGCGTGAGCAACAACTGCTTGAGGATGAAAGCCGTCGGAGCTTACACTATTATTAATTGCGAGCGGGTTGGTAAGTCCTAGATAGTTGTATAGTCAAAGAAATAGATACAAATACAGAGCTCATATCCATCCTCCAGCTTCAAATTACCAGTCTTCACAAACAACCAGCCTTCAACATCATCGCAACCTTACCACTACCAACCTCCTACTTAAGCCCCTTTTCCGTACAACTTGAAATCACCAGAACAAGTGCGTTATATTCTTCAAAATCACCCTTCCTTTCCGTATCAAAGAACGAACTAACTTCTTCAATATGTAGAATGCAATTCACTCAGGGAGTTATCATCGCAGCTTTGGCTGCTGGAGCCATGGCACAGGGCATCAACTGTAATGGAAGCTTGCAATGTGGCAATACCGGAGGCCGCACTACGGACATCCTTAACTCCGTCCAAGGCATTGACACTGGCCGCACGTACCAAAACGGTGAACACATTGCTTGCTGGGAATCCTCTCTTGGAACTGGTATCTGCGCTTTCCTCCAGGGCACTGGTGGCATCACCGGAGACCTTATCAAGGAACTTGTGCAAGACATTGTCAATCACGGTTGCACTGTTTGCGGAAGCGTTCCCGTGTTTTTCAACAGCGGTGATAACAACATTAACGACCATGGCGAGCTCACCATCAACTACGTTGGTTCTACTGGCGGCTGCAATGGACTTTGCTAAGGGATTACATTGTTAGCCTACAAATCATTTTGACAGGGGGGCCTCCATCAGACCGACTCAGGACGCTACACGGAATACTTGAATGTAGTCTTAGCCCTATAATAGATAGTGCCCTCCTCTTTAATCGGTCATTCTCTTAGTTATTGCTCTACATTATACTATCTCATATTCTCACACTGATGATCCCTCCTAATACGTATCCATACCTTTATTAACGAGATCTTGTATGAAACAAGCTTTACGAGATGGTTTAAAAAGGCTCATATAGGTTGTATAATAGCAAATAATATTTTTATATGCCATAGAAATCATGAAAAATTATGTCATTGAATGTAGACAACGAAGTAAGCACACAAAGATCCCTGACTATCCGCAATGCAGGTTAATATCCAGCGGTTATCCTCTACTATAACCATCTTAACTGGATCATTCGCTCGATTTCATGAGAAACTTATGGCCTCCTTGACTGCTAAAACAAACCCTCCAATACCCAAAAAGACTCCTGTTGACTAGATAATTCAGACCAGTCGCATGGCCCATATCTATCCTTTGGTGTGATTCTTTCAGCACTTTGTTCGCCCGTGGCACACTAATAGCATCATAGGCCTTGACAGCTTCTGCCAGAGACTTGGCCTTGCACAATTGCATTGACAGATCCCAGCCATATTTGAGTGCAAGACTAGCTCCATATCCAGAAAATGGGCTAACAGCGTGATTGCTGTCTCCGATAAAGATGACTGGTCCCAGGGAAAGGTCATGGCTGAAAGGCTGCTTGTCTCTAGCAGCTAGTCGAGACACGTCTTTGGGATCTGTAGCGTCGAGGATACTTTGGAATGGCTCAGGGAATTCTTTTCCAAGCTCTTTGCAATCATTTATAACTTGTTGAGCATCCTCGAGGCCGCTTAGCTTCAAGGGCTCCTCAATAGTCGGCGCACGATAACTTATGCCCCATGCCACGCTTGTTTCATCATATGGTGACAAGAAACAGGCCATGCCTTTACCTGCAGAAAGCAACATTCCCCAGTTCTTATCAACAGGCTGTGGTATGCCGTTTGGGAAAACGGCTAGTCCACCTTTCTGCATGACTCCAGCGTATTGTGGCGTGTCATCGGGTTTGATCTAATTTTGCTGGCAGCTCCATCGGCAACAATGAGGAGGTCACACTCGGTGGTTGACTTGTCTGCCGGTATATGGTCTCCTGAGAGCGTAACCAGCATCTTCCCATTTGGAAGTTTCTTTGCATCCACACATGCGGTATTCCATTTGATTTGGCCGGGCCCGACAGCATTGGTTAGGACCTTTCGGAGATTCTTCCTTGCAATTCGGATTCCTGCAGTAGGAAGACCAGCTGCCGGCTTGAATTTCATGCTCAACAACTCATTCCATGAGTTGTTCCACACCTTGAAGACAAATTGATTCCCTAGTCCTTGAGTGGCGTGGTTGAGGACCTCATCCAAGATTCCGAGATCGCGAGCTGCATAGAGGCCGCCGGTCTCGTCAAAGCCAGCTAGAGACAAACTGTATCCTTCCCGCCCAGGAGGTACAGCATCGGAATCACGCTCATAAATAACAATGTGTGGAGGCTCCAGACCGGCTGGCCAGAGTTGCCGAATTGCGAGAGTGAAAGAGAGGCCTGAGATGCCTGCACCTGCAATGATGATATTTTTGCCTGCTAGAAATTGTGCATCCATTTTGCTCGACTTTTTGATGAATGAATTATATTAGAATCATTTTGAATCAGTTGATTTCATCCAATGTCTCTTTATACGCAGTCTTATTCTTGATGGTCTCAGATCCAAACTCGCTGTTTCGCAAGCCCGAGAGCCGAAAGAGCATAAGCGATCATGATTCGCTGACGAGTTGCTGACGAATCGACCCCACGACATGAAATTGTCGCTGAAGAGAGAAGCCCGAAGGCCGAAGGCGTCGATTTCATTTGCTGTTGACGAAACTCGTTGGGAATTGTAAATGCGAAATATAGAAGAGAAAATATTACGTCTTTCATTCCATATGCACAAAGTTGGAAGTATATATGAATAGGCCAGGAGTTCGTGTTAGTTGGTTGTAGACTCTGTTGTAATTCGTTATTTACACCGTCGAAATCTTATCAATATATTACAAAAGCCGAATTTTCTTGTAAAATTTAATCATGCCTCTCCCAGAAGATCTCACAGTTGCAGATGTTGGCAAAAAGCTTGCTGAGACGCTACGGTCGCTTTCTGGGCCTCGCCCAGGCATTCGCCCAGGTAAGATTTCTTACGGTGGCTGATGCATGCATGGCTTCTTATGGAAGAGTAATTGGGCCCCTATACTAATACGTGAAGCGATATGAAGGCCATGCGAAAGGAATTCTCCTCAAAGGTGTTTTTTTACCCTCGCCACAAGCAAAGGCGCTCTCAAAGGCGCAACACTTTAACGAATCCTCGACTCCTGTGATCGCCCGGTTTTCTTCGTCGACAGGAAATCCCGATATCCCAGACTCGGACCCACGCAGTAATCCTCGTGGTCTCGCTATTCGCTTTCAACTAGCCGAGACGCCACGCCGTTTACATACTGATATCATTGGTATGTCTAAGAACCCCATTGCTGCTAAATTGATAGCGTTGGCCCTAAAGTTGAGAAGAACAAAAGTTAACATGGTTCTCTGTATGTTTTAGCTCATAGTATAGATTCTACCCCTGGCAGTAATGGCGAGGAGGCGCTTGAATTCTTCACGGCCCTGAAAAATGGCACCATCACCGAGTATATCAAAGATCACCCCAAGGCGGCCCATTTTGTACAGCTGCCAAGGCCATTTCCAGCTAGTTTCGCACACCAGCGGCACTTTGCGGTCAATACCTTCAAGTTGGTTGCCGCTTCTGGGAAAGAAACATTTGTTCGATACCGAATCGAGCCTGTGTTGGGCGTGCAAGAATTGAGTGCCGAGGAAGCAGCTACCAAATGCCCAACTACCTCTACGATGGGATCGTAGAAATGCTGGGCAAAGCGCCAGTTCAATTTAAGCTGACTGTCCAGATAGCGAAGGAGGGAGACGTAACAAGTGATCCATTGGTCAAGTGGCCAGAGACAAGGAAGATGATGGAGCTGGGAACCATCAGTCTGGTAGACGTATTGAATGACAATGCGGCACAGCAAAAGTATATCATTTTCAATCCTATCCCAAAGGTAGATGGCGTTGAAGTATCCGATGACCAACTGCTCCAGTACAGAGCGGCAGCATATCTAATTAGCGGACTAGAACACAGAAATGCGTAGAAGAGAACGGACATAATGAAGAATGGAGTTTCTATAAGTTATCTAGTCTACAACTTAGAAATAATTCTCTTCCTAATGATGAGTGAAGATTCAGTCCATTCGAAATTCAAGCCTTCTAGTTCCATATATACACCAATCAAAGTATCATGAAGTAAAGTCATGATTGAAGAAGTCCAACGGATTGCCGCTAATATCTGCATCCGTAGGAAAGCTCATCGTTTCAGAAAAAGTCAACGCTTCATTATCCATGGGCTGCCATGATCTTAAAGGGGTATCATTCTGATATTGCTGGAAGTCGGCTTCGTTATGATCGGAAAAAGTGCTCTGTTCTGCCCCGGGGAATGCATGGCTATCACCAGAATCCAACAGACTTCCAACCCGCTGGCCAAGCGATATATAGGAAAAGGAGGGCGAATCTGTCTGACCAGGGACCATAAAATCCCCATCTATCATGGGGTTCTGAGGTCCCACTATTGTTTCTTGCTGTTGTCCCATTGTTGCTATAGAGGGATACATTGCATTGCTTGCAGCTGAGTCTCCATCTTCAGTGCGTCTATTGGCCGCAGACGGTCCAATTGAACCACCGACTCGACTTGAAGATGGCTGAGAGTTCGAATATTGCCGCTTTCTTTTGTGTGCGTTGTCGTTGGACTGAGGCGCCAGATTCCTGGATATGGCACCGAGAGCAGGGCGAAAGCTGTCTGTAATGCCCATGCGGCTCATACTTGCCGTTACACCAGTTAATAACGGAACAGATTTTGTCATTCTCAGATGCATTGGTCGTCTCTGGCCTAAGGGTTTGTCCAACGGAAGCCGCCCAGGTAAAGGGGAGCTCATTTGCGTGTGCCTTGAGATTGGGCTTCGTGCTAGTAGCGGAATGTTTGAAGCCGGTCCTCCGAAGAGATTGCGATATTGGTAGAGAATCGGGAGCTTGATGCTTCCAGAGAGACCGTTGTTATCAATGTCGAGACACGCCTGCTGTAAGAATGCACATGTAATCATGTGAATGCGTCCCATAGCTTCCATGGCATTGATGATCAGCTCTAGGCTGGACATGTCGGCGGGATTTATCTCAGATGATGGGTCTTGTTTGGCCAAGTACACGTATACTGTAGTAGCACAGTACAGCGAGAATGCACATAGTGGGTTGCTCTATAGACTCCATTAGTTTACTGCATATTCGTGGTAAGCTGAAAGAAAAAGCAAAGCTCTTACAAACAACGATGAACGGTGAGACGTCATCTTAACAATGCTGACAATCTCCTCAGCAGCATTCTTTAAAAGACACAGGCTGTCTTTCCTCGAAGAATCATCGACCTGGTTCTTCTCGATAGTCTCCAGAGCAACATGATGCAAGCATATGACAGATGCGTGAAAGTTCAAGTTGATATAGGTAGCTAAAGGGTCTCGTAGGTTATCAGGAAGGCGGAACCTATCTGGCATAAACATAAATAGGCAGGACAACTGGTTATCTAGGCGGCGATGCCTTTTCCAAAATGTGCCGTTCATGATATCTTCAGGGTGATCAGATGGCTTTATTAGGTGGATATGGGACATGATGGCCGTCAATATGTGGTTAAGGATGAGCGAAGCACTGAAGCCGCCATAAGGTGCGCCTTTCAGAGCTTCGTCCAAATAGGGCGTTTGTTCTTCCTGGCCAGACGAAAAGGCTTCTTCGCTAGCTGGAAGCCGCGTCATGATCTATGCATGTTCAGTATATGATATGATTGATGTGGTCTTGATAGAGGTGACGTACGTCTTCAACATGGATGAGGCTAGGCCAGCCAGTCGCTATGCTTCCCTGAGCATCGATTGAAAAAGCCACCCAGAAGACCCTTCTTCGCTCTTCTAACTCGGTCCAGTCAATTGGAGGGACTAAGGTTGCTGGTCCATTATCATTTGTGATATCGAGCTTGTCAAGAGCCATCATTTGTACAAGGCGGCAGCATCGGGCAGCGCTCATGGACGCCCTGGTATACAGCATGGCCCTGGCTTCATAGCAAGTGATGAGTGCCCAGGCCTGAGCATGCCGTATCGTGATGAAATGCTCTCCTTCATCCTTGTATTCGTTAGCTCTTTGACACGTTGGAGATATGTATTTGTGTCTTACCTTCATTTCATCGGCCTGGGCGTATTGCCTTGCTCTGTTATAGAATATGTCGGCGACTCGGTCGTACTTGGGATGCCACAAAGCGCCCATCGCCCAAATGGCATATTGCAAGCACATTGGTGGCTTTCTTAGAGGAGCGCCATAAAAGTCTTTGTAATATCTACCAGAGTGTATTGCCGGCATATAGTGATATTGTGTGGAAAAGAAAGAGTTGTGCCTTCATTAAGTTAGTAAAATTGTCCTTGAGAAGTATGGTAATACGGCAACTCACAACTCTTCTATTACTTCAAACGGCGGTATTGACTCCGACATGCCCAGATCTACCAGTTGGCGATTACTAAAAGTACTGCTAAATTGGTCGTTAAGGCCCGGCGTTTCATATGGCAGCTGTGATTCTTGCGTCGTTCTGTCGGCAGTCTCGCCCCGACCAAATGGATCATTCTGGTTCAAGAAGTCATCGGTGGGAGTAATCTGCTCATCAAGGCCGGTTTCGTCATCATCTTCAACTGTTTCTGCGTCACTGTGTTGGTCTTTGTTGACGTCTTCGGTGTCTGGGTCAACATGAAGATTGCTTTTGCCAACATCGAGGCTGCTTTGGCCAGCCTGCTTGAGATACCCTTCTACCTGAGCTATTACAACATGTCAGCGTGGTGTGTTTCAACCAATCAGACGCCTGAATGATACAAATGAGCAAGTCATACCTAGCCTAGCCTCCAGTTCCTTAACGTTACTTCGCTGTAGAGTGGGCTTGCGTCTAGCCTCTGGGTAGATGCACTCGCTCTCGATTCGCACGCATCGAGTGCAAGCCGGTCTCTGATGGTCACACTTAAGTTTTCGGACCTTGCATGAGATGCAGGAGAGTGGCTTCTTGGGCTTCGCAGGTGGCTGTAGAGCATGAGATTGCTCTGCCAGGTCAGCTGTTGACATGGTTGTCGGAGAATTTCATTTCCCTCTGCTCAGACTAAAGAGAGCTCAACTCGTTTGGCCCTCCAGATGTTCGTTGAATTGTCTGGACTGCAACAAAGCTTATATAGTAAGAGTAACCGGCTATGTCCAACGGTTGATTAATATAGAAGTAGGTGATGCTTCACGGCCTGCGGCATGATGAGCTTAGATTTCGGCATTGATGACTACTGCTGAACTAACCAAAGAGTCACGTTTTGAGTCTCTTAGCGCGTTCAAGCTTATATTTCCGAAAGCGGGTACGCAGTCCTCCTTAATCCTTCGCACACGATGACTCTTACGTACGTCCAATTTGAGCGTGTCTAGGTTTCAAGCCTGGGATTACGTAGACGTTGGTATATGTCTAGTTATGGTATTAATGTTTCTGGATATATGATCTCTTGCAGCCACTTGTCCTCTTTATTCGTAATTGAGATGACGACCTCGGCACCATCAGACGGCGATTACGACGGCAGTTGTGTGTACACCAAAATTAGGCTTATTACTAGTTGACTCACGTTTGTTCTTTTGCTCCTTCCGTTCTTCGTCTGTAGTTTCGTAGTCTCTTAATTCTCTCATCACAGTTTAGAACAGCTATGTCAAAATTCCATTGAGATAGACGCTTTTTAACAACTCTACGTTTTAGTGTCTCTAGTTGCCTGCATATGCCCGATTGGCTATGAAGATCGATCTCAAACAGTGGATTCCCGGCATGTCGGAATTGGCTTTCCCCAATGCGCGCATGCATGATTACATGGTACTCAACTACCAGCACTCCACACCGCGAACATTTCCTTCCTGGGATTTATAGATCATAATAGCATAGAAGCAGGTCGTTACAATCAAGTTGATTCTGTCTTAATACATCGAAAATTGACTCAATTTCTATCTAATTATGGAATTTTGGAGGGCTACTCCCAGTTGTCTGCTTAAATCTGTATGTAAGAAAACTACCAGATCTTAATCTACTGGGATGGAATGTGAACCACTCCTACCCCATCCTCAATCGTAATCTTCGTACCGAACGGCTGCGAGTACTCACAGAGACGGCTGAGGATATCGTTGGCAACTTCGGGAGTGGGCCTTGTGGGCGTGCCAATCATAGAGCCATTGCGATACGTTTGTCCCAGATCTGCCGGGTAGACAAGAACTCGAGACAACTTTCCTTCAGCATAATCTGCCGATACCAGCAGAGCTTCCTTGTTCTCTGGTGCATCCAACCAAGCCCAACGATTCTCATTGACCTCGCCGTCTCCAACGACAGGGCCTTCTAGTGAAGCAGGAACTCGACCAGCCGCATCATCGCGCCACGAGCGGAACTGTGCGTTTTGGAAGACAAAGTTGGAGACGCCGTAGAAGATGGGCTTTCTTTTGTATATCTCGACTCCTTTGAGAGTGTGAACGCCGTGTGCGAAGAAGAAATCGGCGCCGTTGTCAATGACTTCGTGTGCAAACTTGACCTGATAATCGGGTGGATAATGGTCGAATGAGTAGTGTTGGAACGAGAACCGGTTCTGGTGCCAGTGGATAGTAACGCTCAAGAAATCAGAAAATTGCTTTCCAGAGCGGACTTCTCGGAGAATATCGCGCAAGTCCTGGGGCTCCATCTCATAGCCGTACTCTCCTGGCTTGTCGGCCACTCGGAAACGGAGATCAAAGGCCTCAAGGGCTTCAGCGGAATCGCTTGCCTCGACACCTGCGATGGCTCGGAGTTGTTGCATTTGTTCCGCGGTGACGCTGTGGGAAACATTCAAACGAAGGGAGTTGTTCTTGTATGTAATGGTACCTTTCGATCCGTGATGATGTTCTAGACGTTTCTTGATGCCGGCCACTTCTTCATCAGCTTCCGCACTGGCGTTCTTAACTCGAAACTGTCGTCCAAAAACAAGAACAGATCCCTCTGGATCTGATTTGGGCATACCAAGAGGCCTGGGAACTTCACTACGGCGAGCGAGGATGCTATCCCGCATTGCTCTCAGCTGTTCAAGCTGGTCTGGCGTCACAACAATTGGATCGCGTGTAGGTACTCCAACAAGTTGAGAGTAATCTTCGGTCTCGGAATAGGCACCGATGAAGCCTACAATACCCTTGGGCGTAGTCTTGAAACGAGCAAGTCGTGCCTCAACAGTGTTGTAGTCAGTACCGACATAGTCAATACCGACACGGCGAAGTTGTTCAAGATTCTGGACAAGGCCAGGATCACCACAGTCAAAGGTGTGATTGTTAGCTCTTGTGACCATATCAATGCCCATGTTCTTCCAATCGTCCGCAACGTCTTTGTCTGCCTCCATATGGGCAATAGGGCCGCGGAAGGTAAGGCGATCAACGATGGTGTTCTCGTTGTTGGCAAAGGTGATGTCGGACTTTTGCATCAACTGGACAAGAGCTTGGATATCCGGTTCATCTCTGTTCGAAAACGGTACCATTTGGATAAGATCGCCGACGGCCACGACGTTGAAAGGCTGTTTGATACGCATAGCCAGCTCGCTTTCCTTGTCCCGGAGGCTGGGCGGCTGACGCATAGTAATCGAGATTGGCATTTTGGCGATTTGGGTATTATAGAGAACAGAATAAAAGTTGAATTGTTGTATAGAACGAGAGGGAAAAGCTGAATTCTAGAGAGGGCATCACCAATATTATATGTGGTTTCTTCCTTTCAGCTCTGTCCATCCTGCCCACTACCTACGCAAGCCTCTCCTGGCAGATTTGAGCCATGGCTTGCCGAGACCGGTCCCGAACTCCTGAACAACATATCTAAACATGTTGATTCCATGCTAGAGAGAGTTAAAATCCGTCAAAGATCCGCGTTGTGAATACTCATCGTCAGTACCTCGTGTTAGTGCGATTGCCGCACGTAAAGCCTAGCTACGCCTCTTCACAACTACGGACTTTTACAGTATTCAGTGTCGTTCAAATCCGCCGGAATATGATATAATCACACGGAAAACATTGATATTTGCTCTTTTGGTCAATGAAGTTGATCCAGACCAGGCGATAGTCGAGGGAAGATTTCCGCCTTGGGTAATTGGTGAGAGCCGTGCCGGACCTAATGCAAGTGTCGCGATAATTTCCTCTTTCGGTAATTTTCCCTGTGGCGAAACTCCGCCATGAGCTGTCTTACTCGTGTTGACAGCACAACCAATGGCGGACAAATTTTTTAAAAAACTTATAAAATCGCAGTCGAAGGAATGATTCTTTTGCTGGGTGTATTCATGTATTCATTAACGATGAATCTAGCGTAACCACTGCCGATACTTCTGTTAGTACGTGGAATGCTGTCCATGGGAAATGTCGACAGCTTTTCGTTTGGTATCAACAGGACTATCCCAGGGAGAGCTAATCACAGACACGGTCTCGGTATTCGATAAGAAGATCTACGGAAAATCTCGCTACGCGTATTGATAGATTCCTCACGACATTAATATGACAGATGATTGTGGTCAGTCGAAAGGCGAGGCGCAGAAAGTTTTCCCAAGGGGAGAGCTGTCCTATTCTTCTGGCTATGGCGATACGGACTATTCGCCGTCACACAGCCTCTTACTGTACGGCCATGGGTCTTCTCGAAACACGACTGGCAATGGACATCTCCTTTGAAGGCAGCGTACCGGAATTTCTGTCGGCGTCTGACCTTGCGTCTTTCTATCACCTCTCCTATTTCAGATCAACAACAATGTGAAGCCTGCTGCGACCTTTCCGATACATCCCAGAGGATACACCCCAGAGCAATGAGCATGACACAGTTGTCTGTCCACGATATGCTTCAGGATTCCTGCTGCCATAAAGAAGCCATATGAGGCACTGGCTCTTAACGACGCTTAGCAGTATATCTAGGAAGAGGAGACGGAATGTTGATTACTACGGTTGTCGACAAACTCCAGCTGAGCTAATATCTAGGAAACCTCAGGGGCTCTCCTGACTATAATCGCTGACTACTCTGGTGGATAGTCTAGCGCAAACTCTTGCATTAATATGCAGTGTCCTTTTATAGTCACTTACATATAATGCTTTGGTAAGGCTTGGCGGTTCCAGTTCTCACAGTTTAACCTCGTACAGCCATCAGAATAGTGTCCGTAAGCTGATCCAAGCATGGCAAGTGTCACTGCATTACATGGGGGTCGCAAGTTATAGTTCATGTCCCATACAACTTACTAAGCGGAAAATTTGTGTATTCACTTGGCGCCACATCGGAAGAATATCTTCGTCTTTTGCCTTCCCCTCCTCAGTTTCAAGTGCAAGAGCATTTTATTGACAAGGTTTGATTCTCTGACAGAGCTCCTCTTAAGGATGTTCTGGTATGAGGTTGTTGAGTGTTAATATAAGCTTATTATGGTTCCTCAGTTTGATAACGTTGACAGGGAGGATCGGCGATGACTCAAGGACTTCCTTATTACCGTCCTTATAGATTCTGTCACAGGATAGAAGTCAAGTAGAGCCCCTTAACCTCCCGAATATATCCATCGGGAGAATGGTTTAGTCCGAAATATGCAGGGGGCCAGATCAACACACGTCCATCCACAAAACTAGGAAATGCGCCCTGCGTAATCAGCCATAGTCAGCAAATACTATAATTACAACCTATGTCATGATGTAACCAACTCCCACAACTCTTCTCGTATCTGCGTGCAGATACGAAGGCATGAAGACAACGGTAGCACAGTTGTCGGCCGTCCATGTGTTGTAGAAGCGTAGCTTTCGAGTTGCACAGCAATTAGTTACAGCGGGGATATTACCTAGTTTCAACGCTACCGAAACGATGGTTCGACATGGCTTATAGTTCGTTATGCTGCTCGGCTCTAGCCCGCAATACGGACACGGAGAAACTCGTGGCAAACATCCTAGACAGCCGAAGTCCCAAGAGGCGTCAGCATTGTGGCGTCTCGCTAGTTAATAGGGACTCAGCATGTGTTCCCCCACCGAGCTCACCCAGGGAACCTGGTTTTTGAAGCTTTATTCTTTCCAATGCTTCTCTTTGCAACTCTTTGCCCAGAATTGAATGGGCTCGTGGTGTCATGACACGTGTGCCGTCACTTTAAGATGTGCAATCGACGATTATACCCACCAACACACCGCTTACGACCTGCGTTACAACCCAAGACCAGTGCTGTATAAGATCTGGTGCTCTCTCCTTTGTGAGGACCAGTGAATCAGAAAGAAACGAGGAGCAACCAGAACACTAGAGGAGTTTCCTACCGGCAAACACCATAGCAACCACATCAAGGACATCGCCAAAGCCTTTGAGCAGCTCCATTTCGCAATGTCTACGGGAGTTGCGCGCCGCCAACCACGCAGCAAAGGCTGTGAGCAGTGCATTTCACGCCGCATCAAGGTAACTACAACGTCATTTGCGCTGCTTTCATTATTTGACTGTTGAAAAGTACTCAAACTCACCGGATTGATGCAGTGCGATGAGAGAGCCGGATGCTGTAAGAAATGCGCGCGCTTCGGACTCCCGTGTTCTGGAGCAATTCGTGGGGCAGTTTTTCTTGACATGACGGAGAAAGTTGCCTGCAAATCGCTTTGGCCGCGGAAGAAAAAGAAGAGAAGAGTTGCCGACACGAAAGAAACCGCCAAGGAGCAAGTAGAGAAGCCTGCCCCTACAGATGATGCAACAAAGCGACAAGGTAGTACGGAAGAAAGCGAAGAGACTGATGATGCAACAAAGCAACGAGGCAGTACGGAAGAAAGCGATGAGATGACCCCTATCGCAGCCTCATCCGCCTCTTGTAACCGCACAACAGGTATTGAAGAAGAAATCTCATACCTTGATCTTCTTACAAACGATGATGAGAGCGAGACTATCTTTGGCGGCACAACATACCAGCCAAGTCCCGAGCATACCTCACATTTCGACGAGGACAACTGCTTTGGCAAGGGTTTCGATTACAACATCAACATTCCCCCAGAGCTGGACGCTTCAGCTTACAATGAATATTGCTTCGTCGGCAACTTTGCTCAGCTCATCATCAGCTCCCGTCGGAACTATTCCTCACAGAGGCCACAATCATGGATACTCGAGCTCCCCCACCTAGCTGCAACGAATGCTTTGCCATCCTCACTCAGATACGCCATGCATGCTGCAGCATTATTATACCATGCCGTCACCAACAATGATATAAGAGCCAAGATAGCTGCCGTGAGGTGGTATATAGCCGGAATACAGACCTATCGTGCCACGATACTCAAATCGCCAGCAAAAAAGACACTCCCAGCACCAGTGTCGGAGGAGACTCAGGCATCCAAAGAACCATGTATAGCGGAAATTGCAGAAATATGTGTTCCAATCATGTTTTCCTTTTATGAAGCATTGCAAGGCGGGAGTTCAAATGCGGAGTTGCTTCACCATGCGGCAGCCACCGAGATGCTGGAGAAACGGGGGCCGGAACAATGTGTCAGTGGACTCGCGCATAGTGTGATGCGCTCGTTGAGAGTCAGAGAGGTGAGCATTTCCGTTTTATTTCCAGGCATCTTGACGGACGTTTTCGTTATTGTTGACTAACATGACTTCTCTTTAGGCCTTTTACTCCATCATGAACAACCGAGCTGCCAAGTTCTCCTCACCTGAGTGGCTATCTATTCCCTTTGAGCAGAAACACAAGATATGCTACGACCGGCTCATCGATATCCTCCTTTCATTGACCAAAGTGCTTCGCCTCCCATACATGAACCAGAGGGGTGCAACGTTGAGATACTCGGTAAACCGGGTTCACGACCTCTCCACAGCTCGTAAAACAGACATGGAAGAAAGGGTAAACTCTCTCTTAGCACAGCTTCAAGACTGGTGGCTAGATTTTCAACAAGAGCACTGCGAAATCATCACATTGAGTCCACAATGCTCATATACCCCCGAAAACGCCTACATCACCGTCTCTTCTCCAACTTCCGTCCTTCCGCTATCCGGGCCCTGGATGGTTGCCAATAACGAAACACTCACCTCGAGTATGATTTCCATATACAGTGCCACTCACATGATCCTCCACACAATTCTTTTCATCATTTCTCTCTCGAGGCCTCCTCCCAACCCCACCGGCCTCGAAAATCTATCAGATGTTGATGTGCATCTAGCCGCAATTTCTGCATATGCGACAGCGGTCTTCAATGCCTCCGCGTATCTGAGCATGATCAATCCATTTTGCGGAGATGCTGTTCGAACAAACTTCTCCCTAGCTATTGTTGCTCAGTTTGCATTGGAAGACTCACAGCGCGATCAAGCTCGGCGCATGCTCAACCAGTGGCATCTTGATGATGAAGGACCTCCCAATAGCCCAGGGACTACGAAATCGGAGAGTCTTGTTCTATAAGATGTAAAATGATATGAATTAAATACCAGATAGGTTATGGTTATACCTTATAGATCGATTATACTTCCTGGGGAAGGCAACTTGCAGTGTGTAGGCCGTAACCTCATCCCGGGCAGTTATGGTGTATATATAGTCTAAGAAATGCATGTACAATTTGTTCGTCATCGGCCAGCTCATTGATCAAACTCTCCCGCATAGAGTATTTCACCCGGCACATTCATTCGCTCCCATAAAACTCTCATATGATCCTGAAGATCTCGCTTTGCGAGCACCACTTCGAGCTCTACTTCTGTATTATCAATTTCTACTTCTGCATTCTCAGCTTCTGCTTCTGCATTCTCGGTTTCTATTTCAACTAAAAAAGCAAGTGGATCAGCATCATGATAAGTTGAATATCTCAGGACTTTCCTTTAGTATGTAGCTTACCCTGAATGTAAACTGCAGCCCTCTTGCCGTTATACATGGCATGGGGGACGTTCGTGACATTGTCTGAATTTGCGTCTCCAATGGCGAATATACCAGGAATATTCGTAACCATGCCACGAGATTGATCTGCGGCAAGTCTTCCACCATATAAGGCCACACCAGTCTCTTCACCCAAGTTGGACATTTGCGCTGTATCGAAGTTGGTCAAAAGAGCGGCCCGAAGCACCGGTGCGCCAGTCTCGAAATTAAGCTGGAAGAGATCATGTTCGGGATGGGATGGTAGACTAGGGTCCTCGTCTCCCGTCGTTCCATTAGCAAGCCTCTTGATGGATGTGAGAGTTCGGTTGTCAATCTTTATATCATGCAGTTTCAAGTAGTGCTCCCATTTGGGAAAGCCTTTCTCAGTGGCAGCCCGTTGCTCAGGTGTGTCCGTGCCGTTGACAAATAGTATAATATCTCGGTTAAGGGAAATTATTTCTCGAATCGCATCTGTAGCTTTCTCCAAAGGCCCCAATATGCCTAATTGCTGGTCCGCATGTTCATGCCCGTCGCACCAGGGACACCAATAGATGCCCTTGCCCCAGTTCTCGATGAGTCCCGGTGTGGACGGAAGTAAATCACGCAATCCCGTTGCGAGAACGACCTTTCGTGTGGTGAATGTGAGGTTATTGTCGCCGGGATAATCGGCAGAGACTGTAAAATACGAATTATTCGCCTCTGGCTGGATCTTGGTGACGGTGCCGTTTACCAAGTTGGTGGTGCCATATCTCGAGATCTGTTTGCGTGCCACCCAACGGAAGTATGCTGGCGTGACCCCTGCCCATCGGTTGGTATGCTTTTATACAATGCTGTTTGTGTGTTTGTGCTTTTTACGGGCGTTATATGCGCATATATGCATACGTGTCTCTGTGGAGAGATGACCTACCATCAAACCCAATCACATCATGCACATGCCGAGTCGCAGCATTTCGATATTCACCCGAATCGATCAATAAGACATTTCGGCGAACACGGGCCAGGCCACTGGCTGCGCTGAGGCCCGCAGGACCCCCTCCGACTATTATCACATCATAGTCAGGCCGAGCGGCTGGCTCTAACACGTTATCCGTTGAAACGGCGCCGGAAAGGCTGACTAGAGCCGACAGAAAGGCAGCAGTACTTGTAAATTTCATGGCGGCAGTCACTAAAAGAAATCCAGTCAAGATGTGATAGGTTTTGAAGTCTCTCAAGTTCGCGACGTCCTCGGGATGAGGGGAGACCAAGTCTCTTACTTTATGCTCAAACCTTGCTTTCACCCGCTGTCAGACCTTGTCGTCAGATGCCACTACGTTTACGCAATATACCCTTGCACAACTTAGTATCAGATGTGAGTACCTGATGCGTTGCTCACAAACACATAGGATCACTAACTTTCTTCATGTGCGCAATGAGAGTTGCATTTACTTTTGAGTGTTATTTATTTGCAGTGTTATTTATTTGAACTGCTATTTAATTGCCGTGTTAGTTATTTGTAGTGAGACACTGTCTCGTTGGCGGGTTGAAAGCAACGAGCCAGTAGAGATGACCGGCACCTGACCTTTAAAAATGAGTTCATAGGTTGTGATTAATGCGGAAATAACATGAAGTCATACCACTGGCTGGATCTGCGAATGCTACCCAAAAATACCACGTACTTTAGCGAGACGCTTTTTGACCGTCTCAGCTGCACAATAACGATGCGGTATTTTTGTGTTTATCGCGAGTTAATGATGTGTCCATATGACGAACGTTGGATAGGCAGTGGTCTAGAAATACATACAGAATACGGAGCATGGAGCACATAGAGCAACTCGCTTCTCAGTACAGCTACCTCTGAGTCAAGTTATTTATTAGCATTGTCTCATGTGGGCATGGACAGAAGATGCATATAATTTATACAACGTACTCTACAAGCTAGGTGATGTCTAGGCCAATATTTCTTATTATTGTCATCTAGAAGTAAACGGTACCTATTGATACCAAGCTCCATCTAGGCACCCTCTCTGAAGGTTGGAGTATAAGTAAAGGCTTTCTATAACGGTTTATATGCTTAATACCTCAACAACACTTTTCACTGACGAATCCATAAAGTACACACTTAAAATTGCCTTGTTGAGCTATGTAATCATAACAATAAACAACATACTCGCTAAGTAGTCCGCTCAACCAGCATACACATCTCCATTGCTTTGTATATCATGCAGCAACATGCTTAAATTTCCAGAAGAGTCGCAGCCTTCCACTTCTCATCCGATGCAGCAAGTTCCTCCCCGACCTGCTTCGCCAAACCGAACGTCTCGGGGCCCAGCAGCAATCGCAGCGGCGGCTCGTCCTCCTTGGAGATTTTGACAATCACATCGGCCACCTTGGCAGGCTCTGAGCGGTAGTTTCTGTACTGTTCCCGGATCTTCTGGAATTCTCCCACAGACTGCTGGTACGGCTCGCTGATGACAATCTCGTCGTCCGCAAAGCCAGCCCAGTCGGTCTTCATGCCGCCAGGCTCCAACACGGTGATCTTGATGCCGAATGGTGAGAGCTCCTTGGCCAGAACGCCGCTGAAGCCGCCAACAGCCCATTTGGCAGCCTGGTACGCCGACAATCCGGGTGTCGCCATGCGGCCGCCCACGGACGAGACTTGCAAGATGCGGCCGGACTTTTGCTTGCGCAGAATTGGGGTCACAGCCTTGGAGACATAGACGGTTCCAAGCAGGTTAACGTCGATTTGGTCGCGGTAAATGTCAATGGAACTATCTTCAAGTGATCGAGGGATGGCGTAGCCAGCATTGTTCACGACAACATCAATGCGGCCAAACTTGTCGACGGCGGCCTTGACAGTGCTCTCGACTTGTTCGTTGTTGGCAACATCGAGGGCCAATGGCAGGATACGGTCCGGTCCGTACTTTTCAACGAGATGGTTGACAGTCGCTGGGTTGCGAGCAGTAGCGACAACGTTGTCACCGTCAGCGAGGGCAGCCTCGACAATAGCGAGACCAAGGCCCTTGGAAGAGCCAGTGACAAACCAGATGCGGGCCATTGTTGTGAAGTTGAAGTGATTTGTTGTATATATCGTCAAGTCGTGTATATCTTAGTAGGTGATGTTTGCTTATTGTGATGCCTTGGGTTGTGAAGAATGATTCTGTTGACTTGCTGGTTATACCATCAACATACGCGGCATCACCTTCATATTTATAGATCTGTCTCTCAACCCACATTGGGGATCTTGAGCTTAAAGCTCCTCATCTTCACTCCATTTGCTCTACCTTAACTCCGTGAGGAGGCAATCTACATTCGAGTTGTAAACTTGCCTCCCCCTCAATGTGCGGCTCTCCACGCCGCTCAAGGCGAGTCTATACAACCGCAAGCTAGCGGCGGACATGGCCCGACAAGTGAACCCAAGATTTGTTATCCCCGGGACTCCATCAGGGCGAGCGGGTTTTTCCCGCTCGGCGCGGCCGCTCCAATTTGTTAAAATCCCACCCTGCCGCTTTCAGCAAGGTTTGCGGGCAGAGTTACGGAGCTGGCTCTCAAAGCTTTTGCCTTTCATCAAATCTCCTACCAATGTAATTGTCATCCCGCTTGTCCGAAGCGCGACACACTGAACACATACGTACACAGAAAGAAGGACTGGTAGAGATTCGTCAGTAAACAGAACCTCTCAACTCGTTGTCGGCCCTCCTCCGTCTTCCAAACCAACCGCCGATGTTTCAAGTGCTGTGAGTGGACCGGAGCTCCGTGTTAGAAAGCGTCATTCGTTCCCGCTCCGGATGTGTAGAGCTCCTGAGCGGCCGCTTGTACCCTTCCGGAGCTACGATTATCGCCATCAGACCAACCACCACCGAATTACTTACTGACAGTCTTTGCGCATTGGGCTTGCTTCTAGATTTTCTTCTTCCGATATGAGTGACAAATCTTCACAATCCAGCCAAAAGGCTGTGCGTGCTTGCGCAGCCTGCCAAAAATACAAGCGGCGATGCGACAAGACCTTGCCCAGCTGCTCTCTGTGCACCAGGTAAATATTCCATCTGCCTCTCCTCATCTTACCTTCTTCTTCATGTAGTCATGAATTTGCTACCGTCTCTCTTATACTTGTATTTTACCGGAATGCCTAGCTTCTACCAGCTTCCGCTTCCCGCATACTGCTTGAGAGCGGCCGCCTTGCCGGCCGTTGACTCCGGCCCCTGCTCCGAAGCACATTTCCGTTCTTGTAAAAGTCCTCATATCTCATTGGCCTATTGCTCACATACCCAGGTTACGCAGGCCATGTGATTATACCAATCGGCAGTCGGAGAATGAGCTGAAAACCCGAATCCAAGAGCTCGAGTCTCTTGTCGCCAACCATGTGAGCAGGCTCTCTCCCCAGCCTCAATCCACTTCGACGGCTTCCAGCCGGGACACAACCAGCTTCTCAATATCGCAGTCCCCTTGTGCGTTTTATCCAGCAGCCCTCCGCTTCCAAAAGCTGTTCTTGGATACAGACATCCAGACCCGCCCTGATGCTCCGTCGCCGCCTTCGAGTGACATGATCCCCGCCGCCGTTTGGGCCTACTTGGGGGATCAGGCTCAGAGCGCGGCCATCATGTCACAGTATTTCCATACGATCCACAAATGGATTCCCATCATAAGCCAAGTGCGGTTAACCTCGCTGGCTGATTTGGAACTAGGTAACCGGCCCAGAGCGGATTTTGCTTTGTTGCTCCTTGCCATGAAGCTCATCCAGAATGTGCCTGGAAGCTCGTCCAACGCAGTGAAAGATTTGCTGTACATCTGCGCAAAGGAGTTTGCAGCTTCTCTGGAAATAGCAGGTGTATATACGCTGCTAAAGCTTCAGGCTAATCTACTTATCTCGGTGTATGAGATGGGACATGGGATTTTTCCCGCTGCTTATGTTTCAGTGGGCTGTTGTGTAACACAAGCCATGGTCCTCGGCATACATAATCGTGAAGCGCCTCAAATCTTGGAGCAGCCGCGCACTTGGATAGACTGGGAAGAGAGGCAGCGGGTTTGGTGGTTGGTTGTGATTCTTGAACGGTAACCCTCCCTTCAATGCATGTTCAATGCATGTTCAATGCATATATCATTTGGGTGATACAAAGCTAATAACAAGCAGGTACATTACTTCTGTTGGAGACAACCGGCCTCTCTTATCCGCTGATCCTAAGACAACATCTCATCTCCCTGTCAATGATGACTCCTGGGATTCCGGTGTAAGTTACGTCTAGTTTGCTGACAATAGCAGACCAGCGAAGCTAACCCTTTGTCCACAGCAAGCCATGTATCCTGAGCGTCTCATTCTATCTTCATCCAAACATCTATCAGCAAGTCCATTTGCTCGTCTTGCTCAGGCCTCTCATCTACAGGGAGAGGTTATCAAGCACTGCAATGATGATACACGAAGCCTAGCACTCGTACAGAACGATGTCGAGGTGCTCAGCCAGGTCTTGTGGTCTTTCTTAGAGGTCATCGGCAAAGACAGGTCCAGTATGATGCACTTTTACAGCTCCGTGGGTGTTTGTCTGAGGTGAGTTCAACAGTTATCATGGTTTTTTGAAGACAATTCACAATACTAAGCTAGAGAATTCATGTTTAGCGCACTGATGAAGTTATGCGATCATCACTCTTGCGACTCATTCGCCATCTACAATGATAGGGCACTTGATGTGACCGAAATGGCCCTCGCTCGCGAAATAGCGCTCCGATGCCAAAGTATCATGAAGAATTGCATTTTCAAGGCCATGTCATTCATTGAAGTCCTCGGGGAAATGGTGCAAGATCAAGAGTCTATGGAGAATCTCGCTAGCTTGTCGCCATGGTTCTTGGATAGCATATACCAGTGCCTGGCCAATATCGTTTATCTCATGGCTACGACTCCAGCCGTAGAAGCCTCAGGATACCCGTCGCAGGTGTCTCTATGTATGGACTTGTTAAGAAAGGCAAACCAGAGATGGAACGTCGCAGGTGAGTAAAAATTAGAATTGGTCATTATGTGGTGTCGGCATACTAACGCAGGGAATACAGGAGCTTACCTTGAGGCTATTGACTTGATAGAGCATGAACTAAAAGTCAGTCATTATTAGGACCATCCTCTTCTCCAAAATAACTCAATTCAATTCATCACGCAATAATTAAACAGTGTATATATCATGATAATATTCCCAAATTTTGGCAAAACTAAGAGTTGGTTTTTAAACAGTCGATCAGGCCTCTGATATCAGGTTGTCGCTCAGAGAACGATTGCTCTGTCGCGGCAATTTAAAAGTGACGGATATAAAAGGAGGACAATGATTGGCAGGATTATCTTGGACATGTATGCAGCTGGCCTATTGGGTTCCATCACATGCAGGGTATTTGTATGGATGAGCACATCATACAAGAGGGACTATTGGTCAATAGTGTAGTACCCGGAGCTGGCGGAGGATTTCAGCTGCATACAATTCAGCCACAATGCTGTGGAATAAGGCGGAGTCAAGGTTTCCTGCCGAGGCAGCGGTCTTAGACATTGTGAATATATGTGCGATGCTCTCTAATTTTCTTCGTGTGACGTGTATTGCGCGCTGAAGGATCGAAATTTCCAGCATGCGACAGTCATGTCCAGCCGTCCTAATGCATTGGAGCCTCTCCAGCCTATCGGCGATAATCTCTATCTCTATGAATCCTCCGATTCTACTTCTGATGAGAGTCAAGGTCCGTCTCTGATCGTTCTTTTCACTTGGCTCGGCGGAGCGACGGCCTCCAGAATTCAGAAATATCTCCTCAGCTATCGCGCCATCTGGCCTGCCGCAACAATCCTGCTCGTCACTACACGAGTATTTGAGTTTGCAGCTGCAACATCTGGTGCTACCCATGCGCGTTTAAAGCCGGCGCGCGATGCTATTCGTCGGCATGTTACCAGCAGAGTGAAAGGCAGGCCTTCGACACTATTCCACATATTCTCCAACGGAGGACTTCATACCGCTATTCATCTAATACTTTCGCTACGGGATACTAAAGACAGAGCCGAGTCGCTTGATCTGAGACCGTATCTCAAGGGAATCATTATAGACTGCTGTCCTGGGCAAACAGACTATATGCGCACATATCAAGGGGCCATAGTCTCTCTTCCATCTACTCTTTTGGGGCAGCTACTCGGAAAGCCGCTCCTCTTTCTCGCCGTAACTCTCTCTTCAAGTTTAACACATGCGGGGTTAGTTGCTGGCGTAAAGGACTATCGCCGCCAGCTCAATGATTCGAATGTCTTTGGGAGCTTGGCTCGACGATTTTACTTGTACGCCAAAGAAGATGTAGTGGTTGGGTATAAAGATGTCGAGTTGCATATAAAGGAAGCAAAGGAGAAAGGATACGAAGTTGATAATGTTTGCTTCTTAAATAGCAACCACTGTTCGCTGCCTCGGGGGAATGAGGAGATGTATTGGGATACCATCAGGAATTTCTGGAAGAAATTGGTGTTGAAGAGGGAAGATCAAATACGATGCAAGTTATGATGCTTACACTGCTCAACATCGGGGTTTAATGGGATATGTATCTGGTCATTCCAAAGCTTATACACAAAGAGACATACACAAAGAGACATCAACCCTCTAGAGAAACCACCAAAGACAATAACAACATGTGCGTTCAGTATTGGATAGAGCAGCCATTCATTCACCAAGCTATCCAACCAGCCAACAGATCAAAATGTCGTCGCCAACCTTTCTTGGCAAACAACATACACCCGCCCAGCTTAATCATCAAACACTGACAAGTCATCAATACAAGAAAGCCAAGCAAGCCAAGTACATATCCATCCAGCCCACCTTTCCATCGTGGGTCACAGCACCACTTTTCTGTCACAAGTCAGGAACGAACACAAACTTATTGGATGGAAAAGGGTCTCGGTATGCGGCCAATTGTCAGTGAAGCAAAGCAAGTACAGTACTTCCTACATAAAGTCTCCGCTGTTTGTGGTTTCGAAACCCGGGCTCCATGGACTCCGGGGTGGCCGAAAGAGAGAGAAAAAGACCCTTGGTGGATAAGAAGAGTTTTTTTTTTTTTTTTTTTTTTTTTTCTTAGTCTATGCCTATTACCGTTGACAGCTTCTGGAATCACGGGAAGAAAAAGCTGAACAATTCCGGCCGCAGAATCGTAACAAAATAGTTTATTGTTCCCATAACTGACATTAATATTTACGCTTCTTGTCTTGTCTTGTCTTGAAAGTACATGTGACTATCAGTATCAATCGCTTCATTGCTTCACTTATTAAAATTAGAGATGCGTCATCCAGGAACAACAGCCAACTCCCCCTCTAGCCAGGGCGCGACGATACTAGCCCGGCGACCGGCATCGCGACAGCTTGCACTAAAACATTCCTTTTCTAAAAATACAATTGCCCGATATCCATTTCTCATTGGTCAATTGCAAGGCTCCCAGGGGCGCGGTGGCGACAGGTTAATTAAGTCATCCGCAGCTTTTACCCGAAGAGTTTTGCCATGAGAGCTGAGAGCCTCGCTCCTGAAGATCGCACTCCCCACTGACCACCGAGCTGTCGGGAAAAGCTAGCACCAGGTATGAGCGTAGCGTAAAAAAAGGAAAGAAAAGAAGGAAAAAAAATCGAAAGAAAAAATGTCACTCGAGTTCCATGATTCGTAGCTTTCCAAGCCATCCTGACGCGCACGTTTAAAAAAAAACCAAAACATATTCATATTATAGCCTAGCCCACCCTAACTCCATACCCCTAGACGCAATCGGCTCAATCGCCATGCAATGCAAATTCGCCCGAGTTTCTGGAACCGCTAATCTCATCGTTGCCTGTCGAGATCGAATCGGAGAAATGCCATGCCTTGTTCGATCGATATATTGATGCTTTATTTTGCCGTGCCGTCATCTAGGGGATTTTCCGTCGCCGCTGCCACAGGAGGTTGCATCGAGAGAGGGGCCTTGGCGGCGTCATTTCAGCCGGATCTGATCTTGGACGGTTAAATTTTCACCAATATATATCCCAATTAGATCGTGTCGGCAGGTCAAATGAGGTAATGATCGAGCAGGGTCCTTGGCGAGATACAGTGAAAGAGAAAAAAAAAATCAGGTCGCTGTATTATTAGGTGCTACTTGAGGTAGCTGTTTCTATATCTATCGATAGTTTTGGCACGTAGAGGGTGACTGTTTTGTCCACGGAAAAGGCCTCAGAGCCCAGAGCCAGGTATCCTAGGTAGTCGCCAGACTTTGGAAGCTCGGTAGTGGTAGAGGTGAGCTTAAACAGGCTGTTGATAAGAGGAGAAATGTCTCCGTTGAACTTTTCCACCGGCGTGTTCGTGTACCATGTCAGGACGTTTTGCTTCTGTTGGTTAGTACCAGCGTAAAGATTGCTATAAATGGCGGCCGTCAGCAATGCATTCGCGAGGGGTTCCTGAAGTACGCAGAATACACTTACAAATCGTTGCCGTCAAGCGTCTGAGTGGAAACAGGACCTGTGGCAAAGCCGATGGGCTGAGTAGCAGGGCCAATGGCAGCAAACCAAACCATGAGTTCGTACTTGGCCTTTGAAGGGTTTTGGGCAGCCGTCTTGTCGCTGTCGATGAACATGTCGATGGCAACGTTGGTGTTGAGATTATCGGCTGTGAGATCGGCGAGACTCGCGGCAACAGTAGTCTCGTTACCAATACCGTAGGACCATGCGAGGTCTACGTCGACCTTGGAGATACTGCTAATGGCCGCAGGGAATACATCGCTGTCGACCTGGATGTTGGGGAAAGCGTGAACTGGGTTATCCTCCGGTCCAGGGGGGTACTGCCAAGAAATCATAAACTGGGGAGCCGTGGTCTTTGTGGCATATGTGCCGTTGTTAAACGTGGTGACCTTGAAGTCTATCAGTAGGCGTTACACCAGGATAAGGAAGCCTGGATTCCAGGTACATACATTAACACAAAGCGCTCCCGGGTCACCCGGGTTCCAGTTCCATTGATTAGGATTCACTAGTAAGAGCAAGTGTCAGTTGAGCTTGTTGGATCATCATTTGCAGCAGGGAATTGGATGATGAGTATGGATGGAGGGGAGGAGATGCAAAGTAGCAGTGGCAGATCAAAAAATGATCCAAGATGCAGCAACGAGCTTTTCGAGTGAAGTTTAGGATGGGGATTCAAGAAAAAGACATGGCGCTCTGGTTTGGCTTCATGAATGGTTCGCAGACACCCAAGATCATTTCCAAGGTCAGAGCCGCAGCGTCGAAACATAGTAGGCCTCGCCAGAACAACAGGAAATAGTTGGACACCAATGTGTACCGCCTTGGCCGCATCCATCTTGGCGATCTTGAACTGATTTGATTGCGCCACAGCACATTTCCAGGGACATTTCAGGCGGCACCTACAGGTATATTGCTGGCCCTCTGTATCAGGCGTAATTCCAAACGATTTCTGGCAGTATCTCGTTTTGGTGACACCATTCTTTGGTGGTGCCGGCGGCTTGGGAGAGGGAATCGGGGGAGGCTCAGGCGCAAACAGAGGCGGCTGGCCGGTTGCTGCTCGGTGCGATTGGAGGCCGAACAAGATGCCCAAAGTGACGGCGATGGGGATGGCCAGCAGCGCCGCGTTGACGAGGATGCGGATTGTCATGGCGGCTGCGGGAAAAAGCGAGAGAAGAAAGAAAAAACGAGCGTCTGTTGCCGCAAAGCTGCGGAAGTCAACGAGCGAGCGTCGTCGAGGGTCGTCGAGGGCCGTCGAGAGATTTTGAGATGCTTTTGTCGAATGGATGGAGGGGGAAGCTCAACTTCTCGTGAGAGGAGAGTCAGCGATACGAGGACCTGGAGCTTTGTCCAAGGTACGGGTTACGAGGTACGAAGCGCATGTACATGTACATGTGCCGGGTGCCTGGACTCGGCTGTGCGAAGGTGTGAAGAGTACAAGCTGAAGGCGTGGCCGAGCCCGTGCAAGTGCATGTACTCGTACGGTACCCGGCAACAGCGCTGAATTTTGCTGGCTGCAACAAGTACTGCGCTGCGCTAGTGGACGCGGTGGGCGGGCTTTAGTGGTCTAGCGCACAGGCCGGTACGCCTCAGCGGTTCCGCGAAGTGCTGGAACCGCCTGAAGCAGCTGTGCTAGGGGGGGAACAACGATGAGCCGCAGCTCGATTGCTCCGAAAATCCGTCTTCACGCTGGAAACAAGTGGGCGCCGCCACAAAACACGATTCTAGTGCTCGATGCAGCAGCTGTATCCGTGGATCGCCGGGGATTGCGAGGGATAAGGGAGAAAAGGAAAAAAAAGTCAAAACTGGGACGGTGGAGCGTCTGTGACGGGGGATGATGCACTCGTGTCAGCCAGAGAGAGCTTCTAGGGGGGCTGAAGACGGGTGACGGACGGGCGATCTGCCATTGACATGGACGGGAGTCAAGATGCAGTGTTACAGTTACATACGTTCACATTCACATTCACAGCAGGGCGGCAAGGCGGGTATCCGTTTGCTGTTTTGATTGCTACGAGTAGGTACCCGTACGAACAGCAGATACAGTACTGTGGCACATACGAGGTTGGCCATGCATCTGTCATGTCAGGTCAGAAAAGGGGGCCGGGTGAGAGCGAAGAAAGAATAGGGAGGTAAACAAAAACAAAGCGAACAGTGCAGTGCAGCCTCGAGTCAACAAACAACCTGAGCAAACCGCCTCCCAGCCTCACAGCGAAGCCGATGGTGCCGGCGTTGACAATCGAATGGCGTTGAGCCCCCAGACAGGCATCGCTTTGACACCAGCCGCTTTGCCGTTATCAATGGATGTCTGACGGCCGCTACGAAAGTAGGACAAGCATCACCAGCATGTGCACATGGAACCGATTCGTGCGTCAAGTCTGTCAGTTTCTGCCTGTCTACTTACAGTATGCGCCGCTGTAGTGCCGAGAGCAGCACCAACACACGCATGGAGCGCTACGGCTACGAAGCTTTTGGTGGCATCTCGGCCGTATCAACGATTGCGGCGATGCCAACCATCGTAGAGAAAACCCACCTCTGCTCCATAAAGTACGAAGTTGCCTCTGCCTGCCTGCCTGCTGCATGTACTTGTTGGGCACATGATCGCGGAAGAGGCTCTCACTCAGGCCACCAAGCCGGTGTCAGAGAGTCAAGGAAGAGGAGTAAAGTAATGCTCCTTACTGCTGAGTACTACTTGGTAATACTGATTTGTTTTTTTCCTCCAACCACTTTTTCCCAACCACACCTCAAATCTGCTTTTCTCAGCGCTAATCCAATCACGATCTAATCCGGTTTCCTTATCCCGATGGTGGAGACGAAGCTTGCCCCTCTTTTTCCCTCGGAATCTTTGAAAACAAGAATCAAAGACATGCAAGGCAAGGTGGACGAGAATCACGGCGGTTCAACCATCACTTGACATCGGACTAACACCATCCCGACGTCTCAGGTCTCACCACAGGCCGATCACAGCTGCTGTGCTGAGCAAAACGCTGCCAGGAGATTTTAAGTGGATGGTGGGAACGGGTACCTTGAGTAGGCATAGGATAGTCTCGTAGCCTTGGGCCAATCACGCCGGGCAGGATTGAAGTGATATGGGCTTATCTATTGCACCCCCTTTTGGTACTGTACTGTATGGAGTACTCGTCAGCTCGAGTGTCTCTTTGTCTGTCTGTGTCTGGATCAGAAATCAGAACCCAAAAAAAAAAGGTGGCTTGGACAAAGTCGAGACAGGAGTGTGTTTTTGTGGGAATTGCGCTCAAGCATACAAACAAGGTAATGCTCGCACATGCGCCTACGCAACTTGGCATTGGCAGCTCCGCACTGAGGCTGCAAGTCAAAAACAACATTCAACGACAAGCTTCATTACATCCGACGTCAAATTGCTCTGCCTCGTGTCAATGGATATCAATTGTACAAGTACAGGTACAGCGACTACTAAGCAACCGCGTGTGCCAGACAAAGGTCCAAATATAGCAGCAGTTCTCCTCTCTGCTAGGACCGCTTCGTACAAGTACATGTCCCAATAGTAATTCCCGGCCCACGTCACGCCACTCCGGCCTCGTATTTTCTTTGGGGACCAGCAAAGAGAAACAGGACAGACAGGACAGACAAAGAAAAAAACGAGTAGGAAAAAAAAAAAAGAGGGTGCATGCACACTGGCCCGGCCTGTGTCAACGTTGCTTGCATTGTGCGTTATACTGCATTGGTCGTTTCCGACCAGCCTGCAAACCAGCCCGTTTGTCGCTAGCCTATGACGACGAGTCCCTGCTCGCCTTATCCGCCCGCCAGAACACGAGAAAAAATGGTGTGAACCCTGTCTACAGCGCGCGTATCCTGTACAAGATACGATGCGAAAACTGGAACCCCGCACGGCCCAGCTGCCGCTTGTGCACGCCCGCTGACCCAAGTACTGTGTACCTGCATCAGCTGCCAGCCCGTTTGGCGGCTCCGCAGGCTAGCAGCACCGCCTACACGCACAGGCGTTACAGGCAGCTGTCGATGGCGGGCTAGAGCTGCTGGAGCTTAGCGTTGGCCACTGGCAGCCCACTGGCAGCCCACTGCCACCCGCTGTTCCCGCTGAGCTGCTGCTTTCAAGGTTCGGCCTTTCAGCTGTCGTCACTGGAGTCAACAGTCGTTTGGCATTGGCGCTTGTACATTTGCAAGCATGATGTGAGCCAGAAAGCTGTAGATGTGGATGTAGATGTGGAAAGCTACTAAGGTCGATACTGCGAGTAGGTATTCTCAAGGCCCAGCTACTAAGCATCGCATCTGATGGATCAACATGTAGCTGCTACAAGACTACAAGACCTTCCAAGTACTGCCTACCGTCCCCCCCACATTGCACCTTTTTCTCGCTGTCTGTCCCAGCCGCACTTCGTGTCTGGTGTCAGTCAACCCACGGTTACCTCCACGAGGACCCCCTCGTATGTACTTGCTAGCCCGACCAACCTCGTACCAGCGCTAGCTCCATCTTTCACATCTACCCAGAACCCGTACCTCGCGCGGTACCAGGTACTTCCTTACTTGTGCCACACCACACCACCCTCCATCTCATCCAACATTCATCTCCTTCCGCCTCGGCCTCTTCCTTTTTCACTACCTTTCTTGCTTTCTTCTCTCCTCTCAACCTTCGCTATTCCCCTCCTCTCCCGCTGTCATCTGCGGCGAAAATAGCTTCGCTGCTCACATTCGTTTAGTACATATAATTTTTTAGGGGAAAACCTACTCTGTCCCCTTCAGCAGCGGCCCCCGTTACACCCCCAGGATAGCTTGCGGCTTGCCCAGTGCCAGGCCTGTCTGTGCTGCTACTTTCGTTTATCTGGTGCAATCTTCAGCCTCTTTTCGATCCGGCCAAGGATACACTTTTTCCCAGTTGCTGCATCCATCACCGCCATTCATCATTGAGGAGCAAAGAACAAGAAAAAAGACCCTTTTGCTCCGGGCTGACCGGCTTCTCCCCTCGCTCACCCCTTTGGTAATCCGACAAGGCCCTTCTCTCTCGCTTGTGGCCCGAGCCACATAAAACCGTTCGCCCACCATGATGAGAGGTCACCAGGAAGAGTATGAGGAGATGGTTGATATTGGCAACTTCCGGCGTCACCACCAAACCGGCTCCGACGACTCTCATCCACGATTGCTCTCTGACAACATGAGGTCCAACCGCTCCAGTGCAGCCCATCCCGACGACTTCACAGCACCGCAATGGCCGCCTTCCATTGCAGGAACGGGAAGCTCTCCTTCTCTGACCTTGAGGAGCGGCGCTACAACGCCTTACGACCAGTTGTCTTCGACAAAACACCTGATATATGCCGATTCAAGATCGTCTACTCCAATGGTATTTATAACTCCCCTCTCTTATCCTCCCCTCTCCCTGATCCTCTGCTTTTGACCCAATTGTCAGAGATTGGTAGTATATAGGTACCCTGTATACTTGTGACCATGACCATGACTCTTGCCGCGAAGTCGCCGCTGACGTCCTTTACTTCCTGTTTTCCTTAAACTGCAGAACCCAAGTCACATAAGCCTGACCACTCTTCTGCCACAGAATGGCCGTTCTCCGAGCAAAGAGGTTAGCAGCGACAATGACGACCACAACGGCGTGGCCATTTTGCACGACCGAGACGATTCCGACATCTGGAAAGGCTGGAGACGATATCTCTACACTCTGACGCCCTTTCTCACCATCCTCAACACCGGAGTGTACCTGACCTACCTTGGACTTCGCATTGCCTGCGTCATCCTGGCGCAAAAGGCATCCGGCACCACCTTTGCCGCCGCCTGGGTTTTCATTGCCGTCGAACTTGTAGTCGCCGTTCCCTCGCTCATGCACAACATCTGGACCATGTGGTCTTTGAAGAAGAGGCACAGGCCCAAGATGAGGCTGACCGGAAACGATGTGCCCACTGTCGATTGCTTTGTTACCTGCTGCGGTGAGGACGACGAGCTTGTCATGGATACGGTTCGCGGCGCCTGTGACCAAGACTACCCCATTGATCGGTTTAGAGTCATTGTTCTGGACGACGGCAAGTCTGCTGGCCTGGAGCGATCTTGCGCAATTCTCTCGCACACCTATCCCAATTTGTACTACATGGCCCGTGTCAAGATTCCTGGACAACCCCATCATTTCAAGGCCGGAAACCTCAACTATGGTCTAGATCAAGTTCATATGTTGCCTGGCGGTGCTTCCCAGTACATGGCGGCCCTGGACGCTGACATGGTGAGTTCTCTCTTTTTTCTTGGAGTTGGGGGAGAAGATGGGAGACGGAGAAAGATTACCTGTGAGCCGTCAAAAGACTAACATGTGTCCCAGATTCCTGAGAGAGATTGGCTTCGCGCTTTGCTTCCCCACGCTGTAATGGACCCCAAAATGGCCTTGGTTTGCCCTCCTCAGCTGTTCTACAACACGCCCCCCTCCGATCCTCTGGCTCAGTCTCTGGATTTCTTCGTTCACGTCATTGAGCCCATCAAGGACGCCATGGGCGTAGCATGGTGCACTGGATCCGGTTACGTCGCTAGGCGAGAGGCTTTGGAGCAAATTGGAAACTTCCCCCTGGGCTCGCTGGCCGAAGACGTGGCGACATCGACTCTCATGCTCGGTAAGGGATGGAAGACGGCCTACGTTCACGAACCTCTTCAATTCGGAACCGTTCCCGAAGATTACGGCAGCCACTTGAAGCAGCGTACTCGTTGGGCTATTGGTACCGTGGATACGTCGTTCAAGCTCAACTTTTGTCTCTGGGGTGAAAAGGTCCGCCAGATGACATTTGCCCAGCGATTCTCCGGCTTCCTCTACGCCTCTCTTAGTCTGTACACAATCTTGCTGTCCATCTCGCTCTTTGCCATTCCCATCATTCTGATCATGGGCAAACCCCTGGTCGCGTACGCCAACGATACCCAGCTTCGATGGCTCATTCGTGCCTGCTTTGCCAACACCATCGTCAACCGTCTCTGCGAGTTTGTTCTCTTCATTCCCGCCGGCTATCACACTGGCCAGCGAGGCTCTCGTTACCAGCTTTGGATGTCGCCTTACATTGCTCTCTGCATCATTCGCGCATTCGCCCTACCAAAATGGCTTGGCGGAGAAGCACAGGCTTTCAAGCCTACCGGTTCGCTCTCCTCGGCCCTTAATGAGCGTGATCCCAAGCTCAAGAAGAACATGTTCCGTCGTCTGTGGACCATCCTCATCAACTACATGGCGCTCTTCCACCTCGCATTCGTTTATCTGACACTGGTTGCTGTATGCCTTGTTTCGTACCGCTGCTTCTTCCAGGAGAGCAACCGCGTCAGGGACATCCTCCTCTGCCTGGTGACGCACGCCTTCTGGCCGCCTCTGACGTTCATCTTCATCTGCAGCTCCCTCTGGACCCCAGTCGCCTACGCCATTGACCCTCCCCAGATGCCCGACCGAGAGGATCTTCTTGTTCGCGACCCCGAGACCAAGGTTGCGCACCCGACAACCCAGAGCAAAAAGATTGCCTTTGGTGGCCAGGCCGCTTGGTTCGAGTTCGAATACACCTTTTCGACACTGTATACATGTCTTATATTTGTCGCATCTTTCCTTTTCTAAATGCATTACGGTGGAAAGGTTTCAGAGACACACGTATATTCAACCGTGTCTCGGGCTCCACGACATTGGAGTAGGGTTCTAATGTGAATGCGAGGGATGTTTGATGGCAGCAGAGCATTACGATGAGCACCGGCTGGGTTCCACGGGATATTTTGTTATTTTTTTCTAGATGTTGAAAGGCGCAAGGGATATGTATGAACATAGAGACACGTGAATATTTTGACTTGACAGTAAGGTAATTAAGCAGGCATGCTCGACACAGTCGAGTCTATTGCAACTATAGATTAATACGGCGCAATCCGCCATGTATCTAGCGAACAAATGAACAACACATTCATTGCAGTGCTCTTTTCCATATGGTCCGTACAACTCAAGAGTGAGACTAGTGTGGTGGTCCAAGACCGCCAGAGAGGCTCGGGATATTCGGCTCGGAACAAGTACCCTTTGTTTAACCTTCTTGATACAAGTTGACACGCATAATAATATCCGTCTACTGTGCAGCTTAGCAATGGTCCACCTATGCTCCAGCGGACGGAGAAGGTATGGCCGGGTACGGGATAGGGGGTGAATGATGAGGCGGCTGAGTCTGATGGAAGGTCATTACGAGCCCGGCCTAGGCGTCTTAACGTGCCCCAGATCGTGTCAGATTTGGAGCGAGCCATAACGCGTGGCTACCAAGTTTCGAGGTAAAGGGCTGAAAATGGGTGGAAGCTTATTTCTTGTTTCCGTGGGTGGACTCATTCTGACGTTCGTGATGGGCGGGTTTTTTCCTCATTGAAGTGGAGCGAGCCTGGGTTTATGTCACTTCGTACGGAGGACTCCGAGGAACTTGCTTGGGTTTTTTTCTTTTGGTGAAGATTACAGATCAATACGATGTTGTGAGGGAAAATAGGGGATACGGGATGGGAACCTGAGGGTCACAGTTACGAGTATAGGTACAATTAAATCGGGGACTACGAGAACATGGGAAGAAGACGCAGAATCGCTTGTCTATACATGGGTAGTATGGGCTTTTTGGCTTGCTGTGGAATTGGTTGCAGGATACTGAGAGCGCCATTTGAACTCTTTTTGTGTGTTCTGGAACCTTGGCGGAGCGCCGAGTTACCGTTTTCGGTGGGAGCGAGTTGACGTGCGGGGAGGAGGTGAACTTTGAATGCTTGACGTGAGGAGAGCTCGGTAAAAGCTACTTCGTGTCCGTTCCTTGCTTTTTTTCCTTTTCTTTCTTTTTGAATGGAATGTATGTATTGTAGGTACTGTACGGTGTGTCGAGGGTGGGGGATAACGGAGGGGAGCATGTTCACGGTGGTTTAGAAACGGATTGCGCGGCGAGTGGATTCAAAACGCAAAATCTCCATGGGCCTTTTTGTTGGTGATGAATACGGAACACTTACTTGCACTGTCCTCGTACACACTGGATAGTTAACCCTGTCCGATATTTGTCTATCCCTTGCGCCCTGGCGGAGACCAAGATGGATCGTATAATCGGCCCAGATCCAAATATAGACAAACAGACGAAAAAAAAAACCCACGCCCTACGCTCCCCGAATTCACCGCTGCCCGGGTGCTGACATGAACAATGATGGGCGTTTTTTTCCAACAAAAAACACGCAGCGAATCCCCAATGCATGCAGTCCAAGGCGGCGGTGCTCCCGGCTGGTCGGCTTAGGCGGCTTGTCATCACCTTCCAGATCTGTACGAGCACACTTGTTGTGACCCCCGCTCGCTGTTGTCTTGCTCGTTACATGTCCGAGGACCGTGCAAGCAAACAGGTTATGAGGAAGCATGCTAGTAAGGTAAATTTTTGGGGGAGAGGGGGATTGTGACTGGTTACATATTTATAAACGAGCGAGAATTGCCGAGCAAATCAAGAGACGGAGGACCGGATTGGAGCGGAAGGGAAAAGCGAGCAAAGGGCTTGAGGGGGCCACGGGATCTATCTTTCCTTGGGATGGACAATACGTTTGGTTACATTCTGGTTGACGGGGTGATCTGTGGGATTTGAGCTGTTTGTGTGCAAGTGACATGAACTTTTTGGGAGGTTGGGCAGCATGTAAGAGCGCCTTTGTTGGTGTTGCTGCTATATTGCTAATGGAATGGATGGTTTTTGGGGCGCCGAATGTATGTCAGGCTTGTTCTTGATGCTCCGCTTTCCCCGCATCTTTGTCTTTTCGGGCATATTGAACGAAAGCCCGATTTTGTTGAAGGAAGGATTGGCTCTATTCTGTATTGGGATGTGGGATGATGAGAATGGAAAGGCTGGGGCTGGGGTTGGGTGCTTTGAATGTGCATGTGCGAACGGAGTAGATGGTGTTAATATGGCATCTATTTGTGATGAACTCTGCAGTTGTAGGGTAAGTATGCTGTAGATGGACCTCGGATATGAGATGGAGATGGAGATTGGAGATGTGAATCTGGGGTCATGGCCATGACGTAGCGTCAAAGATTAAACCTTCCAAAATGGCATCTCGGGCTGCGATGGTGTCATTCGGTTTGCAAGAAATAGGGACCTCAAAAATGATTATGGCTATGCATGAAGAGTATACCGCGGATTGTCTGTTTCTGTAAGTATGCTGGTGGTTTCTCGATTCCTTCTTTTTATTTGGCAAATCACTTTGGGTCCCATCCGATTCGGAATCCAGTCTTGCCAGCAGCTTAACAGAATTTCTCTTGCTTGCCAGTTGAGTTTGACCTTCCCCAGCCATGAAATGTAGTCGCTTCTAGAACCTTGGGGAGCTAGCAAATGGAAAATGCTTCCATTCGTCAGCTGCTGTGTCCAGTCCCGAAGAGTGAGAGCACATGCAGCCCTGGGTGAATTAGATTGTGATGCTAATGCCGTCTTGCACCCCAAAAGCAAAGCCCTACCTCAGCTAGTGTCTGTGTAAATGTATGTTAAAATGCATGGCACGACCGTTACTCGCCATGTGATGAATCTGTCATGTCCTCAGCAGATCATCAATAGCCCAAAGACCACTTGACGCTGAACAATGGATCAATAGCAGATCTACACAAGTAACCGCCTGCTTCGGCGCTATTGGCCCCAGCCGCCTAGCCTCCCTGCTTTTAGGCTCCTCGGCGGCGTCTCAGGACCACAAGAAACCCCGCGGCTCAGTCGCACAGGAGACACGATGTCACCACCATCCCTTTGCCTGTACGTCTCGAGACTCCAGTCGCCAATCACAACGTCTGGCGGCCTGGATTGTCACGGGGACGCAGCCTGCTGACGGCAAGGAACATTCTGCCTTTTGATTGCTGTCTCAAGGCGCCGAGGGGAGGAGAGGACAAGAGGGCGGCAAAAGAGGGAACAGAGACCCAAAAGGAAGCCGGGTTGCTGCGAGAGTGGAGGAGGTGGAATACATCTGCAACAACAGACTGACAAGAGGGCAGCGGAAAGCGTATTACGTGAGGGAGGAAATACGACTTAAGATAAAAGAATAAGGAACGATGGAGATGCGTATGGATTCTGGATGGGACTGTAAGGAGCAACTCCCGATCACCTCTTCTCTTCTCTTCAAGATCTCAGTTGCTTGTCTATTTCGCTTCTCGTTTGAGTAGCGAGGCTGAGATTTCAACATGTTGAACATAAAGTTGACTTTTATCTTAGCAGCAGCGCAGATACCGCTTGCCGGTGCTGCCACACCAACTCGTGAGCCTTTCCGCGTGTCTCCCTCACCTCACTTCTCTACTCTTTACTCTGCTGAGAGCGAAGATGAGCTGTCCTTGTTCTCGATCACGTTGCTTATTTCTCCGTTAAACAGTTCGGCCATGGACATTCGCCCCGTTGCCGCTTGGATCAGTTAAACCTGGGGGATGGCTGCTAGGCGAGATGATCGCCATGGCGAATGGCATGGCAGGCCATGAGCACGACTTCTACGTCTACGTGAGCGAGTCCAGCTGGCTCAACACGCCGGGCACGGGCGGGACCGAGTACAGCTCCTTGAACGAGGGGCTGCCGTACTGGTTCAACGGACTGGTGCCGCTGGCATATCAGCTCGACGACGACAGGCTCAAGGCGCAGGTTCAGGAAGTTGCAGATACCGTCTTGGGGTTCCAGGCCACTGACGGATGGATCGGGCCAGAGGTGGGCGATGCCAGAAACTTTTGGGCTCGCACTCCCTTCTTTCTTGGCTTGACGCAGCTTGTCGAAGCGGATAGCTCGTGGGAGACCCGAGTCATAACGGCGCTCCGTCGCTTCATGACGCTGGCCAACAAGATGCTCCGCAACAACAGTCAGGGATTTGCAAGCTGCCCTGGAAACGTCGACTGCACTTGGGGACAGGCGCGTGTGCACGATCTCATCATCACGATTCAGTGGATGCTGGAAAAGTATCCATCCGACCAGGATTCACTATTGTGGGACAATATGAATCTGTTTTACTCTCAGACGAACTACAAGTGGGCGGATTGGTATACCGAGGGCGTATTCCAGGAGGTGGTGAACCCTAATAATGCCTCCAACTTTCCATATATCCACGGAGTTAATGTCGGCCAAGGTACGTTGTTGTTCTCACAACGCTTATACCCCCGTTGAGCGAGCCGCACTTATAACCAACCATATGCACAGGCTTAAAGGCATCTACCGTCATCTACAGAGTGACAGGGGACGATGATATGATTACCAAAAGCCAGAATGCCGTCGAATGGACATTTCAATATCACGGCTCAGCTTCTGGATCCATCCTTGCCGACGAGAGGGAGCGCGATTTGGCCCCTTACATCGGAAGCGAACTTTGCACAGCCGTTGAGACATCTTACTCCTTGGCCTACATGTATCAAGTCCTTGGGTATAACTCGTATGCCGATCGTGCTGAGAGGACTATTTTCAACGCGTTTCCCGTGATGATGACTGGCGATAAATGGTCTCACCAATACATGGACCAGCCGAATCAACCGTCTGCCCTCAACATCATCAGGAGCGACGGTAGCGTGCCCCAGGTCTTTACCACGGCAAATAGCGGCGTGGCTACAACGTTTGGCATGGAGCCTCTTTACCCCTGCTGCACGGTGAATCATCCTCAAGGATATCCCAAGTTTGTGTCCAATAGCTGGGTGTCGCACGCGGGTGGTCTGGCGCATGCTCTTCTTGGCCCATCAACAGTGAAGACGGTTGTCAACGGAGGTTCGGTCACAATTACATGCGACACAAACTATCCCTTCAGCAACGTTCTCAAGTACTCCATCAATGCGGACAAGGCTTTCACTCTATACCTGCGGGCGCCTGAGTGGTCCAATAACCGGATGTCTACCGTGTCTCAGTCTGGCGCGTCTTCGTCACGCCTCACCCTTGATGCCGACCCGACGACGGGCATGGCCAAGATCTTTGTCAATCCCGGAAAGACTACCATCACATACATCATCGTTGCCGGAGTAAGGACGGAACAAAGGCCAAACAACAGTGTTGCCGTCTTTTATGGCAACTTGCTCTATGCCTTAGATGTTGGCTTCTCCCAGACTTCGTCTCTGCCACACGCATATTATGATCCCAGTGGCGCTGGGATTTCTGGCTTGCCCTTCTCTCAGCTGCGAGATTACTACGTCAACAGTACTAAGCCGTGGAACGTCGCAATCGATCCCTCGACAATTCAGTATCATGGTGTGAGCAGCAACGCTACTCTCCCGGATCCCATCTTTGAGCAGGGCGCGCCGCCGAACTATATGACTGTTGATGGTTGCCAAATCAACTGGCCGCTGTATCTTGGAGTGACGCCTGACGTGCCGCCTCTCAACAGGAAATGTATCGGGGCGAGGAAGTCGTATAAGCTGGTGCCGTATGGAGGGGCAAAGGTGCACATGTCGGATTTACCAACAGTCAAGTTTTAAGCGTTAGAATGCGAGGGCCGTGAGATGATATATGATGAGATGAGATAGAGAGTGTTGTCGAATTCTTCCATTGCTTGTATATATGGAACGAGTCGATGGCCTGGCTGATAAACAGGGAACAGGGTGCGTCTGTGGCGAACATGACGGCGAACATGAGGGAGTCTGTTAGTATTTCTGTTTGTTAATTCGCTTTTTATTTCTTAAATACCATATTGTACTTGATTCGCAAGCATTGTACCAGTTACTCTTCTGGTGCTGTATCTGGATTTGCCGACAAAAGGTGTTCGTTTCGGCCCATAGCTTCTAGAGTGGGCATGGTATTGTCGACCGTGATATTCGTTATTATTGTATATGTCTGCCATGGTCTTCTTTAATTTCGGCTTTCTTATTAGACTAAGAGACTAAGAGCAGAGCTTGAACTTTAGAAACTTGGCGACTTTTCCTGGAGGAGTTTCGACATACGCGACCTGTCTGAAAGGTGGAATGTATCGGGTATATCGAGTAAAAAATACTGGATATAATATGTCTTCGACGAATAGGAGGCAGATAGGTTTATAGTGAGAGAGCATATAATGCCGCGTTGTTTAATGATGCAATAACTTCAATTAGTACGACCGAGGTGTTGGTTATCGGTGAGACCGACCAGCTTTCAACGTTTCGCTTCCAGTGTTTCTGAGCCATTTCTCTGCGGACCGCTTGTTTCAGTTCTTGATAAACGTCTACTATCAGAAAATGCGTAATTTATTTCAAGAGGGGCTTATTGGGTCATTGTGCATTTTGGAGAATTTTTTCTTGCGGATTTTTTGTGGTTGTTTTCTCCTTATCAAGGTCCATTGAAACAAGGTTCGTTGCCGCGGGAGAGCTGGGGATGGGATAGCTTCACCTCGGCTATGGGCTAATAGCCAATCAGGGCTCTGGACTTCTCAGTATGCGCTATGAACACTGTCCGGGATCCACATAGCGAGGCTCGGTAATGGTCTTCCTTGTTCTGGTGAATTGCCTAATTCGATTCAAGGAGCTCCGGAACTTCGGCCGGTCGCTGGTAGTTGCCGGCCGTAGGCGATCCCGAGCTGGAGTTGCGCTTCCGATGCCTCGCCCAGTTGTTGTGATGCAATATGCGGCGGGAATAAGTGAGAAGTGTCCTGTGATGTAATTCAGAGTCAAGTGCGTGTTTATTCCTAGAGTTATTTAAGTCTGAGAATGTCTCTCTTTGGTATCAATCCGCCACACTCATCAGGAACTCATCAACATATCTCCCTATCTTAGTTCAACGATCCAACGCATTCAACAATTGCAACAATTCAAAACATTCAACAATTCAAACCATTCAACAACTCAAAGTTTTCATAAACTTTACGACACAATGGCCAGTCTGTGGCAGCCTCCTCTGAACTACCTCAGCAGACCTGTTACCGTTTTAGGTGCCGGTGTTCTTGGTCGTAGAATAGGTAAACAACGCTCATGACAACACATGCACTTAGATAGGGACACATACTAATAACTTTGCGCAGCATGTATTTGGGCGTCCGCAGGATACAATGTGAAGATTCGGGATCCCAGCGCACAGCAACGTGCCGACGGTGTTGCATACGTCGAAGAAAACGTGACTTCCTACGCTCAGAAGACTGGAAAGACTCCTGGAAAGGCGGAGGCGTTTGAAGATATGCAAGCCGCTGTCTCAGATGCTTGGCTTGTCATAGAAGCTGTCCCAGAAAAGATCCAGTTGAAGATCGATACCTTTGCTGAGCTCGACATTCTCACACCTACCGACTGCATCCTCGCCTCTAATTCGTCCTCTTACAAATCGTCCGAAATGCTGGAGAAGGTGTGTGATGCTAGGAAGGCTCAGATCCTGAATATGCATTACTACATGCCTCCGGAATGCATGATCGTGGAGCTTATGACAGACGGTCACACAAACCCGGAGATTTTCCCATTCATGGTCGAAAGGTCAAGAGAGGCAGCGACATTACCGTATGTCGCAAGAAAAGAGTCCACAGGCTTCATCTTCAACCGTCTCTGGGCCGCTATCAAGCGCGAGGCTTTGACCATCATGGCCCAGGGCGTGTCTGTTCCGGAGGAGATTGACTCCATGTGGACGGAGATGTTCATCAAAGGTGGCATGGCGCCTTGCCGAACCATGGACAGTAAGTATTTCTCACGCCTAGGACCAATGGAAGCGGTCAACTAATGAGTAATTTGTTAGATGTTGGTCTTGATACGGTGGCTTTTATTGAGAACCACTATATCGCAGAGCGTGGCTTGTCCCCTGAGTATACTGTCGACTATTTGCAGAGCAACTTCTTGGACAATGGGAAGCTGGGAACCAAATCCGCCAACGGTGGCCTCTATCCTCCTTCAGCGGCTAAGCCGATAGTCACTAACGGTACATCGAATGCGCCCAAAATGCTCGTTCTGGATGTTGGTCTTTCTGCTGCTGCACCAAGCATGAGCTCCGGTGAAATTCTCCAATTTAGTCCCGGTGAAAAGAAGCCACAAATTTTGGTCAAGGGTCAAGCAATGCCTGACGGTATCGATATTGACCGTCCAAGCGGCCGTATCTTCTGGTCCAACATGGGCATTCCAGGGAAGACTGATGGAGCCATTTACTCTGCCAACGCTGATGGAACTGACATTCGCACTCTTGTGGCTCCCGGCGTTATCAACACCCCCAAGCAGCTGATCGTTGAAAGTGTGGACAAGAAAATCTACTTTAGCGATCGCGAGGGCCTTTCCGTTTACCGCTGCAACTTTGATGGCTCTAATCTGGAGTTATTGATCCAGAATGGCGATCTTGAGAACCAGGAGCATAGACAAGATGCGTCGAGATGGTGCGTCGGTGTCACTGTGGCTCCGAAGCTGGGCAAATTTTACTGGAGCCAGAAGGGTCCCTCAAAGGGTAGCCAAGGCCGGATTTTCTGCGCCAATATTGCAACTCCCGCAGGCCAGACGGCCCAAACAAGAGATGATATCAGGTGTCTTTTGAAGGATCTTCCCGAGGCAATTGACCTTGAGGTGGATGAAGAGACCAACACTCTCTACTGGACTGATCGCGGTGAAATTCCCTTTGGCAACTCTTTGAACAAGGTTCAACTGGACGAGTTTGGCCTCACAGAAAAGTCGCTCTCTTTTGGAGATTATGAAGTGCTCACCAGGCATCTCAAGGAGGCTATTGGCCTGAAACTGGATACCAAGAATGGTCGCATCTACATGACCGATCTCGGAGGCAACATTTACCAGTGCGATCTCGACGGTAAAAACAAGACTGTTATCTACTCAGATGATTACCGAGCTTTCACTGGAATCACTCTGTTGTGAGTGGGAGTTCTCTCAGTCTAGCTTCGTTCAGTCAGTCTGCAACTTGAACTTACAATGCCCTTTATTCTTCATCACTTCCTGGAGAGGATTTTGTAAATAGTATTTATATAAAATGATCGCTTAATAGAATGTGCCAATTAAACAACAAGTTACGCGGCGAATTAGTTCACCCCTTCATTTTAAAAGTGTCTTGCGGTAAACCTTCATTTGCATTTTGCAAATATCGTATCACGATCCTTATCACAGCATGAATTTGGGGATATTATTAGGTCCTGGTTAGAGCCCTTGTAGATTGACAGCGAAGAGGCAAGATATGGTTTACCGCGGATTTAGAACCGACATTTCACAGACCAGCCAGATTGAATCAAATTGTGATCTGTGTTGAAATTCTCAGATATATCATCCGGGTTTGAAAGTGGACGTCGTACTTGTCGTAGGTACAGGGCTATACCATGTTGTCTGTGTATCGATGTTAAATAACTTGATCCTATAGATGGGAGAATTGAGATAAGTACATATTGAAGGCTAAGGAAATGGCCGAGTGCCGTCATGAATAGAACAAATGCAAGACTTAAGATGTTTGCAAATGAGCATTAAGAGAGGAACCGTTCTTCCCTTTGGTCTCATATCTCATTTGCTGTCCTTATTTAAGATAGAGAAACTAAGTTTTGTAAATATAGAGCCAAAGTACCTCAGACTGTGCTGCTGCAGACTATATCGGCCATCTGTTTCCGATTCATTGTTCTTATCTGATGATCCATCTGACGGAGTCTCCTCAGTACTCCATCGACACGGTGTCCTCTGGAGATATTGGTACTTTCCTTTGTTTGACTGTGATCTTTCATCATTTCTATGGATTCTCCACTATTAGTGGACACCGAAGAGGCATACTGAGAAGCCAAATGCTCATCTAAACTCTTGTCCATGCTCTCCTGGTTCTCTACTAGTTGGGCTAGTGGATATTGCATAGGGATTAGACTGCTGTCAAAGCCGCAGATTTCTTCGTAGAATCCATTATTCCACGGAAATACCTGATCTATGTTATATTGATGTTGATTGAATGTCCCTATCGGATATATCAATGACTCCTGATGAAAGATTGATATCCGTCGATCCAATAAATTCGGTTCATTTTGGGAAGCAACCAAACCCAGATAATTCTCGCTGCCAGTAGCAGAGTCGAGAGTGTCAAGCTCCATATCTGTTGCACATGGTTCGTGATATAACTGTTGCAGATCGGTAGCTGTTCGAGGATAATATGCATCTGAAATGGGGATATTCTGCGCTTGGACACGATTTGATAAAAATTCGGGGGTCATCGACGTTGATGCAGGCCAGTCTAGAGCCATCTGTTATCATTAGAACACGATACACAAACACACCGAGCTCTGGTTACCTTACATGCACCTTTCGAGATTCGAGCGTATTCCGTGGCGCTTCTGACGGCCAAGTACTAGCAGAGATATGGTTGGGTAATGACATGGTGATGGTTAATGTTAATTTGCATGAATATTGGCTGGAAAGGCTTCCTCATCCCACATATATATATGGCCAGCTGGCAAAATGTGCGAAAAGTACAAGGGTCATACCAGCTGCGATTCAGCTTGTCCGGCCAATGATGTGAGCCGGAGAAATCTCCGTGAAGAGGGGGCCGCTGAACCGACTACGAAAGAGTTTGTCATATTGCCTAATTTACAGATAATCTCCATTATTTCTTCGGCAGTAAAAGTCATCAAATGATAGGCTACTCGTTTGCGTTTCATGCTTCTTAAATGCCACAAGCTATTGATGACCTCGAAGTGGGACCCCCGATGCAATTACATAGCAGGATCTTCTCATGTGAAGAAAATCGCCCGCATATAGGTCGCTCTGTTTTATTTTGCTAAGATATATACTATGAAATGAGCCTCTATGAGACGCTCTCCATGGAAACTTCTAGAGGATTAGCTATGGCCCTTGCGAATTGACTCTGTATCTAGATGTTGAGTGCCTTGATTTAGAAGGATGATTTGGTAGTCACGTAGACTAGCTGCAAGTTGATTGTGATGGTTCCAATTATGTGAACAGGTGTACCAATCACTGTTGATCACTTCGTGATCGACCCTACAGCTATCTATGCACTGATAATAATGTACCCCAGTGCATTGGTACAGAGTATCAAAGCCTGAGGTAATTGGATGGCTCTTGTTCCACGTATAGCATACGAAAGAAGAAAGAGAGAGCTATTTCCCAAAGCTATCCATATAACCCAGACGCAGTTGGGATTACAGTTATGACATGTGGTATGGCCTCAGACATCAAGATGATGCTGGTGGAGGCCATCGTTTAGATAGAAGCCCGGACCCTATCAAAAGCCAATCGAAGAGATTCACGAGAATTTAGCTTCTTGATTATCTTGCCCTGGATAATTGTTACCATCCCCTTACGCGCCTCTCCAATGAACCAGTTTTGTACCTGTGTATAAGCGCCTGTGATAAAAGACAAGATTGATAGTAAAGGTTTTTCTGTAAGACTAACCAACTAACTATATAATCTTCGTTGAATGCCTCGATGTCATTAAAAGCTGCGACGTGATAGATGAGTAAAAAAAAAAAGTTGATAAATTGAACCTTGCTTATCTGCACTCTAATACTTACTACAGGACTAATCCTAATGTCTACATGAAATGTAAAATCAACACAACGCATCCGTGACATCATCGGAGAACGCTCCGTAAGGCATCTTATTGGCTGCTGGTGAGCTGTGTTGTCATGGCTATATGGTAGATGCGGGGAGAAATCGCCACTAGAGATTTACTAGCCAAGAAGCTCAATGGCAACAAACTCTATGTAATTTCGCAACATGGGCGGGGAGCAGGGCATATTAAGCAATTTAGGCGTTAAGTCAAAGTGACAGCATGCTTCAGACATCCACCACCTTTCTCATTTGGTGTGTCATAACATCAGATCAGAGCTGCAATTTTTGGCAACTGGCTGCTATGTAGACATGGCGAAGCGATACCAGCCGCTCCTCCCCAGCCCTAGGTCCTCATCAGGCACAGAGCAGACCGGAACGAGCTCGAGCTCGAGCTCGCAGCAATTGAAACGACGTCGCAGCGGTGTGGCGGTAGCTTGCAATGCCTGCCGCCGAAAGAAAATACGAGTAATTCATTGGATAATCAAGTGAGAGTAATAACTTTTGAACTCGGTCTGATGCTGGCTACAGTGTGATGGCATGCGTCCAACATGTTTGGCGTGCCGGGGGGTTGCAGCGCGATGCACATACCGCGACGACTATCTGATGACTCCAGAATCGCAAAGGCTTCTCGTTGAAGTGATGCGTCTTCTCAATGCGCTCCCGGAAAAAGAGACGTTAGGTATATTGCATTCGCTAAGGAGTGAGACTGACGCGGCCGTGATTTATTCTACGCTGAGGGATGGAGTGCCGACAACTCAGCGACCATCTGAGCTTCGTAATGCCGTTGCGATTATGGATAATTCATTTCAAACTCTCGAGCTTGAATCTCAGAACCCAAATGCATATCCTTTCCTACCTCCCATTATCCCCCAGACATTATCGAGAGATGCATATCATCAGCTTACCACCCTGAGCAAGCAGTCTGCTGCCTCAGCCTCTCCTCAGCCTTTGTTTTGGGATACTGATCCCACGGCATCGCCAATATCACTTTGCGACTCTCGATTGTTTCAAATTAACATCAGTCATTGGACCAATGTTCCGATATCAAATGAGGCGGCTGCCCGCGCCATATCCCTGTACTTGGAGACGGATCATCCTCTGCTGGGATACTTCGACCCCAACCTCTTTGTATCGGACTTCGTAAATCTTAAACATGATTACTGTTCCCCAATGCTGATCAACGCGCTGCTCTATTGGGCTTGTGTAAATACTTGCCTTTTACTTTCGTTCTCAACCTACACTGCTAATGTTGAAAATAATAGCAAATGTACAGTGCGGTAGATCCAAGTATCGATGTACACGCAATTGCATTCTGTACGGAGGCTGAGAGTATATGGAAGACCGAGAGAGAACACGATGCGATCCCCAACCTGGCTGCAGCTCTATTCTTGAGCTTGGGTTACCTGGGCCAAGGAAGAGATCATGCTGTATTGTCATATATATCACAGGCTACCAGGATGGCCGTGCGACTAGGTCTCTTTGGCGTAGAAGACGATAGCGAGGCAAAACTCAAAGTTGACGAAATGACTGCAGAAGCGGCCAGCGCCTATTTACACGCCGCTTGGGGTTCATTCAACTGGATCAGGTACGTTCCCCTCTCCAGTTCCCTTTTGGGTGAGGCAAAAATGGTCCATGATTACTCACTCAAGGATATTCTCTCTTCACCCGTACGTGTAGTCTTATGTCGCTCTTCTATCATCAGCCAGGGTTAGAGGGGCCTCGATGTCCCCCACACTTGCCCATACCCGGATTTGGACACGACAACGGTGCCGATGGAGCAGAGGGTCCTGGATCTCCTAGCCTACAGCCTCAGTTCCAGTATATGGGAGGCGTATTTCCTTATCTATGCAAATTTTGGAGCATCATGTACGAGGTGAGCCTGACCTATGACAACACCCAATCGCCGCTGAACGGGCTTGGGACTCTGCACTTCGCGGAATATAAGTTCCGCGAATTACTTGTTTGGAGCAATACTCTCCCATCATACCTCTCGAGAGTTAACCGAAATCCGCATTATGTCCAAGTTTTACAGTAAGTCCTCGCTCTCTCTGCACCATATACCCTTCCATTGTTGTATCTTGTATTGTGCTGATTCTATCGGCGATCCCAGCATTTGGTTCCATACTGCTGTTCTTTGTCTCTTCAAACCATGTATCCAACAACTCGGAATGAGCCGTCTTCGAACCCTTCCAAAGAGTATCAGTTCCCCGGAACTCGTGTATGCTGCGTCTATTTCTCAGTTAAAGCAACTTGTCGTGAACTATAGACTTCATTTCGCATCGTCTACATATACCATTTTGTGGCATACAGCCCTGATATATCTCGCCAACGAAATTCTCAACACACCAAAAGATGAGGACTCGTTCTTTTATTTTTTGCTTTGTGTCTATGGCTATGAACGACTGCGCCGGTCTTGGCGCGTGACGGCGTCCGTTTCAAGAGCACTTTTGTCAATGGCGTTACGCAAAGGGGGCATCACAAGTGGTACGGCTCGTCGAATCTTGAAAGATCTGCAGAGTGACCGCTTTCGCAAGAAGTTCGGTGAAATCAGAGCAACATTCATGGCAGATTTGGACCTGGCCGCGTCGGATCCAGGTTCGGCAACGGTTGAGAAGCAGGCAGAGGATTTTGAGCACAATGCTATGCTGAGAGATTACACGAATATCCTGGATGAAGATTAAAGATAATTGTTAGGAACTGAATGCTTGGAATAGTTGTAATGAATTTTTCAGAAGACTTTTTATAAAACTTTTCATCTAATCTAGTGGGTTCTCTAAATATTGGTCTATGAATAATGGAAGAATAAATAGCACATCTATAAGCAATGTGAAATGACTGCAGGAATTGCATGTAAAGGTCGGAAATCCACCCCACTTGCTAGAAGCAAAAGATTTGATCCGTCATTTTCCCAACGGCTCCTGGAGCTTCGAATCCCATTGCTACCAATGCCTTCTTAGAGGCGTTCACCATTCCAGGAGGCCCACAGAGCATAACTTTGGTGTCTGGCGATGGCCCTGGTAGTTTCGAAGCCATGACGGCCTGCGTGACGAATCCTTTCCCATAGGCCCATTTTTGAGGAGGTTGATCCAACATGTACCAGACTTTGAAGTTCTTGGGATAGTTTTTGGCAAATGCGTCAAGTTCTTTGCGCAGGAGAATATCCTCTTCGGTTCGGTTGGCAAGGATCAGGCTGACCTCGGTGGTATCTTTATCGTCCTCGCAGATGGCGCGAATTAGCTGATACATGGGTGTAATTCCCGTTCCTCCTGCAATCATTCCAATCTTCTTGCAGAGGCCTCTCTTGTATCGCATGGCACCTTTTGGACCACGGAAAAGCACTTTGTCGCCAACCTTTAAGTTTGCCAGGTATTTTCCAGTCAATAAACCATCTGGATAGCACTTGATTACGAGTTCCAGTCTGCCGAGGTCCGCGTTGTTTGAGACTGGTGTGTATGATCTGGAAACATCTGCTCCATCAATGGCAGCTTTGATAGCGACGTGTTGACCGATAGGAATGCCAATCACATCAGTTGGCTTTGGTAGCTGGAACACAAAGAGGAAAACGTTTGGTGACAACGTGTCTTTCCTAATCAGCGGAAGGCTTTTGTATTCTTTGGGCTCCAGCCAGCCTCGAGCAAGCTGTGGATTGCTTTTGGCGACACTGTTGCTCTTCATATGCGGGGGATATTTTGTAAAGCCGGACTCGATTTGAGTAAATTTCGACAGCTGGATTCCGAGGACAACTCCAGCAGCAGTACACAAAAGACTGGCTGCAATGAATCCATTTGAGAATCCTCCTTGGGGCAAATGGACGCTTGGAAGCCAGCGAGGCGACAACTGAGAGAGAGAAGCCTTCCCTAACACCTCCGGCAGATTGAGTTGGCCATTCGAGGCAAGTAATAGGGACAAACCACCAGCAATTGGGATAGCTGCCAGTGTAGCTGTGGCGATAGACGATGAGGGCTTGATAGCCTTTGCACTCTCGGTTGTGTTCTGGACTAGTCGAACAGTCTTGGGGCGGACAATCTCATGAGCATCTTTGGCGGTGCCAATTAAGTAGGTCTTCAGGATCCCATCGGCATCTTCAGAATGCCCAACCTCTTCGTAGGCCGCCGTTGCATCAGTGCCGGCAACATCAATTAGGACATCCGCTCCACCAGGGTGGTCTCTCACGTATTTGGAGACATCATAGACTAAATATGGCCAGATTAGTAAAGAAGAAAGCATTACCGGCCGTTGCTTCGATGAGAATATCTTACCCTTGCCGTGGATCATAACCCACAGGTCATCTCTGGTCTTGTGCACGGCAACTTCTTCTGTAGAATATTCTTGCATAGCTGCAATATTACTCGAACAGGTCTTTTTACGAAGCTAGGAGGATAGGAGAATAGGAGAATTAAAAGGAAGTTGTCTTTTTTAAGGGAAGAAGCGAGAGGAACTTGGCTGATAGAAATATTCCAAATCAGACCAAAGCAGAGGATGATGATAGAGGTAGAGAGCTTTGTTGATGCATCTTGAAAGAATCTTTTTGCTGACAGACTTCTCTTCCATATATAATAATAGAACGCCTGTGTAACATATCAACTGAAGGAATTAAGACATTGCATCCATCTCCAGCGTGTAAGTTGGCCCCCACTAAATCGGGCATTCCGAAACAGTTGCCGCGGAAAGGTTCACACTGTCTTCGCCGCGCTCCGGCTTTCCTTGCCGAGCCAATTGATTGGATCGTGAATAAGTGAAAAAAGCGATCCTCGGGTAGCATTTCAGGAGCATTGCCGAGGATAGATGTCAAGGAGATGCAGGAATAACGTCATCCACACAAACTGGATGGATTTGCTCGGCAGTTGTAAGCGAAGTTTCGCGATCCCGAGATTGCAAAGTCCGCGCCGTTTGAATCCTACTTATAAGTCTCGAGCTTCGCACAAGATGAAGTTTACTAGAAGACAGACACATTATCGAAAGCTAGTGTTACTAAGTCTGACGACTACAACACCAACACCATGGCAGTACAACAGTTTTATCTCCTTGGAGAGCCGATAACGTCTGCGAGAGAAATCGACATCTCGTCGAACTTGGATCTCGATGGACTCAAACACTTAGTTGCTTCTTACTTTGCCATTGTCGAGCCAAATGGTATGTTCTCATAGGAAACAAACGATTTTGCCTGATTTATCGGCACATGTTACTAACCACCTACCAGGAATTGAGTTCCAAGTCCAGGAAAGCGCATTGCAAGAAGTCTCGGACATCACTTCCATCACTGGACCAGTGGCTATCTCTATCGACGGACATGCTGTCCGTGACCCTCCCGGTCCCAAAGGGTTGCCCTATCTCGGCAACTTCTTTGAGATTTACCCAGACCACTTGGGCAACCATCAACGTCTCTTCCAGCATTATGGACCTGTGATCAAGACAACTAACATGGGCCGTGTTGTGTATCAAACAAATGACCCGGATATTGCTCTAATTGCTTTTAACGAGTCCGACTTCTTCACGAAGAAGATTAATGAGTCCCATCCTCTTTACGCCTTAAAAACGCCAGCGGCCGGTGTGTTCTTGGGAGACACCGACACGGAAGAATGGAAGGTCGCCCATAAATTCCTGCCTCCCGCTCTTGGACCCAAAGCTGTTCGTCACTATGCACCGACTATGCAGAAAACAGTCGAAGATGCGTCCAAAGTGTTTGATGCGCTGGATGAACAGGGTGAAGCGTGGAATGTCTATCAGTACATGCTGAAGCTTGGCTCCCAAGCTGTTGGCAAGCTCACCTTGGGCCTCGACTTTAACCATTTCTCTTCACCTGATGCACCCGTTCATGAGATGGTTCATCTAATTGCTGAGGTTCTATCGCTAAATAAGAAAGTCACCTCCAAAGGCGATTGGTATAGCAGCCTGCCATTTGGTGATCCCAAGCGCTTGAAGGATGTGAAGCATCGGGTCGAAGAAATGGTCGAGGAGTCTATCCAGAGAGCTGCTAGAGGCGGCGTGGAGGATCTTCCTCTGCAAGATGCTGCTATAGAGGCATCGAACATGGTTGGTGAGTAGCCCCATGTCCACTCATTGGATCTCCCCATGCTGATACTGACCGTTACTCAGACTATGCGATTCGAGCGATCGACAACAAAGGCGAGAAACTACCAAAATCTAGCCTTGTCTGGGCTCTTATTGTCGCCACTGGTGCTGGCTTCACAACTACCAGCTCCTTGCTTTCATGGCTCATCTATGGATTGGTCACCTACCCAGGAATGCAGGAGAGACTCCTTCAAGAGCTAATCGACAACGACTTTACCGAAGAGACGCAGATTACTTCAGATTACACGGATCGATTGGTGTTCCAAGATAAATACATCAAGGAGATGCAGCGCAAACACAATCCGTCATTCCAACCAGGGCGAACAGCAAAGACCGACCTTATTCTTCCGGGTGGCTATAAGATTCCTAAGGATGCCGTCGTGATCCCCGCTTTGCACCACATCCATCACAACCCTGAACTGTGGAGCAACCCAGAGAAGTTCGACCCGGATAGGTGGGACACAGATGAGGTCAAGAACAGACCAAAGGGATCGTATATGCCATTTGCCGCGGGAGGACGAATGTGCATTGGGTTCAACTTTGCACTTCAAGAGATCAAAGTCTTCTTACCAAAGTTGATTTACCGATACAAGTTCACCCGCGAAGGAGACACGACAGTCGAGTACGATCCCATGTTCCAGCTGATCAGACCAAACAATTTGTATGTGCGAGCTGAAAGACGTGTCAAGTGGCCGCCTAAGTCTGGTGCTGCTTCTCCTAAGAGTACTTCCGCATAAGTTTGTAGACACATGACGGAATTTCTTCCTGGAAAGCTCAGTGCTGCCATGACCATGAGCTGACTCATGTTTGCATTAAAAGATGATAGAAAATTGATGTTCAACGTTCACACCATGTACTTAGTTTCTCAACCATAGAATTTAGATAGAATTTAGATCAAGTACGATGATTTCCTTCTACGATTTTTACCTATATGGATAACCTTGGTAAATTTGCATGAGCTGATGTCGTGGACTTGGCCGACTGACGCCGTACACAATGGGGAGCGGGTAGTACTTCAAGCGTCACACAACTGCTTATCAATTTATGAGATGTTCTTTTTCACACAAATACTTACATTTTATACTTTTTATATTTATATATCTGACATGAGTTTACGAGCGGCTAATAGTGATACATATTCCCCTAAAGACATGTTAATTGGTGCTTTACACTGATAATTGATAATACCTTACCTGACGCCAGCCACCTCTGAGTTAGTACTCTTAATGCGTCTTGTAAGGTGGCTAGTGAACCAGCATTATCCACTGCTGGCTCTTCTGGTAAACTAGACAGTACAATACAACTTTGATATAACAAGTGCATTATAAAGGGTGAGACGGTAGGTAAGGGGATAGTGCCACCCGGCAGGAAATTTTGGGACATGCGGGCAGACTCTCGAGCTATCACTCCAGGGTCAACCATTGGGTAACTAAGCGACTGACTGCCAACCGGGGCTTTCATTCTTTCCGAAGATGATGATTGTTCGAGCAATAAAAGTGCACTATTTGCCCGTTAATACCTTTAGGGTAAAAAAGTATGTTGGTTAGTTCTTACATGTAGCACGCTGCTGTCTGTGTACAGAATTCAAGACTTCTAGTCTCTGCTTCAGATTGGGAGAGGTGGATAAGAGCGTGAAGAGTGCGATTCAATTGTGCAGCTTCTTGCACGTAGAAAGCGTCATCTCTAGGCTCATCAGAGACATGTCTGATAACTTGTCCTAAAAGATATGTTGCTTGAGCAAATCGTGCGAATCGTCCCATTCGTAGTTGTGACTGGGATCCTATGGTGAATAATTCGGTCGCATGCAACAACTGAATAACCGTCAGATTGCAGAACGTTTGAACGATATCCAGTACATACCCCCTGCTCCCATGAAGCATCGTCAGCTGGGAGAATGTCACCAGTTGCTGGGTCCGCAGTAGCAAGCATGCGTGGTGGATTCCCCAAGTTGATGAACCTTCAGAACACATCAGCTAGGTAAATTACTGGTTGGATAAATGAAAAGATTTGCGGGCGCAGCCCCATCCAAATAGACCATTTAAGTAGTGCATACCTGTCTAGAATCAAAATTGCCCACCATACCCTCCTTCTCTCCTCTATATCATCCCATGGGAGTCCCGTTGCGTTACTCTGCTTTATGTCCTTGTCAAGTCCCAGTGCTACTGCATGTCTAGCGCATGTGCCAACAGACATATAAGCAGCCGGATAAATGCAGTGTCCAAGCTCGTAAAGAGCTATGAAGATACCTGCTTGTACGAGTCTGATGCTCAGATTCCCAGCATTCTCTAGCTCAAAGAAAAACTGCTTTGCGGCAATATACGCAGGGGATTTGGGACTTTCAGATGCCGTTGGTGTCCAGTTTATCAACTGCATGGAAAGAAGGAGCAGAGTAGAATCTGCATGGACTGGGGTAAGTGGACTGAGGAGATGCTGGTATATCCAAGTCTTTGATATACATGGCATATATGCATAGACATTACTGAAAAAGGTTGTCACCATCTGCCGGACCTCCTCATCTCCACCCAGAAAGTCGCTGACATATGCCGGAACTGCTAGACTAGGCCGTGGAAGTTCCAGTCGAGCCTGGCGAAAGATATTCATATCCAGGAAGAAAGAAGGCGGGAAAGGTTGCTGCACAACTCGCTGCTGGGCCTGAAGGGCAATCAAGGAGCTGTGCGCGTTGGATGGCCGAAGACCACTGGGATATTCACATTTTCCACCGTTTCTGCTGGACGTGAGTATCTGGGAATACATGGAAAGAGGTGAAGTTATACCTTCGGCAATGTCCGCATTGTGGTAATGCTTTGTCACACTTCCCCTTCCTTTGCTTGCATCTATTGCAAGCAAAAGGAGCAAGCATCTTGTCTGCGGGAGTTGCCGTTCTCAACCTTGCATGCGGATTCTTCGGACTCGCGGCCGTGTCCGTAGCGGCGGCCGGCAACTCTTATAGGAACCGGCTGGCCGTGATTACCAAGCACGCTGTCCGCGCATTAGCGACATAAACCAGGAGCTAAACTCCCGTAGTGTGTGATGCTTAGACACCACTAGACTTACGTGGGCCAAGTACACAGATTCCAACTTGCCCGGCGCTAGCCTGGTTCTCAAGTGTGCGTGGAACATCTACATTAGTTGGCTTGGAACGATACTGAACTCTGTAGCCTCATTGAGAAATGACATAACCAGATCTTGTATACCTGCAACTGTACATAGAAGTCCAAACCAGATTTACTAATTATAGCTATATACTCGAGAATGCAGCATACGTATGTATGTATTTGTAAGATTTCTCTAATACTCTGGAATCAAATCAATAGCGTGTTCTAAGTGTGATTCTTCCAAGTATATAAGATGCCTTCTACGGCATGTAGGAGAGGTTTTCTTCTCTCATCAACAATTAGATCTCAACAGTTCCATCTACAAATCCACTCTTCAATCCACTCTACTCCTCCAATTCATCACCAGCCATGGCATCCAGGTTCCGTGTTTTGATGGTCCTCTCATCGGCCGCCAAGTTCACTACAACTGGCGCCCCCACAGGATGGTACCTTCGTAAGCCTCGAACCTAACAAATGAGGATTCTTAATATTAAAACATTTTCTAATTTGATCCTTTAGCCGAGTTTGCTCACCCATACAAGGTCTTGAGTGAAATTGCCGACATTACAGTTGTCTCGCCAAAGGGCGGTTTCTCTCAAGTTGACCCAGGCTCTGTTAAGAACACAGCGACGACCGATTCCCTCTCTCACTCCTTCCTACGTGACAACGAGTCAGTATGGTCCAACACTGGCAAAATCAGCGACTATATTGGAAGAGGAAAGGAATTTGACGTCATCTGCCACCCTGGTGGCCACGCACGTATGTCCAATGTCACAATCGTTTACTTGAGCAGCAAAAATAACTGATTTTCCTAGCTCTGTTTGACTTGGCCGAGGATAATGACCTGAAAACCCTGATCAGTGAGGTTTATGAAGCTGGAAAGATCGTTGCAGCAATTTGCCACGGTGTTATTGTTCTCAAGGATGTTAAGCTCTCCAACGGCCAATATCTGGTTGCCGATGCGCCCGTTACTGGCTTTAGTAACGAGGAGGAGGATAAGGTTGGCTTGACCGATGCATGCCCGGTGCTTGTGGAGACAGAGTTGGTTAAGATGGGAGGACGTTTCGAAAAGTCAGACGCTCCATTCAAGGCACATGTTACTGTTGCACACAACGGACGTCTTATCACTGGACAGAACCCAGCTAGCGCACCAGGATTTGCTGAAGCAATCAAGCAGTCGCTCCTGAAGGCTTGAAGTGGAATACCAGGGCTTAACGACTCACGATATAATCGGAAAGCTTCAAATAAGCTCTAGTACAGATAGAATAGTTAATGTCAAGTTACTCATTTTTTTAATCTTTGAGATCTTATACATGATAATTGAAGGTGAATTTGTTTTGCCTCTCCATATATTGTGAGTTTCCCGTTATAAAATGCGTTCCCTTCTTTGTTGTATGTTATGACAGAGCAACAAAAAAAAACGATGCGTAGGCAGTACCAGCACTTCACCAGCACTTCACAGCGAGTGAACTTGACTGGTTTACTGTCACCTATTGCGGCCGGCGGTCGTCCCCCGCACATGCAGCCACCTTCGGAATCACGGCAAGCGACAGGATCACGGCAAGCTACAGTGTTTCGTGCAGTGCCAAGGCGTAAACTAGCCCTTCTGGGGCTTTAATTCTCCAGCGACTAATGCAGAGGGATGACGGGCTAATGTCGCTTTAAGGATATTAGCAAGACAACATCTACGCTGTCATTACGATAAACGCCAAAATTCTCGCACTTAATCTGCAATTGGGAGGATCTGACGCCGTTATAGAAGTGTTCTTGAGGATCAGCTATTTATCCCGCCATCCCTTCTATGGGTACGGAAATCAAGACGACTTTGGAAAAATGCCTTTCTACCAAAACCACCTTTTACAAAGAAACTACTAAATGAAGAGTCAACTTGGAAAGGTACATCTCGATCATAATAGCTCATGGACCAGTCGAAAGATAACCACTTGTCTTGGGTATTAATAGTAACAGACTCTGTAAGTGGTGTTGGTAAAGATCTAGCCAGGATTCTCCACTCTTACGGTAAAAAGTGTGTATACCACACGATCTATTGAAGAAGCAAACAAAACGACTGCAGATATTAAAGCCCCTCTTCTTAATTCTAAAGGTGAAATCATCTTCTTGTACCCTGATTTGAATGATCTAGGAGCAATTGAGAAGTCTCCTGATGACTTTCTTTCGAAAGAGACCGGATTAGATGTACTTGGGAATAAGACTGGCGTTATCACGTCGTCTTACAGCTTAAAGACGAAGCAACTCTACAAACAGCAATTAGGTACCATTTGCATAACACCTTTTTTATTCACAAAGCTCTTCACTTTTATTAATAGAGTTCTCAAAGAGTGCCACTCCTCAATCCGTCCAAGTACTATGGGGGGCATAATCGGTCATCTGCCATTCACCACTTGGTGGGGTGGACCTCAACAATACGAATTCCGCTGTAGACGCCAATGCATGGACCAAATATGGTAATAATAAAGCCGGAAACTACTATCATGGAACAAAGTTCACCAAACTGCACAAAAACGATGGCATCATAAAATATTGGACTCTAAAAACGCATGCCTCCCTGTTAGAGGCTCGCAATTGAGGTAGTGGTCTATTCGCTAATTTATCTGCTTACCCGGAATTGTTCGGTGGCCTTTCGATGGATGTGAGTTTGGAGCAGACTGGTACTTGGACATAGTCTTGTACACACCTTCATGGCCAAAGAATTGACTTGGAAATTGTGTATTGTGTCCAAATCTAAGGTAAAAGGTTTGACTGGCATCGCAAGGGAATTTTGGAGATGGTCTGAGGAGCAAAGCAAGCAATATCGCCAGCAGCTACATGTATCTTAGCTGCGTATTTACCGATATAAGGATCTGTAATTATACAGAACCCATTTCATCTGAACAAGGTCTTCAACACGAAAAGATATCCCAATGAGAGAGAACAAACGGCCTATTATATATATATATTGGACCAAGACTGGTCATATGGAGTCACCTAATCTCAATTCTCTTATCAGTGTAACGGATGAATCCCGAACATAACTCGTATCTTCGGCGGCTGTGATTAAGCGTGGTTTTCCCGGTCGCCACGTCAGCAGCCTTTTGGCCTCATTGCAACGCGTTGGTGGCTGTTCACATGGCAATATTGATCCTGCAAAGACAGTGAGCTAGGTTTTCCGCTATCGCTGCCCCTTGTCAAAGCTTCCATATTGGGTTGACCAACACAGCTGACTTTGGAGTTTCCGTACTTTTACTGTGAGAAATGGACGCCCTCAAGAACGAGCTTCGCACAACATACGTTGCCTTAAATGCCACGTTCAGAGAATACCTTGAATCTCAAGGCTTTGATGAGGCGATAATTGATCATTATGTGCAGGTGAGTGTGGCCAAAGCCAGTGGAGTCCTTACCTACCTGCAGTGCCTAACTTTATATAGTGCTTCTCCGCAAACGTTGGAACCGGCAAACTCCATCGGGGGTTAGCAACACTATACATTGGAAAGCAACTTGCGAAGACTGAAGTAAATGAAGAAGAGTCAAACCAACTCTGCGTCTTAGCATGGCTTGTTGAGATGCTAGGAGCGCACTATCTGATTCTAGATGACATAATGGACGAGTCGACGACCCGTCGTGGTGAACCGTGCTGGTATCGCCAGCCCCATATCGGTCTCATGGCCATCAATGACGCATGCATTCTGAAATCTGCCATCTTCTTTTTCCTCAAGAAGTTTCTACGCCAACATCCCGGTTATATCGATATAGTCGAGCTCTTCGTTGACCTTGGACTCCATACTGAACTAGGTCAGCTGTGCGATCTTGCTGCTGCGAAAGAGGAGGATATCGGAACGTTTAGCGAGGAAAAATACTGGTCGATAGTCAAAGAAAAGTCTTCATACAGTATATCAGGGCCAATCATGCTCGCTTTGGCATATTGGCGGCTCGCCACACCGAAGAACTTGGAACAGACTCATACCTTTGCAGTGGCACTAGGAGAGTATTTCCAAGTAAACGACGACTATATCGATGTATATGGGGACTATGAGATTACAGGGAAACATGGGACGGACATTCAAGACAAAAAATGCTCGTGGCTCATTATTGAGGCGCTGTCTCGGGTAAACGAAGAACAGCGAAAGCGCCTTTTGCAAAACTACGGAAGGAAGGAGCCTTCTCACGTTGATACAGTGAAAAAAGTCTTCGAAGAGCTAGATTTGCCGAAAGCCTTTAGGGAATATGAGGGAAAACAAAGAGTTAAGATTGAAGGGATAATTGCGGCCATGGATGAAAGCGAAGGTTTGAAGCGTGAGATATTTCTTATGCTATTTCAGGGCTTTAGAAAGGGGCGACAGTTCTGAAAGTCGCAATTTTTCACAAAGAAAATAAATGTATATACTGCTTATGAGATTGCAGTGGTGACACTGCAACGTCGGTGCTGCCAGCATCGACGAATGGGTTTGCGTTATATAGAGAGTTGTGCATATTCTGAATTGTTGTTGCTTATCCTTTCCTAGGCTTCCATTGGCCATCATCGAAGTAGAGTTCGAAAGCTAGCTATCCGTAGTAGATAATAAAGTTAACCCTGATGGTTAATATCTGACCCATTTAAACAGAATAAACGTGATAGTTGATCGGATATCGCTGGATCCAAGTATGTAGTTTAGATAGCTCGGAGACTGAAAAACATGGTCGAGGGACGCAATGTCTGTCAATCTTGACAAAATCACACACCAGGGTGTATCCACAATGGGCATGCTTCTCGCCCGGTTAGTACTATGCTGGATCTGAGTGACCTTGATTATCAATGATTTGAATACCAAGTTCTTTTGGCCCGTTCTAATGTCTCTGGATCCCGTAAGCTAATCGTTGACCCTACGCTTTCGCCTACATGAGTTCTGGTACGATCGAGCGTAGACACTTGGAAATGAACATTTTTAGCACGTAAGCGATGTATTTATGGAGTAACCAAGACCCATCAAGGCTATCGGACCGCGGATTGAACAGTCATTGATTGGTATTATGCCTTACCGGATCCACCAGATAGCAGCTTCTGCTTGGAGTGGCCCGGAGATTTACGAATACCTTCATTTGGCAAAGGCAGCCTCGGCACAACATTTTGCCAGTTCATGCATACGCCTTGGTTAGATCTAGATGACAGGTCACTGCGCTGTTTCAGAAAGAGCTCTCTCCTAGAAGTAGGCCGGCTTCGCTAGGAGAAATTGAGGGTCACCAAGCTGAATCTCTTCCAATGTTCCGATTGGCGTGGCTCGTTAGGGAACTGTAGATAATCCATCTGTTTCCTTAAGTACAGGAGGGATAATGCTAAGCCATGCAATGATTAACGCAAAGATCAACTAATGTGCCAACTATCTCTTGACAGGTGCATATCCGTCAGTCCAAGCCTCATCGTCCAACGACCGACTAGATCCTGTATTTATTCTATCACCCTGGGGATTGTTATTCGGTCTAGTTACCTGTATTATGCAAGTTAAAAAGTTGTTCCGAGGCGAATCCGACCGCACTATTTTAGGTAGTATATCTGTATTTATATGCCGAGCGCGCTATGGGCAGCTACGGTACATACTTTAACTAGCCTCCCCTATCATCGGAGATGCAAAGGGCTGCGCTCAAGAAATCTCCGAGAATATGGTCTGTTCTCAATATCTATCGTACGAGAAATACTATTGTGAAAATTGTAAGGTATCCGCTGGATAATTTCCATATAACCAGGGCGTTGTGACCTTGCAAGCCTCGCCAGAAGGAAGAGCCTTCTTGACGAAAGGCGCCTTTCTGCAACGCGGATTTCATCCTAACGCATTAATGGAGCGATAAATCACCCCCGAAACATCGGGAGTCAATCTACGAGATCCTTCTGTGACACCTCGTGCTAGTTCAGGTGACATTCCGTTGTATAGTCGCCCGACTATGTGCAGGTTTAAAGCTCCTGCATTGGTTCCAACTCTAACATTAACCAGTAGGGGCCCTATTCCTTTTGCCCTGCTACTGTGAGATCGGTTAATTGAGCCACGCAGAGATAGAAAATAGCTTAGTATTATTTGTAATGGAGCCCTGTCATAGGGGGTGGGCTGACACCAGTCCCTCTCAAGTCCCGACAGTTGCGGATTTGACACAATTGCCCCTGAATACTAGACAATAATGCATATGAGTGAATTGATTGCTTGAAACTTGACGTAATTACGCTCATTATGCTTGTTCTGACCTTGTTCTCTCAGGAACCGAGTTTCTATCCCGGCCCTCATTCTGTGTATGTGCGTGGGGTGACTCTGTATTTAGTGGCCATGTAGACTCTAGGGATGGGGTACTTAGGCTGGTGGATTTGTGATAATTGGAATGAATATTTGCCCCTGTTTCCGAGCCTTGTTAGTTGTAAAGTGGCGGAGTGACTAGCTTAGAGCCACCTGCACTGCTCACGGAGTGATGTAACACAGGCCAATAGAAACGTACACATTAGATGAAGCGATCAAATAGATAGATTGAAGGAGTTAATTATGTAGTTAGTTGCATGTACGGCTGTAGTATTATACAGTTCACTTACCCGGGTTCATCTCCTTTGTGAGTGTAAGTTGTAGGCTGCAGTATGGAGATGTAGCGAACTGCACTGCTATTCTGCGTCATACTGATACTGCGGTCTCAGCTGCATTTTCTCAATTTGTAAATTATGAAAGACTCGACTTTTCGTTTGTCGGCTTTGAAGGAGTGGAATGTTGAAGCATACATGTAATTGAGGAAGGAGGGCTAATGCCAGTTCTGATCCTATATCTGACACCTTGCAGATCTCTCATGCACTGTTCGTATATTCGTATATACGCAGAATTCCAGCACGCAACCGGACTAGCGCATGTGCTTCACCCAATAGGTCGATAGGAGCTGTATAAGTTGGGCGTGCGACAGTTTAGGCGCAAAGAATGTTACCCTCTTCAGTCTTACATACTATGGAGCTCGGGCGGGTTACCTGTCCTGATCACGGAAGGTGTATCGTTACTCTCTATCCACATATTGACAACTCATGTCTCCAATGGCTCAGTTTAAGATCAATAAACAGGCTCGGGACCCTCAAAAACCAAAAACTCTGCAACCCGAAACTCCCTGCTTCTTCATGCTTCTAGTTGAAAGAAAGGCGGATCGAGGTAAATAACCTCGGCATATCACGTGATGACCGAGATGTGGCCTCCCGAGGTCTTCGGGAGCTTCTCAGCAATGATCTCGGCTTCTCCCCTGTCTTCCCAATACTCGGATAATGAACCAGCGATAGAAGCAATGGCAATGTCAACTTTTCGTCACCGTCGGTCGGCAGTTGCGTGCCAAAACTGTCGTCGCCGTAAAGTACGTTGCAGCGTCCAGGTGACGGGAATTCCTTGCATAAACTGCTCTCAAGATGGTGTCGGCTGTGTGCTCTTAGAGAGCAATCGAAACAGGTGAGATTTGACAATGACTTGCATTTAGAAAGGAGCTGATTGGTCTTACTCAACGCGGCTGTAGTCGGCACAAGCAATCCTCTGGTCTCCGTCACAACCATTCGCCCATTCAATTTGAACTTAACCGTCCAGTAACTACCGCGTCTAGGACAGTTCCACAACCACTACCCCAGGCCTCGGCAGAGCAGGGACCTAGCTCTATAGCATCTTACTCGCCTCAGGGCAACGACTCAAGCAATATTGCAGACGATAGCGGCCTTGCCGCTGGCACTGATAGCCGTGGCAGCCCAGATGACCAGCGTATTGGAGCTGAGATCTCGTCAGCAGCCTTGGGGCAGAGTAACCAGGCTGGCCGACCTTTCTATACTGGTATGAGATAATGAAACGACGTTGCGTACATCGGCCAAGATGACGCTGACATTTGTCTTAAAAACAGGAGAGGCACCGGGGTGCATGTCTGTACTTGACGCCTGTTCGCCATCACAGCAACCTGTCGCAAGACATATTCTCATCTCGGAAGCACCTATTTCACTATCTGCGCAAGACCGTGAATATCTACAGTACAAGGGAGTTTTTACTTTACCTCAAAAAAGCACCTGCAACGAACTCCTCCGTGCATACTTTCACCATGTACATCCCCTGATGCCGATAGTTGATGCGACAGTGCTGCTCAAGTTCCACGAAACTGGAAAGGCTAGTGAATGGAACTTGCTATTGTTATGGAGCATGTTCTTTGTCGCAGCAAATGTAAGCTATGATGTTTCGATGTTTATTTGCTTTATCTACGCAATAGGTTGGCCTGCAACTAATTCTTATTCGCAGTTTGTCGATGCTCGAGTATGGACTCTTGAAGGCTACTCTTCCCGCAAAGAGATGAAAGCTGCCATGTACTCTCGGGCAAAGGTGTGTACTGAATATTGGTCATTGCGGATAAGAAACAATTCTCACACCCGTTTTAGTGCTTGTACGACAATGGTGGTGAGACGGACAAAGTCGTCCTCCTGCAATCTGCTCTCCTAATGGGATTCTGGCACTCAAAGTGGGACGGACACTCGCAGCCGTGGTATTGGATAGGCGTTGCAATCAGCCTCTGTCAAATGCTGGGCTTGCACCGAGATCCAGATTCAGTCAAGTTCAACACTTCTTTTCCTAACCACCAGCGACATCTTTGGCGTCGTCTCTGGTGGACTTGTTTCTTCAGGGATCGCTCGTTGAGCTTGACGCTTGGGAGGCCATTAAGGATCAATCTCAACGACTGCAATACACCGATGGTCTCGTCCGCTGATGTGCTAAGCGACCTGACGCAGATACCGGCTTCAATTGCCAGCGCATATATCCCAGAAGATTTCTCTCAGCTGGCTCACTATTGGATTACTCTGATCGAATTGAGCAAACTTCTGGGCGACGTTCTTACTCTGTGCTACCAGCCTTTCGGCCCTAGTCCAACGCTCCGTCAGATTGAACTCCTGGAAGCGAAGCTATTGCAAATGCAGCTCCCAGAGCGATATGCGATCGAACAAAGTCGCCTCACATCCTTTTATCTATATCATTTACAACTGCATTATCAGTAAGTCCCAAATCCAATCTCCACATCATCTTTTAACGGTTTGCTTATACATGGCCACAGCGCGATTTTGATCACATTTTATTGCCCGTACATTGCCAAGGCCCCAGAAGACCTGTCTCCAGCCATTAAGAATGAATGGCAGAATGAGATGCGAAACAAGATGGATTCAGCAGCTGTACGCTCCAATGCCATTGTTGATAACATCGTACGGGATAAGCTCCTTCGATTTGCTTGTCCTATGACGTGAGTGCATTCTCCCGCGACCTCAGCGATGACATTCGCGCAATTGCTGATTATAGCTTCTGTATCGGCTGCAGTCCTTCTCTTCTAGTATCAGCTATGCATGTGCATCTCCTCAACTGTAAATCGACAGACGCTCTTTCTCGCCGCCTCAGCCTAAACAAGCTGGAGCTTTGTATGATGGTCATGGAGGATCTAGAGGAGACGTATACATCAGCCTCCGTGTATCGGGGCGTTTTCTTGGAAGCGATACGCCAATTATACCCGAACTACTCTGGCAGTCCGACTGGGGTTGCTTCGACCGCTGGAGGAGCCTCTCTGTCCCGTGCAACCCCTGCGGATGACTCGGCCACCCTACCGAACATCAATGATGATATTCTTACGACTCTTTTGGATGAAGCGTCATGCTTCAATTTTTGGGAATCTTTTAGTGATATTCAGCTGGAGCTAGAACCGAGCTTATGAACGCTCATGGCGCAATCGGAGTAAGGCTTTTACAATCAGCATGCCGGGAGTTAAATTTGGAATGAATTTGGATGGAAATGTTGTGTTTCATGTATTCAGTGAAGAGAAGTGAGATATTCAAGCTTTACATGCATTGGTGCCGAGTTATCGAAGACATAAATTTGACTTGAAACAAACATAATCGGCTTGGTTTAGGCTGCATAGTAAGAGATTGTGTTATTGTAATCGTTTTGTAGGAGATGTTTTAATCGGAAACAAGCAGTGTCTTCGCCAACTCAGCTGCTGGCTTAATGCTGGTATGAGCTTCCATAGCACAACCTCTGGTCCAACAATAACTTTCCCGGAGTCTCTACTTTCTTGTAGTAGTGCTCAGTTGCACCGCACACTTGCAAACCCCATCGTTTTGCAAACTCGCATGCCACTTCATCACCATCTCTTCCCGCGTCTGTAATCAACAGAGCGGCGCATATATGATCAATAATGTGTCGCGCAAAGCTCTCTGCCGCTCCTATGTGTTCAATTGAGCCGTCAGAGAGTACAAGCTTCAATCGACTCCAGGATTCTAAGATCAGCTTCCTTTCGAGGGCCAAATTTTGATGACACTCGATGTGGGCAAAGACAGCTGTATCGATAACCGCCAAAGTCGTTGAGCCATTATTACCCTCTATCAGATTCATGGCATAAGCTGCCAAAACATTCGATGTTCCTTCTACAATAGGACCAGCTGACATATCTCGATACAGCCGAGCAATATTGAACTCGCCTTCTTCATTCTCCATATATCCCAACCCTCCAAGGAACTCCACTCACAGGCCGATATTGTTCACAGCTTCGCGGCATATGACCGCCTTTGCAGCCGGGACTAGCCATCGAAATAACAATTCCACGTCCTCGGCAGTCGCGTCTAAGCCGACACAGAACGGTAATGTCTCATCACCACTATGCTTCTGCTCATTTAGCTGCAAAAGACCGGAGAGATACAACAGCAGCATAAGTCTGGCCTTGTACGCCAAGTGAGACTTGGCCAGACTGTGCATGTGAAGCGGCAACTCATTCAGTGGCTTTCTCCCAATGCGACGGACCTTGGCAAATGCACGAGCAACTCTGAGGCTGTGTCCCCAAGCGCTCAGGGTGCCAGCGCACGCAAACATACGGGCAACTGTCAGGAACGTGAGTACTTCACGCGCGCCTCGTCCTTCTTGTCCGATCAGCCAGGCTCGCATCCCGCTGAGTTCGACTTCTGCCACCGCAACAGGAGTACTTCCGCATTTTTTCTTCAGGCATCGTATACTAATGCCATTGGGGACATAAATGGCTCTTCCACTTTGGTCTTGCACTGGTATTCTAAGTGGAGCAAGAAATGCTGAAGGTCCTTTCGCGGTGTTTGCCAGAATAAGCGTAACTGTGGCATCTGGTCCGGAGGCGTAGAATTTAGATCCATAGAGAGCCCAGTGACCTAACTTCAACTCTCCTAACCTCTTTCCATCATTATCCGCTTGGAATTCAGCCGTAGTCAGACCCGTGAAATCGCTGCCTGAAGGCAATTCGGTCACCCATATCCCAGAGGTCCAAGCTTTGCGTGGATCTGAAGATACTAGACCGTCATACGCACATTGTATTGCGTCTCGGGTCTCTTGGTCCAAGCTTGGATTCTCAAGATGTTCTTTAAGCATTGTACTGGCACCCTGACTTAACGCAAGCTGTGAACCCCAGCCTCCAGAGAGTGAAGAGAATAGAAGAAACCTATTAGCCAATATTAGTGAAGATGATAAGGGACTCGAATGTATAGGCAACTCACTTGGCAAACTGAACAACTCTGCCGTAACCAGAAAATCTCGACTCCGGCACTGCAGTCAGTCTATCTGTCGATTTAGTACTACCCCTACATACTGAATTAGCCATGGCTTTGGAACTCACCCCTCAGATTGGGCGAATGCTCGAAAATGTCTCCATCCATTACTTGTAACAACATGATCGACTCTACGGCCCTAGGTATCTAGAGGCCGAATATATGGCGGATTGCTCTCAGTATTCGAATGCATGTCGAGAAACTCTCGTGACAGCATCTTCTCACCCAGTGAAGCTAACTCTGGAGAGGCCTTTGCCATTGCGTCCGAGGGTAGAAAACCTCATCAGTTGATCAGTATCTTGTCATGAATCTGTGGTTTCATCTAGATTTTCGTACATGATAACGCGCGAGTAAATATAGCATCGTCGTAGAACTGGTTTTCCAAGTCTGGTCGGATAATGTCTGCCGAATGCGTGTTTTGAGTCGAAATAACGGCGTCTCTTGTCATCTGCAAATTGGACGGGCCCATCGTAGTAATGAGTGGTGTTATATTTTCACGATAGACTTATAAAACAGCGTATGATTACATGACCAAGAGGCATCCCAAGCTCTCATATAGTGTCTGCCAGGTAAGAGTAATAGTAAATGACATGGAAATCATCTCCGCACTAGTGTATAATCTTTACGAGTACGGAGCACTATTTACAGCTTACATGGTCCACAATCTTGATGATCCTTGGTAGTCGGCCCGTATTTGTGTAAATAAAGGTATGGAATCACACTGAGATAGGTACCCGTAGTTGTTCTTATACCGTTTGATACATACAATAGAGGTGCGAAGATAATTCGGCAAATGTCAATAATGTCATGAATATAGCAAAAACGCCTCATTTGGAAATATCTACACAACATCATATGGGTAATACAATGAGCAAACGCTTTCTAGAGGCCGACAAGGCTGACTACACGCAATCGAACATCTCCTTTTGCTGGCAACTCCCGCCGGTGGCAGGCTTTTGTGGAGTCTCGGAATATATCCCATAGAACCGCGAATACCCGCCAGGGGTAGAACAAATCGCTGTTGGGCAAGGCTTTCCATTAAACATCTTTCACTATCGACCAAGAGTCGAGGGTGGATGCTGGTTTCAATAACTAGGTAGCTGGAACAGGGCGAGAGAGATGCAGGCTGACAAGCTGGACACTAACCCGCTGAATCGACGCTACTCCGATCTTCTTTAGCAGGGCCCCCAAACACCAGATGTAAGCAAGCCGATCACAGTGATAACAGAGATCATCGGTCATCCGATTCCAAAGGTGTCAGCCAAAATAAAACTGCGGAGCAGTCTGCTCCCCTGGACTTCAACGAGGAGCATACTCAGCATAATTCCTGGTTCTAACTGGTCCACCGAGGCCGCATTACTGTTCCAACCCCTCCCCAACGGCCATCTGTTCTATACAGGTACAGCCAGTAGAACTGTGGTATGATCTATAACAGACAGCACTACCTATGCTCCACATACCAGAAACGACAATACTACCGACGTCTCATGAGATCTATCAGAAACTGTCCAATAGACCCACTTCACCGCTTACGTCTCTCTTACAAAAACACGCGCTTTAACCAGATTTTCGGAGTTCTTTTTTTACTTTGCTTATACTCCGTAGAAAGCGGTATGTTGTTGAAACGTCCCACATGCATTGTCCCACCTATTTAAGTATTAAGATTTCTCGAGTTAGCAGACCGTTGGCTGCATTCGAAAACATCCCACCCGAAATCTTGCCAAAATGAGTGACCTACGATCTCGTATGATGGAACTTGCCATCTCTTTCTTAAATGCTTTCAACGAGTTCACCACAGAATCCGTTGTGAGATATCGCAGCGAGAGTTGCATGCACCGCCTCCTACCAAAATCACTAGACGCGCCGCCACGCACCAACAGCGAATACTCTGCCTGGGTCGGCAACCTGAAGAATGTCATGAGCGGATTCAAACTTTCTTTCATGGATGGCTATGAGCCTATAATTGACGACAAATCCCGACATATCACCTTGCACCTCAAATCCACCTGCGAAACGGTACTGGGAGAATATCAGAATGAATATGTATGGATCATGAAGGTCGATGAGACCGGCCAAGAAATTGTGGACATCATGGAATTCGCGGATAGCGCGTATACAATTGAATGGATTCAGAAGCTTCAAAATGCTATTGAAAAGAAGTAAAACGGGAAATAGAATATCTCCTTATGCAACGAAACGAAGCAGGAATTGTCATTGACTGCCACAGAAACTATACCATATAAAGCTTTGCAATTTATCTATCTCTAGCTCCGTGTAACATCATGTTTTACACCGCCTGCTAAATTTAATGAATACTACAATGAGCTTAAGGCACACAATCTTCAAACCCAGTAGCATAATTATTGTTTATCGGGGGAGTATGACCTTTCGGTGCTAAGATACTCCTAACCTACTCTCAGATAAAGGTATGATGGATCCTCGGGCTAAATGCTCATGTAAGCTGCGGCATAACGCAATCTCATAGCAAAAGTTCTTCTCCAGCTTTCAATAACGTCTCTGTAGCTGTCGAAGTAGCGTCAAATATGCGGACCAGCTAGAGCTGAGAATATTTCTAGTTGTTCCACAGCGCTAGAACTATGGCACCTTCACAGGTTACAGGCTTCAGATTTGGAATCAAACTTATTCCTGTTTCCCATTATTGCGCGCATCTTCTGCAGGGCATGATCACCTGTACTGTATCTGAGATTTTAGCTCATCCAGGCTATCTCGGCTAACAAACAATGGGTCGCTTACGTCTGTGCTTGCTCTCAGCGGGACTCATTGTCAATCAGCCGGGCATCAGTCGCATAATATCGCCCGCCTCGATTTCTAACTCTTGGATAAAATCCTCTGGTGGAGATGAGAAAAGCCGAGGATCCTGGTGATGTTAGCACGTCAGCGTGTTCTTCGCTGACACCTGATATCACTTGCTGTAACACATATCATATCAGTACATGTATGTAGAATGTCCTGACATCGCCCTCTGTGTATCTCACGATAATTAGCTACAATAAGATTAAAGTGAGAATGACAAATCAATGCGCTACGATATTACAGAAATTGGAATATCCCTAATTAGTGAGTAAAGCTACTCCAGATACTCTAACCAGTAGGGGGCTGACTGCGTAGAGCCAGATCCAAGAACTTTAGGTTCCTGTCTACTCCGGACCGCTGAATCAGGTACAAATACAAACCCATGGGCCTTTCTTCAACTTGCTTCTTTATAGCTTACCACCGAGAGTACAGTTTATCGTTATACTCTAGAAATCGACCCAACATGGACTCCCCATACACACTGACTCGAGGTCCTGATGCTGGCGAGGAGCAGCGCCTCCATAATCAGCATTACAATATGTGGATGCCAGTTGCCAAACAACTTTTGCCGCCTCACATTTTTGGTGGCCTGGTGAAGCCTGACCATCCTCCTGCTATAGCTGATCTTGCCACTGGCACTGGTATTTGACTTCGAGATCTTGCGGCCAAATTACCCAGCAATGCACGTCTAGACGGTTACGATTACGACCCATCGAAGTTTATTGAAGCTTTCGAGCTACCTAATAATGTTCGACTTTTCCCCGGGGACATACTTAAACCGTTTCCTGAGCAATTGCGGGCGCAGTATGATGTGATTCATGTACGAATGCTCATACTTGGCCTCAAAGCGGACCAATGGGCAGAAGCGGCTCAAAATATCAAGATGCTGCTGCGACTAGGAGGTTGGCTAGTGTGGGAGGACTATGGACACTCAGGAATTACATGTGTGCCCGTGACAAAGGAATTTGCGCTGTGGAGCAACGCTGAAGTGCAGTACGCCCGCTCTGTTGGCAGAGATATTACGTGAGTAACTCAAACCAGTTTTTATTACCGTCCAAAAGCCCTAATAATCTTCCAGAGCCCCAATGCGACTTCTGAGCCAAATTCAAGAATCTGGATATGTCAATTGTCATGAGAGCATCTATCATAGCTTTGGTTTGCCGGAAAATCTTCGTAAAACCACTGGACGACTTTTCATGGCCGCTGCACGCCAAATTTTAAAAGGCACACTTGATAAGACTGAATCGACAATTGTTAAATCTCATGATGAGGTAGATGGGATAGTTGACAAGGTAATAAGTGATATCGAAACAGACCGTTGCGTCGTTGGGTTTTATATACATGTTATTACAGGTCAAATAGAGACGAAGGACATAGGAAGAACTGAGCTGTAACTTGAGCATTGAAAATAAATATGTGCACAATAATAGCCAAATTCATTGCACGTAATATCTCTCTCCCCAACGGGCTTTAGGTTAATGTCGAGATGTTACCTTCGGCGACAGCCGTTTCTGGTCGTGAATCTCGTATATCAATCTCCAACTTCCCAATCACGTTATTACTCCAAAGTTGAGACTCCACATCTTATTAGAAAATTAGGCTCCAGCGCACAGACCACCAGCTCCAAGACCAATCATCTGTCCGGACAAGGGTTGCCAATTGCCTTTAAATACTGCCTGCATAAACAGCGTTCCAACCAACGATCTGCAGTATTAGACGTCAATGACTACCAGAACATATTATACATCATGGATCAATCATTTGAAATTATCACACCGGGAGATTCGGCGGCTGCGGACAATGGTGACATTGTTATGCTGACCCGTGATGACGTGAGCGATTTCAATGAAGAGAATATCCTACCTCAGACTCCCGAGACTCTCACCAAAATTAAGCAATGGCTTTGTCCAACAGACTATGCTGCGGTCAATGGAGAATTCTACAAGCACTTGAGTTCCCATGTTGCTGGAACGGGCGACTGGCTCTACTTAACGGATGCCTACAAGCAATGGCATGATTCGAAAGCCAAAGGGATACTTTGGCTCAAAGGCATCCCTGGTTCAGGAAAGTCTGTCTTCGCCGCTAGATCAATTCAGCGACTGCAAGAAGAAGGCGTTCCAGTTCTCTATTTCTTCTTCCGACAGATCATCCGCGCCAATTATGAGCCAACAGCTCTGCTACGAGACTGGCTTGTCCAGATTCTACCCTACAGCCCGCCGCTCCAAGCCAGACTCAAGAAGTACCTTGACGAGCGTCGAACAATTGAGACGCTGTCCATCGAGGACATGTTCAGAGACCTTCGGCTAGCGTGCACATATGTGCCCAAGGTCTACTGCGTTATAGACGCTCTGGACGAGATGAACCTTGGCAATGATCAGTTTCTTCATGAGTTGGCCAAATTCGCATCTTGGCAGCCACGCAATATTAGAATGATGATAACTAGCAGACCCGTACCTGCAGTTGAGACACCACTTAGACCTTACCAAACGGTACAAATTCGCCTCCAGGAACAGTTGGTGGATCAAGATATTGTGGTTTATGTACAACGACTGCTTGCTAGCTCTCGCATTCCCAAAGATGATCAACACAAGATCCAGCAGGCAGTCCTTGAAAAGGCCGGCGGAATCTTCCTCTATGCTAAGCTGGTTATGGAACAAATCATGGAACAAGATGCCAACATAGAGCACATTCTTGAGACTCTGCCCGCCAATCTCAATGTCATGTACACTACTCTTCTGAGAGAACATTCTCACAGGTCTGGCATACCACACCATGTACAGCTCCTAGTTCTGCAGTGGGTAACTCACGCGAATCGCCCGCTCCGACTTCTTGAGATGTCAGAAATGCTGAGCGTGACACGTCAACTGGACGGTATACGTGAGCTCAAAGAGGTCAAAGACATCATACGTGCCATTTGTGGATCACTTTTGGAGATTCTCCCTGATGAGACTGTTTCTGTTGTACATCACTCTCTCACTGAGTTTCTCAAGGGCCAAACACGCTCTCCTGCTCATGGGCATCTAGCCGATGAGTATAGCTTGCTTGAATCTGAATCAACTCACCTCAGACTAGCACTCGCATGTCTATCTTACCTTGATGCAGGGTGCCTGGACAGCTATGAGATCATGGAGAAGAGCAAGATGAGAAATGAGAGTTGGAAACGTAGGAGACTTAACCAAGATTCAAGGCTAGAACACCCATTTGCCGAGTATGCGGCCTTCAATTGGCATATACACATAATCAAGGCCGGGTTATCGGCCAGAGGTCAACCAGAGCTATATAAACTGCTGGACAATTTCCTCCAAGGGAACCGCCTTCTCGTCTGGCTGAGTCTAGAGTGGCCGAATGTCGACTTTGAGGACATGTCTCCTCTACATGTTGCTGCTTATCTCAATCTGGCGGATTACATGCGGGATCTTCTGGAGAGGCCAAACACCAACGCCAATGTCGTCAATGAGAGGGAAGAAACTCCCATCTACTGGGCTGCGTATAATGGACATGAAGAAGCAATCAGGCTTCTCCTACAGCACGGCGCCGAGTCAAACAATTATAACGCCACCGGCTTGACGCCATTACACGAAGCTGCAATGCGAAACCACGCAGCAGCAGCACAGATCTTATTGACTGCTGGGGTTGATCCTCTCACTCCTAGGACAGATCCTCAAGCCAAACGTTACCATTATGCCGAGCGCAGGTCCACTGGGCGGACGCCGCTCCAATATGCCTGCAAGAATGGGCATAAAGAAGTTGTGGTCATATATTTGCCCTTTCTCAACGATACTAATGTTGTGTATAACGCATTGCACTTGGCAGCTGAGTGTGGCCAGGATAAAGTTGTGGAGTGCATCCTGAGACATCCAGGCATAGAGGTGGACGCCTTCGTTTCCCATCACACGGCATTATACTATGCTTGCGAGGCAGTCAACCCTCAGACTATAGAAGTCCTTCTGAAGGCTGGAGCCAATCCGAATGTCTTACTTGAGCCGAAATTCTATCAGAATCTTAGCATAAGGCATGGTGCAAAGGGCCTGGACCCGAATGGTTCACAGCGCATGCTTACAGCCCTGCACGTGCTGTCCACCAGTGCTGCAGGGAACAATCGGCCAAGCGTGGACAGGATTCAAAAATGTTTCGAGCTAGTTCAGGAGGTTGGGGTCGATCTAGAGGTTCCAGACCTCGAAGGCAAGACGGCTCTACACAGCTTGTTCTCGGGTTCAGCCTTTGTGTCATCTGAATCGGTTTTTGCCATGCTACGGCTACTTGTCAAGGCGGGCGCCGACGTGAATACAACTTGCGACAAGGGAGATACACCACTGCACGGAAATCTCACCAGCAAAGATGCTGTCCGTCTACTCATCGAGGAGGGCGGCGCAGACATCAATAAGCGACGAACTTCGGATGGTAGAACGCCGCTTTTATGTCTTCTCTCTTCTCAGTCACCGGAAACCTCGTTGGAATTCTTATCCTTCGGTCCAGACTGTAATGCCGTGGATAACGATGGCAATGGCGCTCTTCACGTTGCCGTAGGCTGTCGACATACCAATCGCGATCTCATTCTTGCTCTCTTTGCACGGGGAGCCGACGCAAATATGAAGAATCACAGCGGTCAAACGGCATTGCACATTGAGGGCGAGCATGGGCAAAGGCAAGAGGATCTGATTAAGGTCTTGGTGGAATCCGGCGCAGATCTTGAGGCTCGTGATAACAAGGGCTTCACGCCTTTATTTCAAAGAGTAAGCGCAAAGTTTTACGAGCGAGATTGGACTATGAGCAATATTCTCAAGATCCTTGTGGAGCTGGGAGCGAAAACCGATTGCCGCGACGACAAGGGCCGAACTTTGCTCCATGAAGCGGCACACCGCGATGCTTACGATCGATTTAAATACTTTCTGGATCTGGGGGTGAGTCCGCTTGCCCAAGATGAAGCAGGGAATACCATGTGGCATGAAGCGATTTACACTCGGTCTTACCCGTCCCAGAGGCCTTCTTTCCATGTCAGGAATGGTCCACCAGTTCCAGATATATATAATCTACTGACTGAGAGTGGAGTTGATCCCGATCAAGCAAACAATCAGGGGAGAACCCCCCTGCATATCGCCTGCAGTATAGAGACTGAGGCGTTTGACAGCCAATATGAAAAGACCCCTATCAATTACTTGTTGAGTGTTTGCAAGAACCCGAGCCCAGCCGACAGTGATGGCATAACGCCCCTCCATTTGGCTGCTACTATCTCCGAGTATCACGTCGCCGCACTCCTCAGAGCTAGGGCGAACGTAGCAGCTGTGACTCTTGATGGGCTGACTCCATTGCACCTCGCAGCTCGCGCTTGCCAGTCAAACATTGTTGACATGCTTCTCTATGAAGTCGAGAAAGATGGTTCTTCAAATGTCTCAAGTCTCGTTAATCATCGGGATAATAGTGGGCGAACAGCTCTTCATTATGCATGCAGATCCGGACGCCCAGAGGCGGTAGCGTTCTTACTCGCATCAGGAGCTGATGTTAACATCCGGGCGAAGGATGGTATGACACCACTACAAGAATGTACCAAATTTGAAAGCGAACTGGAACTTTGGAGAGGCTGTGGCTCGGCCAATGATAGACAGAATCGTCTCCAAGCCGCAGGGCTTAAGCTTGAGGATGAAACACGCCCATTTCTGCGTAGGATTAATCCACCCATGCAGGAAGACAAAAAAATACCACCTGAGCATACTTCGAGCCGCCTTGACGAGATACTAGACATGTTAGTCGCTCACGGACTAGACGTTCATACAACAGATACCTCTGGACGGAACCAGATTCAAGAAGCCATTAGTCTTATCAAGAGCCCAACAATGGGCTACACTATAAGATGCTTCTTGGCTTTGGCCAATAGACTGGATCCAAAATTATACAAAAGCGATATTGAATCTCTTTCAAGCCTTCGGGAGCAGGCGGAGGCAATGGTAGGACCTCCAGAACTTGAGCATCAATGCAATCATATACACTGTCATGACTCTGAACCTGATAAGTTCTTAATGTCACGAGAGTACAGTCGCGTCGAAGAGATCCATCGAGAGGGTACGGATTTCACGGAAGCAAGCCGCGCAAATGGTACGCCGTGGCATAGTTTGGTTCTTGGAGGATATGGACTGCTCCTCGAGAAATTATGCACTGGCGAGGTTGTGAAAAACTTTGAAAGCAAAAAATGGTGCACAAAGTGGCTAAATGGTATTACGAAGCGAAGAGGTCCCTTTGGTCCGCGAAGCATCAGCTCGCTCTTGATTGCCGCATGCAGCAGCAGAATGCCTAATATGGAGGTGGTCAAAGTGCTCGTTGAGACCTTCAAAGCAGACGTCAATGCGCAAACCTCTACACAAATCTTTAACCTGGTAGATGGACAGATAGTAGAGGGGGAGAGTGCGCTTCACATCTTGGCCAGAGGTCACCACTGGTGGCAGGTTCACCAGGCACTTCCTTATCTCATAAGTCATGGAGCCAATGTCAACTTGAAAGATCAGATTAAGCGGACGCCTCTGCACATCGCATTGGAGAGTATTCCAGGAAATACTCGCAGAGTGCCTTCTTTCCAAGAAGAAGCAGCTCGAGTACTTGTCAGTGCCGGCGCAGATATTCACGCAAGCGACAATATGGGCAAAAGCTGTCAGACTCTCGCGGTCAGAAGCAGCAATCCCAGAATGCTGCAGATTATTCTACCACCAGGAGCGGCATTGGACATCTCAATTTTATTCGTTGCAATCGAAGAATGCAATGTTCAGCTATTTGAGCGACTACTATCAGTTGGCATGGATCTCAACAAGAGATGTAACGCCAGTGCTTCAGGAGACAAGCTTGGTCCAATAAAGAGGGATGGCGCTACAATTGAACTGGATGAGTTATACGCGTTGCTACTCGTTGACTATAAAGCAGCAACTCACGTTAATGCCCTAAATCGCGGCCCCGTTTTCGGTAATCCTTTCGGTAATAACATCGCAAATCCAGCGCAACCTGATGACAATAAGTACATTCGTATGATGGAGCTGCTTGTTTCTCACGGCGTGGACCTATATGCCAGGTTTAACAAAACCGCTCAGGATATCAGTGCTTCTCTTGTGGCTATGCCATCCACGAATGAGACCATCAACAGTTCTGAGAACGACAGGACAGGTAAACAGCCCCCTCAAGGCCATCACTATGAGGACTGCACTGTCATTCATGAGCTGTTGGAGAACAGCAAATTTATCCAAGACATTATTGACTGGAAATCCATCGACCTGGAACATCGCGATGGTAAAGGCAGGACATTGCTTATGGCAGCATGCCGGAACAAAACCTTCGCCGATGTGACAGCTACGAAGCTCGTAGAACTGGAAGCCGATCTGTCAGCCCGGGATAGTGAGGGCAAAAACGCTCTTCATCACATCTTTGAGTCTCACGCACCGAATGAAATTTGCAAACACAATGAGGTGGTAAAACTGATGCTATCCAAAAGTCCGGAGCTTGTACATGAAGAAGATTTCAAAGGTAATTTACCAATCAACTACGTTCAGCCAGGTTTCTGCAATCCGTGTATGGGTTTCTTCCGACAAGCACCTTGCAAAGACATTGTCGATATCCTTCTAGATGCGGGTTCAGACCCATTGCATCCGGACGCCGACGGCAATTTTCCTATACATTTCCTCGGTCACCGGCCGAAGCATGCATTGTTTCAGCGCTTTCTTGACATGGGTGTCCCAATCGACATACGTAATACCAAAAATGGTAACACACCATTGTTCAATTGGTTCTCTTCAGAACCTTCATCCCTCGACAGGCCACGAGTTGGCTTACAGAATATCGGTGTCTTCGGCGCAGGCTTCACAAGCACAGCCTTCGCGAGAGCATCCCATCCAAGCACCCTCTACCCATTCCCAGCGACAGTCCTCCCAGGTACAGCCACCCCAAGCGTGAGCTTTCCACGCACGAACTTTCAAAGACCATTCCTGGCACAACCAGTCCTCGCAAGCACGGGGTTTCCGGTTGCGCCGCCTCAACAGCCAGTAGATAGAACCAAGCTCGAGGATTTTGAACAAGAGCAGCTGGCATTCTACGAGGAGGCAGGGGCAGATTTCATGGTCCGCAATAATGCTGGAGAGACTCTCTTACATATCTTGGCGAGCTCATCGTTCCAAGGCAGCCATGGTGGAAGGAGTAAAGACGACATCACCATTGCAAGGTTCAAATTTCTAGTTGCAAAGGGGCTTGATCCTCTAGCCGAAGATGGACGACAAAGAACGGCTATTGACATCGCTGTAGCATGTGATAACAAAGGATTTCTGGATTTCTTTAAGAAGTGAGCTCACGAACAAATGATGCTTGGGGCTGAAGGCTATGCAAGTGTTGAGATAGATGTTTTTAGACGCTCCATATTCTATTATTAAAATATCAGGATGAAATCTGTATATCTAAGCGTTCCACGGTCCATTTCCGACGAACTTCAATTCCTCTCGACCAAAATTCTCCTCAAAGTTCAGGTTGGTCTGCATTCCGGCGGCAGCCATTGCTTTCAGTCGTCTGTCCACCAAGCCACCTGGGGCATCAGCTTTCAAGAATGAGTTAAAGCTCTCTATCTGCTCGTCTGCCGTAGGAAATCCGGTGCGCCCATTGATGAGATTCTTCGCTGCGGCGATGGCAGAGTGGTCCCAGCCAGCTACTCGGCGAGCAAATTTGTCAACAAACTTTTCGAATTGAGCATCTGGGATTGCACGATTGATCCCTAGAATTATTTAGCATTGCGCTCAAACATTGAACATGGGAGCATTAATAGGCTAGTAGCTTACACCCGTAGAGAGCAGCAGTCTCAGCGTCAATGCTGTCGGCACCGATTACAACTTCGAGGGCTCGACTTCGTCCAGCCAAGCGGGACAACAACTCGATTCCACCACCACCTGGATTTGCACCTTGAGAATTTACATTAGTAAGAAGATATGTCAAATCAGTAGATAAAACTCACCGAACCCGACTTCATACTGTGCAAGTACGGCTTTCTCTTTGCTCCCAAATCTAACATCCAGAACCGCTGCAATCTCTGCACCAGCATTGTAAGTGAGGCCTCTGATGGCAGCTACTGTGAGCACCGGAGCTTTTGCTAGGCGAGTAATGCTATCCCAGTATCGGGGGTTACCGGGGTACAAGTCGGGGTCTAGAGTATTTATAAGGTCCACGTGTGTGGAGAAGAAGTATTTCGAATTCGAGTCGAAAACAACAACCTTGACATTAGGGTCGCTGGTAATTTCATCAACAAGGGTATAGAAATCACGGAAGAAAGCATTGCCTTGGATATTGAATGGAGGATCTGAAAATGTCGCACGCCAGTATGAAGGGGTGATCTTGGTTGTCGTTATCACGGATGAAGGGGCAGTGGGTGCCGGAGCACCCGTTGCGGTGTGGATAATGGAGGCGATGGCCAATGGGATGAGAGTAGGAAGCCTCATTTCTAACTAATGATATTCGGCTTGCTGGATGTATGTAGACGTAATAATTTGTCGCTGAGATTCGACAACTAATGGAGTTGGGGTACTTCTATCTATCACTTGTCCCGGATGATACAGACCTTTATAGAAAGCCAAATGAACCACAGCTACCAATGCTATTACTGACAAGAAGTTAATTTGTAATGCTCGTGGAGAGAGAATGGAATCGAGGTCGTTCATACGTCATACAGAACATATTATTCGATTAATCATGCCTAGAGTAGAGAAAAAGCTAGGAGCGGCCCGGCTCGTGAAACATGTCCGCGGAGCGTATTCCCAAGCTGGTCTAACAAACCCGTTCACTGGAAATCACTTCCGCTGACCTTCTAAGTTGGTACATTACTTGTAAGTACCTGCATTAATAATTCGTCCTAGATTGTACATTTCCACAGGTTTGCATAAGGTGAATCTACTGGACAATCACTATTTGTATATTAAGCTATGCCATCTGGGTGAACAGTTCCACTCGATCTCTACTTCATAGCGAGCGATTAGGGCCCATAGTAAAGAACGCAAGAAAGTCTTACAGTACATCTCTCTAACACTAGGCACACTGCATCCGTCTCTGAGCTAATTGTCTAAGGCATATTATTATCTCACATAGTATTAATTTTAATAAATATTGTATATTTTTCTCGTTCACTTACCCCAGCTATTGTAAATCTTGTCCAATCAATGCAATCTGTATCAAATCATAACTTCCGTTCACGTATGTTACAGTGCACCGTAGAAGACTTTTCATTGCAAATGGAGCAGCGATGTCTGTGAAATCACGGTCAGACAAGTTAGCTTCTACTACAACTATAGTGTCAAACGTGTATGCATGAACATGACTGCTGCCAACCCCCACCCCCCGAAATGCTCTGATGACGGGACCACCCTCTTTCTGGGTACATAGGCAATCTTGCCCGCGTACGCCCGCCACAATGCTTGCTCTTCTTGATGGAATTTACCTGCAAGAAACCGAAAAATGCATATACATAACGCAGCGAACATAGCCTCTGGAGTTTTTGACCATTCTTCGTCGTCTTTTGCAAGGTTAACAATTTGTAAGTCGCTAAACTCGCTAATTGGTAAGCCAGAATCACAAAGTCCCAAGATGCAAGCCAAAGTCCACCTAGTCTATCCACCTAAGATGTATACAACGTACGTCACTCAAGCGCTGAGTAGGCATTCGAAGCACTGTAAGGCCTCTCGTAGGCCCTCGTATTTGTAATCGACTATAGAAGAAAAATTTGTAATACTTGAGCAGCTCTGCAGATTACAATGAAGAGAGTTCTTGGTAATGGTGTCCTGTCTCTAGATTCAAGAAACATACATTTAACATTGGCAGCAACGGGTCAATATTTAAAAATCACTTACTCCATGGTTTTTGTGTTTATCGGCGAGATTTCCGGGAAGCAATCCCACATCACACGTTTTAGGAAAGAGACATTGTGTTAATTGCGTCCGTGATCGCGAATTGAGGATTGATACCATGTATAATCCCAGAGTTATCACTGATTTCAACATCAGAACATTAAATTGGAAATATCTCAATAGTAGTTAACCCTCTGCTAGTAAAATCGCGCCTCCATTCGCAGGGACACTAGCACCATTCATCCAACGAGCATCTTCGCTCGCTACGAAAGCTACAATTGCCGCAATCTCCTCTGGCTCTGCCAATCGCTTCTCAACAGTGGCATAGTTCTTAAGTCCTTCCATATACTCTTTGGGCAGGTTAGCTAAGGCGTTCTCCATGGCAGGAGTCTTCGTGGGCCCGACGCTTATTGAATTGATCGTGATGCCTTTCTCTGCAGCTAGAGCGCTCGCCATAGACCGGGTTATACTGTTTAATGCTGCTTTACTAGCGCCGTAAAGTATTCCGGGCTCGTCGGCCGCCTGTTTGGCTGTCACGGAGCTCACATTAATAATACTCCTTAGCTGCAGGTAATCCCCAGAAAGCTAAATCTCTGGCTTTAGTACTCACTAATAGCCCGTAAGAAATAATATTTTACTTACGCAGTAGAGCAAGATCCTGCCGGCAGCCTCGGGGGTATATATAAAACCCACGGCTGAACATGTACAAAGCTACTCTGGTGTGCTAAAAAGAAGTTGTATTTATGCAACTACAGAAGGAATCCATCGGGGTACTCTGGGTATCGTGTTCATCTCCAGTACACATTGTTCAAAGGGCAATCAAGTTTGAACAACTCCTAGACAGCAAACGCAGCGACACCAGCAATAGCCGCAACGGCTGCGCCATTCAAACAACGGGCAGTCCCGGCCCCAGCCGAAGGTATTGTCATCGACTGGGTTGCGGTCGCCATCACTGTGCTGTGTGAACTCATGGCTGCGGTTGAATTAACCTTGGACGGCTCCACCACTGCTTCATACAGGCTACAAGACGCGTTCTTCGCCAAGGGGCAATCGCTCTCGACACAGATCGCCTGCAGTTGCGGCCCTTGGGCCTTGATCACCGTGGCAGGCATAGCACAACGCATGCCGAAGCCGTTGGAGAGGGCGTTGCCCACGATCTCAATGTCTGAGGCGGCTACACCAAACGACTGCGCAGCTAGGGCAATCTGCTGGATGAAGTATGTCAGTTCTGCGCTGTCGAGGGCCATGAACTTGTGGACTTGGTAAAGCGACGCTCGACCCCCATAGGCGGGAAAGCCGGGCATTCCTTGGTGCGAGCAGGAGAGGAGGGAGCCGAAGAATTGATACAGATGCGTGAGGAGGAAGCTGTACACTCCCAGTTAGCAGGTTGTGACGAATGATTGGTGTACGGTCAAGGTGTCAACATACTATTGTCTCGAGGTGTCGTCGTTGGCGGGCTTGTTCTTCATGAGCGGTGCTGCGCCGCCACCATCGAGAAAGTTGACCGATTGTCCATGAGAGCCACCGGTATTGGTCGAAGCTAGCTGGCCATTAAAGTACGGCAAAAGATTGACCGCCTTGCCGTTGACCTGACCTGGGGCAAGGATGCCGGGCACCTTGACGCCGACGTTGGGAGCTGTATCTGCAGTGAGGGAACGGACGAGTTAGAGACGAAAGTCAATGCAATGTGGAGAGGCGATGAGAATTGGCGTACAGTTGCCGATCACGACGGTGTTGACGAGGAGTGTGAGCAGCGTCAGCTGGTTCTCTGCCGTGTTTTCTTTGAGGAGCGCCGTGGTGTAGTAGTCGCATATGGAGACGCTGGCTGGGCGCTGGGCATTTACCACCGAAGCAGCCGCTGCGAGAAGTACACTTGAGAATTTCATCTTGACTATATGAAATGTTGGAAGGCTTTGGCAAAAGAGCAACAGCTGGGGGGAGGATAGTTTGTGATTCGTGGGTGCTGGGACATGGCTGTGATATAGCTTCGTCTTGTCCAGGGTGATTGTTGTGATGCCGACGTCAACACTGTCTATCAACCTCTCGCCTTACTCCAACGATCGTGTAATATCCCGTCTTCTCGTAAGTGGAAGTTTGATTTGCGTCATGGACTGAGACATTGATGCCGGAAGCTGTTCTATCCGGTGCTACTGCTGAGGTGAATTGGCGCTTGGGAGAGCCGCCCTCTTGGCTGCGATAAGACATGCAGGGAGGCAGCATGCAGGGCGGCAAAGGGGCTCATTACGGTGTCCTCGATATTTGCCCGATCGAATCCAGATTAACGGGACCATGATTACTGTGGCACAGGTTGATTAGGTGGCATTCGATTGGCTGGACCTACTATGGCTCTCTCGGAGAGGCATCGGTCTCAAGGGGGGGGGAGGCTGGGGCTTGGCTATTCTCGGATAGACTCGTGTCGATCTGGAGTCCGTCTTTGTGTTTTGTTCCCGGAGATTTGAATCTCGATTCGTGGGGTTTTGCTGTCATGTCGTCTTGGAAACATGTTTGACAGATGCTTACGAAGAGGCTATTGTCATGGGTATTTGCGTGGACGTTCTGTTTCATTGCTATTCATTGCATTCACAATGAAGGGCTTTGGTCTCTTGTCGATTCATTTGCTTGTTGCAACTGTAGTATGCGCAACATGTACATGGTTTACAGGTTTAATAGCTAGCTAGATATTTAAAACAATTAGGTAAGTTAATATCTACTGTAAAGAAAAAATATAGGGATTTTTAGATAAGTTTATCTATGTAATTAGCGTTTACTGTTGCTGGGAGCGCGAGATTGATGGACTTAGTACTATAGTAGTATACTAGTTGAGGATAATGGCGGCGGAGTGACAAAGAATAGTACCTATGACTTTCCATTGAACAAGCTATTAAAACATATCCAGGAATCCCAGTCCAGTATACATGCGCTGTTACAGAATAAGACCTTGATAATTTTGGATTCACTCTTCATGCTCGTTTCGCTGGCTCATCTTCTCATCCTTCTCCTCATGACGATAGTTAATTCAATAGGTGGTGATTATAAATTGCAGGTTACGCGCTTAAATGGCTAAGCAAGGGACCGCTCACGAGGGATAATCTGGGGAATCTGCAAGATGCCATCTTCTCCGCAATATTCCCCAACATTGTCCATCATCAGGACTGCAATTCCGCTCGGAGAAAAGGTCATCATTCCCTCATTCGGGCGATTCACGGCGTTTTCCATCCTGACGAAACAGCGTGCAGAGCTGACCGGCAATGACTCGCGTGTCAACCGTTCAACCAACGCCTTGGCCGCATCACTGTGACCCTCACCATACGATTCCCTTGGGCGATACTCGTACGGCAAAATTCTATCCTTGCCTGCTGCGGGCACTAATCTCCACTACTGTGGTCATCGATGTGGAGAAGTAGGCTTGTCTTGCTCGTCCAACTTCCGACTTCTTGACTCAATGGCTCGACTCTCCGTGTTATTCCCCCACAAGCAAAGGCACATGGCAATTCGTGAGCAAGGGCCGGCACCCATCTTTATGGGGTAATTACGCGCTATCGCACTGTTCCGTAAGACGCTTCTCCAGTGGCATTCTCCATCTTAAAGCCCGCCATTGGACTCGACGACGATCTCTTCCCCACATGGAACGCGAAAAGTTGGTTTAGGGCTTGTTCGGCGCAACAACTTGGCTTCACTCTAGTTTCGGTAGCTTGCACGAGGAGAGGGGGGAAATGCGGAGAGTCAGTACCGGGTCTCAGGGCGACAGTCACCCTGGGTGCGGTCAGCATAGAGCTAGGGACCCATATTGTGTCTTGAGAAGGGAGCAAGGTTGGATTAAGGAAGAGGATTAGATATAAAGGCACGCTGATCCACTGCTCTTTGGCGGGATCTGAGCCGGATATCTTGAAGTATCTTTGTGGATTCTCAGTTTCATTCAGCGGTTATTGTGGTACAGCTGCTGTAAAGCGCAAATTCAAGATGGCGCCCAATCCAACAGACGTCAGTGTGGTGCAGCAGCAGCCCACTAAAGGTGTTTTTCGCCAATTTCGTGAAAACCCGTACATCTTTGGTCTCTCGGCTGTAAGTTGATGAAATATGCCATCATGACTGAATCAACAACATCACCGCTAATAAACATTAGTTTGCTTCGCTCGGTGGATTTCTCTTTGGCTATGACCAAGGCGTTGTCTCAGGTGTCCTGGGAATGGAGAATTTCGGTGCACTCTTCCCAAGGATCTATCTGGACAGTGGATTCAAAGGCTGGTTTGTCTCTACGCTGCTTCTGACAGCATGGTTTGGCTCCTTGATGAATGGTCCGATTGCGGATCGCTTTGGCAGAAAGGGCTCAATGATGGCCGCTGTTGTGGTTTTCCTTCTCGGATCCGCTCTGCAGTCTGGCGCAACCTCAATCGGCATGTTGTTTGGTGGTAAGTCTCAAATGTCCTATTTAGGGTCGAACTTTAGTAACATTATGTGTAGGGCGAGCTATTGCTGGCCTGGCAGTTGGTATGCTTACCATGATTGTGCCCATGTATATGTCGGAAGTTTCTACAGCTGGTATTCGAGGAACGCTGGTTGTGCTACAGCAGTGTAAGTCTCAGACGCCAAACTCCCATGTATCTAACCTGGCGATTCCGTTTCCTAATAAGAGATTCCTTATATAGTGAGCATTACTCTGGGTATTCTCGTCAGCTACTGGCTCGAATACGGCACCCAGTACATTGGTGGTACCCGTTGTGCCCCCGACATTCCCTACTCAGGCGGCACTCCTGATAAGCCTACCTTCGACCCCCGAAACGATGTTGGTCCCAACGGCTGCACTGGTCAAAGCCAAGCTGCATGGAGAGTCCCATTCGCCTTGCAAATCGTACCTGCACTTATCCTAGGCATTGGAATGATCTTTTATCCCGAGTCCCCACGCTTCTACCTCATGCGAAAGAACGAAGAAGCGGCCCTTCGCTCATTGGCCCGCCTCCGTCGCGTCCATCCCGATTCCGAGTCCCTCAGAGAAGAGTATCTTTCTATTAAAGCCGAGGTTATGTTTGATGAGGCTCATTCGCGAGAGAACTACCCCGGCAAGAGTGGTGTCAGCCTCTTCTTCTCCGAATACTACGGTCTGCTGTCAACTTGGCCTAGCTTCAAGCGTGTGTTTATCGGAAGTGCCATCATGTTTTTGCAACAGTTCCAGGGATGCAACGCCTTGATCTACTATGCTCCGACTATCTTTGGACAGCTGGGATTATCTGGAAACACCACATCGCTTTTGGCAACTGGTGTCTATGGCATTGTTAACACTTTGAGCACCCTACCCGCCCTCTTCCTCATCGACCGAGTTGGAAGACGACCTTTGCTCATGTGTGGTGCTACCGGAACGTTTATCTCCCTCATCATCGTCGGAGCTATTGTTGGCAAATACGGCGCTGCTCTTGGCGATCATAAAGTCCCAGGAGGAGTTGCAATTGCCTTCATCTACATCTACGACGTCAACTTCTCCTACTCTTTCGCTCCTATTGGATGGGTGTACCCTTCGGAAATCTTCAACCTGGGCAGCAGATCCAAGGCCATGGCTATCACCACCAGCTCAACTTGGATGTGCAACTTCATCATTGGACTTGTCACTCCCGACATGCTTGAAACTCTCAAGTGGGGCACGTATATCTTCTTTGCGGCTTTCTGCTTGATCGGCTTGGTATTTACATACTTCTGTGTTCCTGAGACTAAGGGCCGCACGCTGGAGGATATGGATCGCGTCTTTGGTGATGAGACCGCGTTGCAAGAGAAGGAAAGGCTGTTTGCCATTGCTGCCTCTCTGGGCTTGACGGCATCGATTCCGCCAGAAAAGACGGAGGCAATGACCGCTGAGGCTGAAGAGTACGCCTAAGTTTATAGGATGAACAAGGGGGTTAGAAGAAGGATAGTGAATCAATGGTGTAATAATGCAAATGTTCTATACATCAGGGCTTCTATTGTTTTTATGTGTTTTACCCTTTATATACCAAGTGTCAAACGTTAGCTGCAAAACTCGACAGCAATTGCAGTCAGTGTCTCTGTGACCTGCTTTATTGATTCAACATCTGCGTATTCCAGTTTCCCATGCAGCCCTTCTCCCTTTGGCCCCCAGAGCAACGTCGGAATACCAGCATCGGCCAGTAGTGCAGAATCTGTCCAGTAGGGTGCCCCCGATATGACTGGCTCCTCGCCCAATGTGATGCTTACGTACTTTCGAACGAGTTGTGAGAAAGGGTGGTCAAGGGCAGCCTTGAAAGAGGACCGGTTAAAGGTGGTCCGGAGAGTGTATTTAAAGTCTGGGACTTTCTCCACCAGGCCGTCGAGGATAGTTTTTAGCTCCTTTGTTACTGTTTCTGGTGTCTCGCCATTTACAGTCCGACGCTCAAGCTGGATCCGGGTGAGTGCAGGATAGGACGAGACTTCTTCGCCACCGTTGATGATGGAAGCATGTATGCTTCCCGGTCCAAGAACAGAATCGCCGGTTTGTGCTGTTAGATTGCTCGCATGTTTATCCAATTCAACGAGGAAATAACCTGCCTTGCAGATTGCATCGATACCAAGATCGTACCTTGAGCCATGAGATGCTAGACCATGGATATCCACCTCGAACCATACGAAGCCTTTGTGCGCGTATAGGATATCCATGTTGGTCGGCTCGCTGACAATGGCGCCATCGGCCCTCCAACCTGCTTCCAACACCTGCTGCGTACCGATACTCTCAAACTCTTCGTCTGCTACCCCTGTGAAAATCACGTCTCCATTTAGGCCTTGCTGTTTTGCGTTGGCTAGGGTGACCATGGCGGCTGCGATGCCGCATTTCATATCAGCCGCTCCACGACCGTAGAGCTTGCCGTCTATGATGTCGCCGTTAAGGGGATCTCCCTCGTACCCCACGAGTGTCACAGTGTCGATATGGCCGTTGAGCATAAGACTCTTGCCACCACCCGATCCGCGTGCAACGCCTACTACAGAAGGCCGACCCGGTGTTGGCTCGATCCAGTGAGTTTCAATATCACGATGTTCCATCCACGCAGTGATGTATCGGGCGACTGCAGTCTCTCCAGGGCCAGGAATAGATCCCATGGAGGGATTGGCCGAGTTGATCCTGACCAAAGTTTGCGTCAACTCGACGGGGTCGTCGCTCGCCACATCATGAGGAATGCTATAGTCTCTTGGGCCCTCTGTGCAAAACACAACCACAACTGAATCTTTGGTCAGGCCAAGCTTTTCTCTATCCGAAGGACTCAGCCTCCTGAGAGCAGCAATAGGTGCTGCACCACAGGGTCCTGCGGATACGCCTTGAGAGGTTAAATAGCTGCAAGCCTGATGAGCCTCAAAGTCCGAAACAGTTAGGCTTGCATCCACTCCGTGGCGGAGAATGGCCCATGAGATAGATGAAGGGGTCCCGCAATCCAACCCCGCCATGATGCTAGGTGTCTTTTCCGAGGTTGTGGAGGATTCACCCCTCTTGAGACTCTTCCAGAGACTGGCGGATGTATCAGGCTCGACCGTGAGGACGGTGGTTTGCTTTCCCGCTTTTTTAAAGTGTGTCACTACAGCCTGAGCAAAAGAGCCGACGCCTACGGGTACTACGACGAGGTCAGGGGTAGTAGTTCCCAGTTGGCCATCGATTTCCAACATCATAGTAAGGTAGCCATCCACAATCCACTACACGATACATTAGCAGGCTTTCAATCAATGGATAAGTAAGGGCAAGTTCACGTGCCTGCGGGATTTGAACATAGTCACCAGAGGCATAGTCCTGAACCACAATGGCGGTCTCATCTTGGGCAGCTGCCACACGGGCGTCGACGACAGCAGCGTCATAGAAGCCATCCGAAACGACAACATGAGCGCCCTCCGACTTTATTAGATCGATGGTGCCGCTATGCATGGAAACAGGTACATGTATTTGCGAAGTGACACCCAGGATAGATGCCATGCGTGCAACGGCACGGCCATGGTTACCATCTGTGGCTGCGTATAGACTGATTTTGGTGTTTTTCAGTGCTTGCTTAACGGAGTCGAGAGAAGAATCGAGAGGAAGATCAAGCCGCTGGGCGATGGCTCGAAACGTGCCCCATGAGGCCCCAAGAATCTTGAAGGAGGGGAGTCCAAGTCGACATGTCTCATCTTTGAGGTGGACAGCACCAACGCCCAACTCCTCGGCGAGATGCTTGAGAGGGACCAGGTTTGTTTGCGAATAGGCCGGTAGTTGTGAGTGGAAGCGATATGCCAGTTCTGGGCTATCTGTTAACGGCGTGGTCCATGATTTGGCTGCTGGATTGAAGTAGACAGGGCGGCGAGTCATGGTCTTGTATGTACTGTAGTGAGGGGCGGGATATGTAGATGAGGTTGCGAGTGTGATGTTATGCAGTGTGAGATGGATTAGACAGACGAGAAACAACAAACCAAGGCGAAAAACGACGGATTTTATCTGGTATATGTAGCGTTAGGTATCTTGACTCGCTCCAGCTTGCTTCTTTGGCCTCGTGTCAGCCATCTCCATTCATAGCCGGAACCAACTCCTATTTGCGCCGGCTTCAGCTCCAAGCGTGAGCCAATGGACGGCAACGTTCGATGCTAGTGACGACAAGTCTGCAAGAGATACCGAAGATGGTAAGGGGCAGGGAGTGAATCTTGGCGAGTGAGCGGAACAAACTCCGATGCGCTGGAGTGATTCTGCTGTCCGGTTGGCTGTAATTCTTCTTGTTGATGTTTTTTGATGGTGCTTTTGATGTCGTTTTTTCCCTCCCTTGTGCTGTAATCGGACCCGATAAGTACCGGTACATGTGGTGGTGCGCCGATAAAGTCGAGTGCCGCCCCTCTTTATGTGGAGGAGAAGGCGCATTGCCGCTGTACGATGCTGTCAGGCGCTGTAAGGCGCTGTAAAGAGACGTGTCTGCCCACTGTAAAACTGGGAATAATGGGCGGAGATGCTACGTTCGTGCGCATGTACACGTAGATGTACATATACCTAACTCGACATGTACTATCAAATACGTCTACACGCTTCTCCCTGCTGTTTGCTGTCATGAGAAGGCGCTTCATGAGGTCAATCTAAGGCTTGATCACAAATACAAGTCTCCTCAGACCACAATTTGCCCCTCTTCAGATGTAGAAGAAGGCGTAACCCCGTACAAGTCGAATGTACGCATGGATCAATGATAGCATCGTCACAATCACCAGATGCCCATGTACCCAGGTACCTGGTAAGTTGTCCACGGGTGCTATTATCGGGCATCCATTCATACGAGTTTGTAAGCGCCGCTCGGCCGATTAGGCGCAATCACCCGCTGTAGAACATCGCCGCCAACGGCTCTAGAACCCTGAGGAAGCGCTGTATTTTAGCGCTATACATGTTCTGTAGGCGGAAGGCGCATTGGCCAGATACCGTGCACGTGCTCCCCCACTTACCCGCGATACCGCACCCCCAAAAAAAGGAAAAAAGCGCCCTCCTGCTACGACTAAAACAGATGCTGAACATTTTCACCATCCAAGCGTGCGCCTTCTCCGCCCTCCGCCAACCGCAATCCTGTGCTCGGACAGCAGCTGAAGGGGGGGAAAAAAAGGACCCCCGACGGAGACTCCAACGGAAGACCCGCCAACAAGGACCGAGGCGCCGAAGCTGGAAGCCCGTGGATGCTTTTGCTGGCTCCGAGCTGAGCACCGGCCAGAGGCACCGAAGTGCTGCGAAACAGTCGATCCATGTTGAATCGAGCAGACTAACGAGGGATTGGGCCTCTAGCCTGCAGAAGAAGCCCTGTAGCAGATAGCAGTGACAGCAGCAGCAGTGACACGAGACTGCTGCACAAGATCCGGGCCGTGGAGCTGGTGAGACACTCAATTGGAAACTCCGAGACAGGCGACCGCGAGTCGCTGAGGCCGGACCGCGAGTCGTGAGACGGTGAGCGCTTACATACGCCGGACGATTACGCGATCTTGGCTATGGAGGACGGCCTGTTCCTGGAGGACGAGCATCGGGGCAACGTCGGCAATCTCGCCATGACTGGCGTTGGCGGCTTGGAGATTGGGATGGGAATGGAGATAGGACGGACGGGGATGGGGGCGACAATGGAGAATCAGATGGAGAATCAGCACCGCCTCATGCACCAGCAGCACCAGCCCCAGCTCCAGCCTCACGTTATCTCTCGCCCTCAATCTCACCCTCACTCTCAACCAGAACCACCGGCTCAGCAGCAATTCCCATTCGACCAGCACCAGCAGGCCTCAGACCAGCTTCCCCGCCAGCTGCAGACTCCCGTCCCCATGGACCAGTTTGGGCCGCCCTTCTTCTCCCCCTCCGATCCCTATGCCGGCAGTCCGTATGCGAGCCCGGCCGGTGGAGGCTCCAGCTTCCCCGACTTCCAGTACGAGCTGGGGTCCGACCACACCGACTCCGGCGTCTTCCCTGGCCCCGGCTCTCCCTTTGACGGTACTGTTCCGGTTCCGCTTGGTCCGGGCCCTCTAAGTGATATCGGACATTTCTGGGCCACGGAGGCTCAACCTCAACCGCAGCAGCACCAGTCACTGCAAGACAACACCAGGACCCTCAACGCCATCGACGAGTTCTTCATCAAAAACGGCGCTCATCGACCACCTGTGCCCTGCAGCTACTGCAAACGCCAACGGCTCCAGTGCCTTATCCTTCAAACCACGGAGGCAAACCCAAACCCCGTCAGCTCTTGTTCCAGTTGCGTGGCCCTCTACCGTGATTGCAGTCTTGCTGAGCGAAGCAAGAGAGATGCCTCTGCCTATGAGACTGTTCTCCCCGTCATTGGTCATCTGCACGGTGTTTGCGAGGAGGTCGACGATGCCACTACTCGCGAAGGGACAACGCAATGGCGCATTGAGCGAGAGACGGCTCCAACTGCAACTCGATCATCGTCCGTCTCTCACAAGAGGAACAGCACTCGGTCCGTCAAGAAGACTAGGGTTCTGAGAAACTGGTTCGCCACTCATCAAGAACATCCGTACCCATCCGAAGACGAAAAGTCTATGCTTTCCGAGCAGAGCGGCCTCAGCAAGACGCAGGTGATCAATTGGTTCGCCAATGCTAGGCGCCGCCATCGTCTGACCGCACAGTCACACTTCAACAACAGCAGCAAAGTGTTTCTGCAAGGATCTCCCATGCCACAGACATTCCTGTCTGGCATGTCACCAATGGAGCGCTGGCGGCATTCACCCCCGAATGAGGAGCCCGTCTCGGTATCAGCCATCGAGAACGCCATTTCTAACCAGGTTGATGAGGGAGATGCTTACCTCTACAGCTTTGACGGCAACTGTGCCACCGATGGTGCCCCTTCCTCGGCCAGCAGCGAGTCGGCCATCTTCAACCAGCACCCTACGGGTCGCTACGAGGGTTCATCCAACTCTGGATCGTCTGCCTTTTCCTTCTATCAATCTGACGATGCGGGCATCTTCTCCCTATCGGCGCATAGCTCCATCCATGGCGGCGACAGTAATTTAATAGCCGGCTCATCCAATGCAAGGGCCGCTGTGGGAGCGACGGCAGAGCGTGGAAAGGCCCACATGTTTCAGTGCACCTTTTGCCGCCAGAGCTTCAAGAAGAAGTATGACTGGGTGCGCCATGAGAGATCCATTCACCTCCCTGGCCTCGACTCTTGGATATGCAAAGTTCCTCTGCCAGAAGAACAATCACATCTTGTTTGGCGTGTCAACCACAGTGAGCCTGAATGCATATTTTGTGGTCAGGCGTCGCCAACGGAGGAGCATCTCCAAGCCCACGAGTTCCAATCCTGCGCCGAGCGTCCCGTGTCAGAGCGAACGTTTACTCGCAAGGATCATTTATGGCAACACCTGCACAAGTTCCATCGCTGCCGAAAGTGGGACGGTTGGAAGCCGAATCTCCACCTCTTACAGCATCGCCAAGACAAATATGAGAGCGTGTGCGGCTTCTGCCAGCTCAAGATGCATAGCTGGGACGAGAGGGTCCAGCATCTGGCATCGCACTTTCGCCGTGGCACCACCATGGTTGAATGGACGGGTGCCGCAACCAGCATAACCGGTGATGGCACTCGGAAGATGCCGTCGAATAGGGCCCGCACTACCCCCTTGAGTGGCGATGAAGCCGATGCATCATCACTGGGACTATTTCCCTAGTATCAGGAATTCCGCGAGTGCTGCTCATTTTGATTCATTTTAGGGAGTCATTTATGCTGCCTCAATTACGCATTCATAACCCATATAGATTTTGTACATACTTTTCAACTCAAACATTATAAATAGATTTTGGCATATCGGTAGTTTCTTAGGATAAATATACCCACTCGTTAACAAGTATCAATAAACATAGATGAAATCCTCATTCTGCAAATCCGTCACGTCCTCAAATGCCTTGTCCCCAACATTATCATCACCCATGTTCAAAATCTCCTCGTCGTATTCATTATCACCTCGCTTCCTGTCCATCATGCTCAGATCCCGGATCACCTCTGACTTGCCGAGCGCTCGTCGTCTCGCCGCTTGCCGCGTGTTAAGGACCTTGATCCAAAGCATACCTGCAACAATCAGGACTGCCAGCACCACGAAAAGAGCAAGATTCGATCGCAAACCGCGGTCGTAGCGCGGCTTCTCGCTAGGCTTGAAGAGCTGTGGACCTATAATGTTGCCGACACTCGCGCCAACAAAGAGCATACCGGTGGTGACTTTGCGCTTGGTGTCGCCGGCAGTGTTCTGGCCTGACCAGGAGTAGATCAGAGGAGAAATGCCAGGGTAGACGGAGATGATGTAGTAGCCAACAAGGAGAACGGCCCGGTCGGATGGAGCTCGGCCGGTAACGAGAAGGATGACACAGCCCGCAATGGGAGGAAGGCAGAGGAACAAGAGAACGGCAGATTTCATGTGTATCTTGTCGGATACCCAAGCGCCGCCAAGTGTGGCAATCATCTGGACTGCGCCAAAGGGGATATTAAAGAGGATCGTGGTGAAGGAGCTGAAGCCAAAGGACTGGATGATGAGCGGACCAAAGGTAGAGATGCCGCCACTGGGAATCCTATTGTAATATTAGCATTAGTAGCTGTTGTTGTTGGGTCCAGTGGCATTTGCATTAAACTTACGAGATGGTAAGCATGAGACAGGTCCAGAGCCACGTCTTTGGATCCAGCATGGCTTCGCGAACATGCTCCCATTTCCAGACGCCGGAGCCGATGCCCATCTGGTTCATTCGGAGACGTTCAATAGCGATGAGTTTCTCGTCTTCTTTAAGGAACTTTGCTTCCATGGGGGAATCCGGCATGAAAAAGCTAGTTACTCGTTAGATATGTGTTTAGATAAAGGAGAGTATTGTTCCACTTACTACATGACTATTGAAAAAGCAACAGTGATGCAGCCACAAAAGAGGAAGATAATTTGATAGGGGTGAAGGGTTGATTTGATGTGACCGAGACCATATGTGAGGAGACTTCCGAGCTATAGTATCGTTAGAAGCGATTCAGTTTACGTCGTAGACTCGCAGTGACGGCTTTACCATGTTGACAACTCCCAGCATCGCATACCAAGAGGCATTTCGAGTTGTCTGTTCTTTTCTGCGATACCACATCTGTACGACTGCAATAAAAGTCGGGGCTAATTGACATCAGTTAGCCAACGTATGTACTTAGACAATGAGCATCGTCCCTCGAGGAAAAGAAAGGCACTTACCAACTGAGGCCTCAAATGCTCCCAACAGTAGTCTCGCGGCCATCAGACCTCCAAAGTTCTTCGCAGCCGTCATGCCACACAACACTGCTCCCCAGCAAAACACCATGGTGGCACAGAATTTGCCCACGGGCAACTTCACCAGGGCGTAGGCCACCAGCGGCTGAAACACCAGCTGGGCCACATACACCACAGAGCCTAGCCATGAAAACTCCTGGCCCTCCAGGTGCGTGTCGTCGATGAGGCCAAAGACTGACGCATAGGAGAGAGTTGTCTTGTCGAGCGACTGGAGACAGTAGACGAAGAGGATGATGGGGAGGAGGTGGAGGTCGATCTTGCGGAGGACACGAGCATTCTCGCTAGGAGTGACAATGATGTTCGCTTGGTTGGCTTGCTTCAGAAACTGGGCAGCTTTGTCTCTTCCCGTGAGAGAAGAGTCGGTGTTTGGTTTCGGGACAGGGGTGATTTCGCTGGTGATGTTCTTGGAGTTGGATTCACCTTGGTTCGTGGGGGTTTCAAGGTGAATAATATCTGGGTTGTCTTTTTGAGTTGCCATGATGATGGGCTCTTACACGACGAACTGATCGACACAAGATGAGAACGATGATGTGGCCCAGACCACCATGCTTGACCGCTCCAGTTGCAGGCAATCCTCTATGATATTTATAAACACCCACAGTTCACCTGATTCTTCCCCGGTCTAACATGCAAAAGGGCTCGCATAAGCCGTGAAAGCGCCACAGAACCCCATGGGGCAAACATTATGGTTGTAAGAGCAGAATGCGGGGAAGAATTCTCGTTGTTTGATAGGCTAGACGGACATGGTGAGGGTTTCTCCGTCGGGTTTCAATCAGCTTTCTCCGTTCGTGGTTGCCCCTCAGCGGAGATTTTTCAGCTTTGCCCGTTTGCTGGATAGCCGACGGCCATGTTCCGTATTGATGAAGCGGCTGTTGATGGGAATAATAGAGCTTACAAGGGGTAATTGTAAAGTATATTTCTGGTCTAGGAAACTAGATGGTAATCGGTAAATGGTAGACCAAGTGTCTTGCAGCCCAACAGGAAATAAAGAAGCCCGAAATCGGTCTTCATCCCCACGCAGCTTGATCCGCTCAATTGAGGGACCACCAGTGTCATGTCTTTATACATACACGTGTAATATCGACATATAAATCAACTCCAACGCCCTCCTCATCTTGGCTTTCTCAAGTGTCAATTTCTTTGTCTCTCCAATTGAGATTGTATTTTTTAAAATAGAACCACCATCCATTCACCATCTCCAACATGCCTCAACAGGAGCGCGTCCCGTCATCCTGGGCGGAGAACACAGCTTCTTTAGATAAGCTGCTGCAACTCGACTGTACGGATTCTCAGCTCCCCTTTCAATTCACACTCGACGCTCTTCGCCCCAATGTTTTTCGCACAACTTTCACGTCTAAATCCCACCCTTTACCCCCTCACCCCAGTGTGCCCCTCTTGAAAAAACAGATAGAGGCTGCATCTGTAAATGTTTCCTCTACCAGCACAACAAAGAAGATCAAAATCGGCCCAATCACGGCTTCCATTGACTGGACCGAGTCTTCACCACTGCTCTCAGTCTCTCTCGACGGCAGCAAGAATGGGCCTCTTCACGAAGATTTGCCAAATCGCTCGTACGTTGTTGACGGCGAGGGCATTGCTCATTATTCGCGCTACAATAGAGATACCCTGTACGTCGGCCTGGGCGAAAAGGCGGCTCCCATGAACCTGGCTGGGAGGAAATTTAAACTTTCGGCGACGGACAGTTTTGGCTATGATATTTACCGCACTGATCCGCTGTACAAAAACATTCCACTTCTCATAAATGCGACGCCGAGTGGCTGTCTTGCTCTGTTTTCGACGACTCATTCTAGAGGCTCGTACTCTATTGGGGCCGAGATGGACGGCATGTGGGGTCGCTACAAGGTGTTGAGACAAGACTATGGAGGATTAGAAGAGTACATTATTGTTGGAAAAACTCTCAGGGACATTGTTACGACTTATGCGGAAATTGCTGGCTATCCTCTTCTTGTGCCAAGATGGGCGTTTGGGTACCTCTCCGGTGGTATGAAGTACTCCATGCTCGACGACCCTCCAGCTTCCGAGGCGCTTCTTGATCTTGCGCGCAAGATGAAGGAGCAAGATATTCCATGCTCGGCGTATCAAATGTCATCTGGTTATACAGTGGCAGAGCAGCCGCCGAAAACACGCAACGTCTTCACCTGGAATCGCCATCGGTTTTCAGACCCAGAGGCCTTTATCAAGGAGTATCACAAGCTTGGCATGAGACTAATCGCCAACGTGAAGCCCTATGTGATTGCCACTCACCCAGAGTACGAAAAGCTCAAAGCTGCAAATGCCTTATTCATCGACCCGCACACAAAAAAGACGGCCGTGACTCGACTATGGAGTGCCGGCGGAGGCGAAAGCGCTGAAGGTGGACACATTGACTTCACCTCTGCTGCTGGGTTTAAATGGTGGTACGAGGGCGTCAAGAAGCTCAGACAGGAAGGCATTGACTGCATCTGGAACGACAACAATGAGTATACGGTTACTGATGACGGCTGGATCTGTGCCTTGGACGAGCCTTCTCTCGAAGTGAGGGACGAAGTCAAAGATAGGCCGCAGATTGGTCTCTGGGGCCGGAGCCTGCACACTGAGCTTCATGGAAAAGCGTCTCACGATGCCCTCGTCGACGTCGATCCAGATGTACGCCCCTTTGTTCTTACTCGAAGTGCAACTGCTGGCACTATGAGATACGCTTGTAGTTCATGGAGCGGAGATAACACCACCAGCTGGGCCAGCATGAAGGGTGCCAATGCTCTTGCGCTCAACGCGGGCATGTCGTTAATGCAATGCTACGGCCACGATATTGGAGGATTCGAAGGCCCGCAGCCATCTCCTGAGCTACTTCTTCGATGGGTTCAGATTGGTACATACTCCCAGCGCTTCGCAATCAACTGCTTCAAGACCATCAACGAGAATAACATTGGAGACGTCATCGAGCCATGGATGTACCCGGAGATTACACATTTGGTTCGCAAAGCCATCAAGCGCAGATACGCCATGATCCCCTACATCTACTCCTTGATGCTGGAGAGCCATCAAACAGCTATTCCACCTCAGCGTTGGACTGGCTGGGGATACGAACAAGATCCAGAAGTGTGGACGGCACCAATTACAGAGGGCGAGACACAATATTGGCTCGGCGACGCTCTATTGGTTGGCGGCGTGTATGAACCCGGCGCTACGCAGGCACGAGTCTATCTTCCCAAGGCTTCGGATGAGGACGAAAGTTACATCAATCTCAAAGCTCCCTATCAGTACTTGGAAGCAGGACAATGGGCTACGATTGATGCAGAGTGGCACGGCGCAGGTATCCCGGTGCTTGCCAAGGTCGGAACAGCGATCCCGGTCGGAAGAGACGTGCAGGTCTTGTCCCCTGGAGAAAAAGAAAATGTCGCCAATCTTCCTCTGGACGACTATCGCGCGATTGAAATCTTCCCTCCCCGTCAAGGATCTAGCTCAAAGCGCTATGAGACGGTGTGGTACGAAGACGATGGTGTGTCTGCTGTTGCAAAGAACAAAATCTCCAAGTATAGCATCGCATATTCGGTTGAAGGATCTGAAATTAAGATCCAATTTTCTAGAGATGAAACATCGGGATATGTCGCGCCTTGGAAAACGCTGGTTGTTGTGCTGCCTCCTGGAGACGCAAGAGCAGTTCGTTCGACTGATGGCGTAAAAGTTCGCGACTTGGGTGTGGATGATGAGGGAAGGAAGAGATATGAGCTTTGATTAACAGAGAGTATAAAAATACATCAATATATACATCATTACAAATAGACATTAATCCTTCGTAAAATCCTTTAGCTCTCAACGTCAGCCGGTGGCCACCCGAATAGGTCTTCGCCCCCATTAAGTGCCTCGACGAGTATGTCATCAAGCCAGGCAACGCCAATCGCCGATGAAGAGAAGAGCGTGAGGCCAGGGAAATCCCACTCAAAGATGAACTGCTCAGGGACAAACGAATCCAACTCCATCCGATTTTGCGTACCATAGCCAGGCGTTCGTCGAGATGAAAAACTCTCATCATTTGCAATGCTCAGGGCCGTATTATGAGCTTCATGAGTGACGCTGCTGAATTTCTCAATGCCGGTCTGGAGGAGTTGTAGATATTGCTTTCCAGTATTACTCCGGCTTCCGTTATGATTGCCGCCGCTTGCCTCGCTTAGTTCGTTTAAGAGGATGTTGCCGTGGGCAACAAGTTCTCTGCTGGAGCGTCCTTTGCTCTCAGGTAGCAGGATAGAAAGTTTGAGAAGCAGTAAATAGCAAAAGGCACACTTTGCCCAGACAAAGTCCATTGCGAATCTCAGGTTGCGGATATACAATCTTGGTTCTTCAATCATTATATCCAGATGTTCCTCCAAAGCATCCTTGGCCATGGCAACAACCGATTTTTGAGCAGGCGACATGAAGTCGACATTTTCCACGCCGGTTGCTCTCACAGCACGACATAGAGCCATGTTTTCAGCCCAACATTTCTGGACGCGAAGGTTGACACTGAGCCAAGGTGCTTGAATGCTGTGCTTCTCGAAAATGTGTGCCCAGTCGTCGAACCATATGGATATGTCAATCCTAGCTTCACGGACAACATCCAGCATGTCTTCATCACCAAAGCCCACATGGCTAGCTAGTGAATCGTAGATTCTGCCACGAATCACATTAAGTTCAACTTGGGAGAACAAAAACAGATCGAGTTCAGTTGCAGCCGAGCTTTTAAGAATGATTCGGCTTCTCCGTGAATCGCCGACGAACTTGAAGGTTGGTAGATCAGAGGCATCGACGTGTAAGATGTGACCCAGGACGAATAGATGAAGCCAAGTCCTGATTCTTCGCATCGAAACGACTGTTTCTTCATCGATTCCTGCCGAGGGCCTTCGTGTTGCCAGCACCGCAGACCGATTGATCATCTCGTCGTAGGAGTCGGGGAAACTGAGATCAAGAGCCATCCGTGTTGCGGCTGCGACGAGGAGCGATCTCTCAGATGCATAGCATGAGCGGACCAGCAATGCTTGAATAGTCTCCAGCGAAGCCATAGCTGGCCTTGCCAAGGCGCAGTTTAGCATTCTCTTGACATGGAAATCCAGCATGTGCCATTGTTGAGTGTCGGTTCCGGTCACAACACGGCAGCCAATTGTGCAAATGGCGCTGAAAAGCAGACTGCTTCTTGCACGGATGCTCTGAAACGAGTCATATCGGGGATCAAAGACTGGCACAGAATGGTCGCATCCCTGAAAGAAGATGGAAAAATATTCTTCGGCTTGCTCAATGCTGAGCAGCCCGGCGTCCACACAATCAGGTAATGTAACAGAGCCAATCTCGAAATTGGATTTGATTTGTTTGCTGGACAGCACAGTATCTGTCGGTGATTCTGTGTGCGATGGACGAATGAGGGCTAATTCACCAGAGTTGAATTGAGCAGTTGGAACGAAGGGTCCATGCTCCAAGTTTGGTGAAACCTGTGAACTGACGCCCAGATGCTGACCGAGATTTGTGTGGCTAGTCTCAATTTGAGGACCGGTCTGTGTGGAAGAAGAAGTTCTTCGAAGTTGGTCTTTTAGTGCTGCAACCTGTTGTTCAAGCTCCTCTATTCGACTACGTGGTTGAGATGCGATGATTAGTGATGCAAGAACATGCAGTTGTCGGCGAACTGATCAAGGATACGTACAGCTGATGGGCCTCTTTGGGAGGATCGATAAAGGCGCAGATCTTTTTCAGCTCGCAGCATCTGATGTAACCGTTAATCTGAGTTAAGACACACGAGATGTCACGCTCTCTCCTCTTGTGGAAGTCGATGCAGCCGGAACAACTTACCGTGAGCAAGGTCTTTTACCATCGCATTTAGCCTTGGTCTAACTGTCAACTATCGTTTCCAAAACATAAGCTATCAACTCTAAGTAGGGTTCACCTTGGATCGACGACATGCGTTACACGATTTCTGTCGGCCAACTGTCAGCAACGGACCATTCCGAGCAGATATCAAACGTGACATGGTGGCGGCCCCGAACGCCCCTCATGACAGCGGCCTACGCCTATCTGCAGTGCTAATGCCAATACAGGCACGGATTTGCTTACCGGAATCCTCTTCTTGCGGATACGTGGGGTGTCTGAGGGCTTGGTCTCCATGGCTGTCTGTGGTGGGCGAATCGCGTCAAGTTGCTACAGTACAACGGTTGAACGATCTTGTCCCATGGCGGCGGGGAAAACGGCTAATCAGAGATATGGATATGGATATGGTTGATGCAACATTGGGCAGATGAGGGCTGCTTGTCATCGCGATAAGGATATCGACGGCAATGGGAGCCGACGCGATGGGGCTCTGGCATGGGCCATGATCCGAGAAACGCAAAGTTCCGTTTCAATCAGGACGCCACGAGAGGAGGTTAAGATGAGTGGGGGGTTGGAGTTGAGACCGTCGCACGCGGATGACTAAAGAAAGGCTGGATGCTCAGAATGCGATGACACTTGGTTTGTTGCTGTTCCTCCGTCTCAAGTCTTGACATCAGTGGCAATTAATTGGTTACTTCGTATGTGTGTACAGTTACATTTCTCTCAGGACAATCATCAATCCGTCTCGTGTAATACATATCAAGCCGCTGGCAATGACAATTACATTACTTGCAAAGCGCTACTGTACCTACGACAATCACTCCCAGAATGATCCACCTTTGACCCCAGACTTTGCAGCTTCGTATCCGAATTGCTACCTCAACCCCCTGGTCGGCCGATGGTTTGCCGAACTAAGCTTATCAAGTGGTGGAAAATTCGTCAACTCAAGCTACTCCGCACCTGTCTCTATCAATGGATCCACTGCGGAGAGTGAGGAGACAGAAACAGACAGCAGGCTGATCTGCACAAGAGATCAAGGCATCGTGACTTGGCAGTCTGGGCATGGATAGTTCAGCCTCTCTGTGGCAGAGATGTAGCCATAGCTTCAAGAAGCACGTGTGTGAAGCTGCTGGTGATGCTGCACCCAGTGAGACTCCAAACACATCAATTGCCTCTTTGAGAAGATAACCGTTCCCCATACGAGACAAGGTCAGCCCATACCGCCTGATATGCTTACTTGCATCGAGATTTACGGTTAGAGCAAGTAAATGCGGTAAACAAGCTGTGTAAAGACCCCTGCCTTGGTTTGCCTTGGTTTGTCTTGCTTTCCCCGCTTCATCAGGAACAAGCTGCCAGAATGTCCCAAGTTCAAATCAGGGTGCAACCTCGCCCACTCAATGGGCAGCCGAGGCCTTCTGTGCTTTTCCAAGTTAGTAAGGTAACGTTGTATTACGCCCTGGCAATGCTCGACGCCCAAGAGCTTGTGGGAATCGCCATCCATGTAGGACAAGGAACAATAGACGGAAAATTGGTGGTACAGCAGCATGTACGAGTACGGCGTCTTCAGCAGACAGCGCTTCTTTCCTGAAAAGGTTTGTACGAGTAGTACTAGTTACTAAGTCAATTACACAACAGGCCCCATGGGGAAAGAGGAATGGATATCATTGTTTCTTATAAAGGGGACCGAGGGCCCGGATCGCGACCAGGGAAACTTTGGACCCTGTGCAGACCCGGGAACACGGTCAAAGCTTCTCCAAACCGCGGCCACGAAACATGATCGCCAAAGCCGTCGCAGCTCTTCTGCTGGGCAGCGGCCTTGCCTCTGCAGCTGGCCATCCGTTGACATCCAAAGCCGGTGACAAAGTCGCTATTCCAGACTGGGATATCAATTCCTCTTCGGCAGTGTCGAAGGATCTCAAGGGGCTGTCCAAGCCTGGTGTCGACACTTCATCATGGTATCACGCCGGCACGTCGAGATGCACCCTCATGGGTTGTCTTATCAATGCCGGAATCTACAAGGATGAGGATCTGTGGTACTCGGACAACCTGAATCACTTCAACTGGGGCCAGTTTTCGGTACCCTGGATCTACCGCCACGAGTTTGCGCTCTCTCCCGCCAAGGGCAAGCATTTTATTTTGCAAACAAACGGAATTACATCCAAAGCCGATCTTTTTTTCAATGGCAAGCAGATTGCCGACTCCGAATACCAGGCTGGTGCCTATGCCGGCCGCACCTACGACATCACGAGCCTCGCCGCCAAAGACAACGCCTTTGTCGTCCAAGTCTACCCAACAGACTATCTCTACGATTTCGCACTTGGATACGTTGACTGGAACCCGTATCCGGCCGACAACGGATCGGGAATCTGGCGTGATATCACCGTCAAAGAGACTGGCTCCGTTTCCATGGGTCCCATCAGTGTCATTATCGACATCGACGACCCCGTTGAGAGCAGCCCTGCCAAGGTTACTATCCGTGCGGAAGCCCAGAACCTGGAGAACACTGCAGTTGTTCTCGACGCCGAGGCCGTTGTAACTGGAAACTCATGCTCTGGAGGGCCTCTGAAGCAGACGGTTAAGCTTGCGCCTGGTCAGAAGAAGCTTGTTCAGTTCACGAAGACGATTAAGAACCCAAAGATCTGGTGGCCCAAGCAATGGGGTGACCAGCCTCTGTATAACGCAAAGGTCACTTTCTCCGTCAACAAGGCTGTTTCAGACACAGCTCAAACCAACTTCGGCGTCCGCAAAGTCACTTCTTTCGTCAACCAGTACAACGACACTCAATACAGCGTCAACGGCCATCCCTTCCAAGTCAATGGCGGTGGTTACGGCGCTGACATGTTCCTGCGATGGGATAGCGACCGTTTCACACGGATTGTCGAGTATATGCTGGACATGCACCAGAACACCATCCGTCTCGAGGGCAAGTTGGAACACCCAGAGCTGTACGAGATTTGCGACAAGTACGGATTGATGGTCATGCCTGGCTGGGAATGCTGTGACAAGTGGGAGGCCTGGGCTTACAACGATGAACTTGCCATCTTCCCGCCACCCGTCTGGGATGACAACGACTACCAGACCGCCAACTACAGCATGATTCACGAGGCTTCCATGCTTCAGCCGCACCCCAGCGTGTTGACATTCCTCGTAGGAAGTGACTTTTGGCCCAACGACGAGGCGACTGATCTCTATGTCAACGCCTTGAAGAATGCTGGCTGGCAGACTCCCATCATTGCTTCTGCCGCCAAGCGCGGTTACCCGGCTCTTATTGGCCCTGGTGGTATGAAGATGGACGGCCCCTACGATTGGGTGCCTCCCAACTACTGGTACGACACTGAGCCTTCCGAGGACCGCCTGGGTGCTGCCTTTGGCTTCGGCTCCGAACTGGGATCTGGCGTTGGTACTCCCGAGTTGGGCTCCCTCAAGAGATTCCTCAATCAGAGCGATCTAGACGACCTGTGGAAGAATCCTAACAAGAACCTATTCCACATGTCTACCAACGTGTCTTCATTCTATAACCGAAAGATCTACAACCAAGGTCTCTTCAAGCGTTACGGCGCCCCCACCTCCCTGGACGACTATCTCCTCAAGGCCCAGATGATGGACTACGAAGCAACCCGAGCCCAGTACGAGGGCTTTGGTGCCTTGTGGACTGCTAGCCGCCCGGCAACCGGTAACATCTACTGGATGCTCAACAACGCTTGGCCAAGTCTTCACTGGAACCAGTTTGATTACTACCTGCACCCTGCTGGTTCTTATTTCGGCACCAAGGTTGGTTCCCGATTTGAGCACGTTGCGTACAACTACCAGAAGAAGGAAATTTGGGTCATCAACCACTCACTGGACCAAACTGGTGCGCGCAAGGTCGATATCGAGCTCATCGACACGAACGGCAAGCAGATCGCCAAGCAGTCTGTTAACACCAACACCAAGGCCAACTCGGGTTTCAAGGTTGCCGACATCTCCAGCCAGGTTAACAAGCTGTCAAGCGTTGCTTTCCTGCGCTTGGTTCTCTCTGACAGCAAGGGCAATGTTCTGAGCCGCAACGTTTACTGGATCACCAACTCCATCGATAAGCTCGACTGGGATGGCTCAACTTGGTACTACACTCAAGTCACCAGCTTTGTCGATTACACTCCTCTCGCCAAGCTGTCTACCGCTCAGGTCTCCGTGACGACTGGCAGCAGCAGGCATGCAGCTGGCGTTCCGGGAACACAAACTCACACAGTCACGCTTGAAAACAAGTCTTCTGTACCCGCTGTCTTCATCCGATTAACTCTTGTGGATAAGAGCGGCAACGACGTGAACCCCGTTTCATGGTCTGACAATTACGTGACTCTGTGGCCGAACGAGAAGCTGCAGCTTGAGGTAGGAGGATGGGATGCAAGTGGTGACAGCATCCAGGTCAGTGGCAGGAATATCAAGGCTACCACTGTTAAGCTGTAGCTGCAGTAAAGCGTATGCTGCAACCGTTTATAGTCAACGAATAATTAATAATGAAATTATGTTTAAATTTCTTATTCTTATTTCTTCATCTTTGCTAATCAGTCGTAAAGTCGTACATCCCTCCATATTACAAGCTTCTGCCCATGCATCGCTATCTTCGTACATGCCTGAGCAGCTCGTTTTATCATAATCATTACACAAACTTATACAAGGTATCGGAATCCCTTTCTCATCCTTAGGGCCTCGTCCAAGTCCTCCAGCTCGGCTTGCGCCGTCTTCTCAGTAACATCTGGTCTGGCCTCCCAAGCCATCTCGCCCGCCTCGAGCTTCTTGTTCAGGTTATTAAGGATCATCTTGAACAAGACGTTGCCGACAATGGTGACGCCGAACATGGCCAAAACGATGCCGTAGCTCTTGCGGTATCCGTTCTCGGTCAGAGCCCAGACGTAAGAGCCAGCTACGTTACCGAGCTGACTGAAGGCGTTAACCATGGCGATGGCAACGGCACGCTTAGCGGGAGGACGAGGGAACGAGGAGCTGATCCAACTGTAGAAGACGATGAAGCCGGCGTATGAACCAGCTTGCAGGAACAGGGCGACGTAGCGGGCAGCGACGTTGAGGGTGGACATGGAGATGACGAAGCCAATGATTCCCATGATGATTGGGCCGGTAATGTGCCAAAACTAGAGCAATATGAGTTAGTTTCTAGTTGCACCGATATTTTATAAATACGTAGAGGAGTGTCGGTAACTCACCTTTTCTTGTGTGCGATCGGCGTTCCATGAAACAGCGAGGGAGACGAGACAAGCAAACACCCAGGGAGGAGAGCTCATGAGGAGAGTGGGAACATAGGCAAAGCCAAGGGTTCCAGTCAGAGAGGGCTATCAGCTTGTTAGTTGAAGTCCATTTTGATGGTTTTCAATACTTGGTAGTGGTAGCACTTACGAAGAAAGCATTGAATGACAGACCAACGACATAGGCTGTCAGGGTGAGCATCATGATGTAAACCTTGATGTCCTTGGCGCACATGATGAGACCGTCAAACACTCCCTGCTCCTTGGAATCCATATCCGCCTCACCAACATCCTCAAGCATACGCAGCTGAGCGACCTGCCTCTCCTCTTCAGTGAAGCCGCGAGCATTGGTAGGCAGATCAGGCAGGATGAAACCTGCCGAGATTGCGATGGTCATAGTGGCAGCGCCTTCAATGAAGAACAGCCATCTCCATGCAGCGTGGCCCAGGACGCCCTGCATGTTTGACAGCACTCCAGCGGCCACCAGCGAAGAGAAGGCGTTGGAGATGAGGTTACCACAGAAGAGGAGGGCATTTCGGGTGGTGAGTTCACGGCGCGTATACCACTTGGACAGGATGAGCAGAGCACCTGGCAAGAAGGCGGCCTCGACGAAGCCCAGGAAGAATCGAATGACAACCATGTCTTTGAAGTCATTGGCAAGGCCAGACAGAGTGGAGATGAGACCCCAGAGAGTCATGGCACAGCCGATGTAGATGGACGGACGGGTGATGCGGTTGATGAACATGTTGGACGGGACCTGCATGAGAATGTACCCAACGTACAGAATGCTGAGACATGTCGCATACTGGGTGTCGGTGAGGTTGAGATCCTTCTGCAGACCCTTGAGACGCGCCGCTCCAATGTTGTTGCGATCCAGGTAGTTCATGATGTAGATGAGGATGAAGAGCGAACAGCGCATGTCAAGCTTGCGCTTGAGGCTCTTCTCGACTTCAGCTCGCCGCACCGGATCCATGGCCGCAGCTGGGTGAGGCTTCGGCACATCGTTTGTGAGCGCATGCTCGAGATTCTCAACTCTCTGCTTCTCGGCCTCGAGAGTCAGGTCATTGGCCCGGGAGATGTCGTCAGTCATTGTGAAAAAGAAGAAGGTTATTGACGGGCTGGAAAAGAAGCAAAGACTATCAACAACGCCTCAAAACGACGATTCCAGGACGAGGACCACCAGAGGAGGTCCGGCTACTGGAGTACCGAGGGCAGAGCTTTTATATAATGCACGAATTCAGAAACTGGGTAGCACTGAGACACCCAACGGATAAGCGTCACATGGTCGTGGCGAACAAGGGGGATAATAACCCGAACAGTGGTAGCAGCGTTGTATTGAATCCAGTCCCCGGAGTCTCCCCGCCATTAACCCAGATACATCCATACTTTGTTCAGCTTACCCGTCCATGCTCCCCCAACTTTCCCCGGCGGTATGGAGGTATGGAGATGATGGAGAACGAGATCCCCGTTTCCAGGCAGCCTAGATCAGCGTAGACCAGCCACAAGAGGAACACTCCCGGCTTGCCTTGGGAGAAGTGATTGACGGGACGCATGATGATGGTGGAGTCAGTTCGAGGAACCTGAGTCAAACTCGCCGGTAATTGGCGGCGTTTGAAGATTTGGAGAGAGCTGATGGGGTTAGCTAGCGAGAAAAGAATTTTCTTCTTCTTGACTTTAATTTCTTATTACGTATCTATACAGGTATAGCTCAATTCCAACGACTCGCGGGTTCAAACGCCATTCTTAAACCTACATGTACATACATGAAAAACTCCCGAAGGCCAAGGCTGGGCGCCGTGTAAAAATCTCCTGAGGACGGGAATAACGCCACCTGGGCACTATGGGCGGCATTTTTTCTCCAAGCCACAGCACAAGAGCCGCCGCCTATGTGGAGTTGTTCTGCCTTTTTCTTTTGCTTGGCCTTCTAGATTGTAGATCCCCTGGTCGCTTTCTCTTGTGGCGTTGGGAAGCGGGGAGGAACACGGGAGGGAAGAAAAAAAAGTTGGAGAGTCATACACCGACGCCATGTATTTCTAAGACGACAGCCTTCAAGTCCACATTTAAGCCAGCCTTCTTTGACGATCAATCTGCTTCTAATTCTCCGTCCACGTTTCTCACGAACCTTGAGTGAACTACAAGTATTGGCCTACTTCATGACAACAGCCATCTCAGCGTCTGGCTTCTACCACTACAGTAACACTGACTCGGCAAATGCTCCTCCGCCTGCCGTCGGTTTAGCGACCAGCGAGGCGTCGGACCACGTCCTCAAGCAAAGCCATCATGATTGGTGCTGGACCCGCTGCCCCCTGGTCTGGTTGGGCAAACTTGCTACCCCCCACGCTCACTCTGGGCCAAGAATCCCTGACCGGAAGAGCGAACCAAAGCCGGGGATTCGACTCCTAGCTTGGCCGGCACGCCGGCACTGGCGTCATGGTCACTATTTCGCCGATGGAATGCCGTCAATGGAGCCCGTTTTTGTTTCTGTGTGTGTCCGACGGTTTTTGAGAACAGGGACAAAACAAAAAAGACTGATGGGCTTCTCCGCAAATTCTCTATTTAGGCTAATATACGAGGCTCAATGTCTCCACTGAATTGGGTGAAATATCACCAATGCATAGTCACGTCCTTCAACCCTGTACGAAGTGCTAGCCTGCTAAAATATTATTTAATGCCCAGTGCTCCGTAAGTAGCTGACAACATGCCATCCAGCTGACTCGGACGCGATGGGTGAAATTTTTTTGGTGATGCCTAGAAGAGATTTAGGCGAATAGCGGGAGAGTTTTGTTTCCTATTTACTGAGCAGACATTCGGCACGACTCTCCGTATTATGACAAGTCGTGGTTGACTGTTGGCGCATTCCCGACCTTGTAGATATCATTTCGCCTTCTACAGTATTCGTCCGTATTTACTAGTGCCTTATTACTGCAGGTATACACACTGCCTAGAGTTTAGACTACATGCAAATACCTCTATGCTCCGTATTACTTGTTGTCCATTCGTCCTCACTACAATCCGAAGGCTGAATTCGATGAAGGTCGCCTTGCTGGCCATTGATGTGTCACTATTAGTGGCACTTGTGACGGCTGTGGTATATGGGCTAGGCGTAACAAATCCAACTCTTGGATTGAACGTCAACAAGGGCAGCCTATTTTAGAGTCACAGCCATCGTTTGCTGTCTTGCAAGTAGACCAAGCAGGCAAAGGGGATGTCCTGATTAGATCAAGCATCGATATGTGACGAGGCTACCCCTCCAGCTGTCCTTGCTATCAGCTCAGCTTATCGTGCAAGCTTCCATAATGTCGGGAAGGCCAGAGGGGGCGATCTCACGCTTGATGAGGAAAAGGATTTCGCCTCGCAAGACCACACAACAGAGATTACACCCCTTCAACCGCACGTCATAGCCAAAGACAATTCTTCACCACAGGTGGCCTTAATTACGTGTCTTATACTTTTATCTATCGAGTTACTTCTTGGGCACTTGAAGAAGGCTGAAGGAGGCTCTCAGAATGGGCTGAAGACCCTCATGGTCCTGCAAGGGCTCTCGGGCGTTCGGAGAGACGGTATCTTTTGTTGGAATATCAGCTCAAACCCTACCGATGAATTTGTTTCCTAAACTTTGCAAGACTCCATCTACGACTCGAAGTCTCCAATTTTGGGTATCAACTTTAATGTCTAGTGTCACAAGGAAAATAGCATAACAATCCGATAACAAATTCAGAATCGTTCAATGATGCACGACTTTAATCAGAGGCGATTTTCACAAAATAATCTTACATGACCCACGTAATAAATCACACTACAGTACGTTCAGTTCATCACGGCAAGTATTGCATTATTGTATCACTGTTGGACTCACCGAAGAATTCACATTACATCATGATCAGTTAATGACGGTAGGATCTTTCAGCGATGCTGACCTGTGCATTGATTCACACTACGCTCACGGCCAGCTCATTCGACAGTCATTCGACACTCATTCGACACGAACATTCATCATTACCAGTAATTTCGCTGTGAATCAAAATCAGAATTACATTCAAAAGCCATGAGATTTCCACTAGACCCTCCCCTCATTCACTTCGCTTTTGATAAGTCTCTGCATTGTTTTAACGCACTACTGGCAGTTTCATTACTCCCATTGTGACTGCTACATGTGACGCTCCTCGAAGTACTCTTGGACTTTCCTGAGCTTCAAAATCAAGTCAGTAGCTGACTATCATCTCTGATCAGAGTTATTTGGATGATGTACTCAAATCCCCGAACCCCGAGCTTCAGTCCTCAGGGTTAATTCTTAACGACAAATAACTAACATTTGGAACAAAGACTCTATTCACGATGTCGAACAATTGGCCTGGCTCTCCCAACTCCCATGGAGGAAGCCCTCTAGGACCAATGGGAGCTTACCCAGGCTGCGAGATTTGCCAAGGAAGGGGATGGTATACCCTCGAAGTTCAGTATTGGCGAGAGAGACAGTGTGATTATGCGGTGGGACATTGCACAATCTATGGCCATACATCGGGTTGTCAGCAGAGGTTTATCGAATCTGGGAGAACACAGCGCTTCTGTCCTTGCGGCTGGTGTTTGGGGAGTGGTATACGGAGGGAACTGCTCACTCGTATCGAGCGACGTGATTGCAGTTGCTGGACCTGGGGCTCATAGTGAGAGGGTGCTTTGAGAAGGTTTTGGTGGCTCTACAAATACGTGCGAACTGTAATCGTGATCCAGACTATTGTTGAGGAATAGTTTATCACAGTCGAACGTGAGTAAGCAATGGTAATCTGATTAACACACCTGAGAGCAAAGTTGTGATTTAACCAGACCTCGTGTGAGCCGTTACTTGACGAAGTCCTTCATTTATCGTGCTGTGTTACGCTTCCAGTGCCAGTTCAAGCCTAACGAACTGGGAGAGCCAATCCAGCAAGGTACGTTTGAGACTTCGATCAACGACAGGAATTCTAGTCGCGATCCGACACGCCACTCGACCTGCGGTTCCTAGAGTGGACAATGAGATTACCTTAGGCCGGCTTTGAAACCGTGTCGAAGCTCGCAAACTTTATTTTTGGCTGTCTTGAGCCAATGATTGTATGGCTCGGCACCTCCATGAAGGTTTCCAGGACACACAGTGCAGCGTGTTTTCCACCACAAATCACACATTCAGCCACATTTGGCTGAAGATAAGGTTCCCGGTTGGCTGCAGATGAAATTTATGTCCGTGTATCAGAAAAGTAAGTTCTCCCATAAAATATAAAGACGGCCTGCTTTCCACCAAGATGTCCACCAATTTGCTAAAGGAAGATGTAGGTAATTTGCCAAACTCATCGTACGTAAGATACGTTTATTGGGAACCGCACAAGCGCTATTGCTACAGCACCTAACAATAGAGAACCCAGAAACACTGCAAGTCATGGCAAAATCGGAAGGCAAGGTGCGGATTTTTCTGGAGTCGGTCACTCACCTTGTGCCTGGCAGAGATCGTGACGAAAAACTCAGCTTCATTAAAAATATCGTCTGCCAACTTCACTGGAAACGGGACTTCGACTGGAGCCAAGAGCGCATGTACCCATACGGCGATGACTTCGGCCTCAAGAACAGAAATTGCTTTTTTCTGATTGATCACCACGGCGATGATCACACAGCTCAAGAGGAAAGCGTACCAGTCATATGGTATAAGTGGACGGGAGAGTCCCTGTAAGTCGGACCCTTTGAATCATCTGATCTCACCCTTGGCCTAAGCTGATAAAGCTCCCAGTGTTCATAAGAACGAGAATCTTCCTCTCAGGATACAAGAAGAGCTCAAGAAATGGCCATTCATATGGGAAGCAAGGAAGCTCCCTCGGCTTCCCAGAGGTCCAGATGGGAAATTTGAACCAAAAGTCCAACGCGAAATTATCAGGTCCTTCCTCCGCCAAGGTATACCCCTCGTCCCAAGGCACATCGAATTCCTAAGAGAGCAACCAGAACATGCACTGTGGCTCAAGGCTCATTTAGATCGTGAATTGTGGGCTCAAATCGAGCCGTTGTGTGAGCTCCCGAAGGAAGAAGAGTAAAGGATTGATGTGGGTTTTATTATCTAGAACAGGGCTGGATAAGATATGCTAGCTATCGGGATCGGGGAGGAACTGGCCTCGTTTCTGAAACAAGACGGAAATTAATACACCCTCATAATCGGTGAGATAATTTGTCATCGAATACGTGAACTTCGGTAGAGGTATCGCCTTGGTTGCAGTTGCCAACCTTGAAAATAGCTGCCAGGTCCGTTCCGTTCAAGTGACATGTGCTCGGCGTCTTGAATGTCTTCTTATTGATGCTAACCGAGAGCACATTAGAACGTAACAAAATGCGAACTAAGAAAACGTGCATGTCAGGGGCATCTCCACATTGTTGGGGAAAGCAAATGTCAGACTACTCCGCAAGAAGCGCTTCTTTGCAAATGGCATTCTATATGTGAGACTCTTTAACTCATTTCGAATAGTGGCCTTGTACATATTATAATGTAACCGCTCGCGAATCTTGCCGTACTACTTGGTTCTGCTATCATCATCATGCAGGAGAGTCTTCCTGAGTGACTCATTTAGGCGTCCATTCACATCACAACGCGAATGACATAACCTTTGACCCTTGACTGGGAAGTGCCATCCATCCACGTTAAAAGTTGGTCCGTGGATACGAGTAGTTATAGCGTCAAAAGTCTCAATAAGCGCAATTGCCGACATGCAATAGCCGATGGAAAGTTACCGAAAGTGACCCGCAACAGACATGCAGAGTAGCCCAGAGCCGAAACTGGGCCGTTGTTTCGGTCGAATGGCAAACGTCCCTACTGTATCTTACGGTCAGTATCTCGCTGTTCACTAACATGATATTTATGGATTGAACGTGGTTCTGTTGTAGAGGAAGAGAACCAAGTCTAGCATGTCTATGATTGCAAGAGCCGGAACAAACCGGAAAAGTGGTGTCGCAGGTTCTTCGTAAACGGCTCGAGCTTTGTCGACTGCCGCCACAAATCCGTTCCAACGGATGCATGGCGTGAGACCTGTTGTGAAGGCCAGCGTGGTGCGTTTCTGGACAGTGTTGGAGCGCTCATTGCCTAGGTAATTGGCAAAAGGCACCATAAATAGACTTTTTCCATCCTGGTATCATGCATACTGGCTTGGAAGAATTCTCCGCAATACCGCTGATATATGCTTATACTCCGTCTCTCCGCACTGCATCTTCATTCCGCTGATCACCTACTGTAGTCTACCCGATTTGGTAACACCAACTAGCCCTCCAAAGCGGAAGTCATGAAGCGCGAGATCGCAAGATGAATAAGTCCATATATTCAGTAATATAAGTGCCCAATCAGCTCATCAAGTAGTCCTTTCGTCGAGGAACGCCTGTTCAGTCAGCACCCGAATTTTACGACATAACTATAATAGCAGGTACTAGAGAAATATAGATATAATAGCAGTTATTGTAGAAATGTAGACATAGTAGTAAGTACTGGAGAAATTATCGCTATGGTAGCAGATACTTAAAGAACAGGTGTATAATTTAACGCGCGGGTGTTTGAAATCTTCTCGGTCTCGCTTTTTCTGACCTTCGCTTGTCTCCGTACCCTAGAGAAGTGATCCGGGTGCAGTCGTATCTACAAGGAAATAGTTTTTAAAGCAATAGTCTTTAAAGACATTTGAACGGAATGAAACCCAATAAGTCAGACTCCGATTTTTAACAGGGTTTTACCACGCGTCACGCCTATCCCACCACCGGAAACTAATGTGGGATATTGTCAACTAACTGGCTGATGAGTATGAATCAATCGGTAATGACGGCGCAGTGCATTAAAAATCAAACTTTGTAAGCATCAGAAATTGTTTATTACTAAATAATTCTCATACATCATTTACAAGCAGCAAGCGCTCGGATCTATATTCCACACTCCAGTAATGCAACTGCTGGTGAAGATGCGCAACCTGACACGTTCGTGGTGGGGCTGATTAATGGAATCATCACTTCATTCACGTATGTCCCTTCACAAAGAGTCCTTGAAATTACAAATCAATTCATTCTTCTCTTTCTTGGTAATTTGCTTCAACTGAATGACGTCTGTCTATTGCGGCTCTTTGGCTCTGTAAGTTATAAACTGGGGTTACAACAGCGAGTTACAACAATCGAAATAGCTGAGCTCATAAACACCGACAATATCCGCCCACTCGGTTTACGAAGTGCTCCGACGTATGACAGCACGCCATCTACTCCTCATAGCATTCTAATCGCGCCAATCTCAGCCTCATTAATCCATCTTCATTTATCCACGTTCCTCAACCTCAGCTTCCAATCAATTGGCAATGGCAAACCCTCTAAAGTACACATATCCTTCTCCACTGGCCGGGTTTGAGAATGGCCCGCCGTTGTCAGATGAGAGAAACGAAGATGGAAAGAGCTTTGTCAATCCTCAGCGCGAGAGCCTGAGCGAGGCCTACACCAAATTCACTGAACCACTGGATAACGGACGAAGAGGTGGCTTGTAAGTCAATAGTCTTATTAAACTCTCTTCACCGTCCGCGCGATGGGCGTACTGCCGTATAACCGACACTAACATGTGCTCAACAAGCGACATACACATCTATTATTTCCAGCAAAGCAAGGAGCAAACTAAATACGCGCGCGAGCTGTGGGAACGTATCCGACGCGAGTGTAAGTACATATATCCAACCCCCACGAGTGCTAAGAATGTACTAATTGCAATTGGCATGAAAGTCCCGGAGCTGAGAGTCTACACCTTTTGGGACCGGCCAATCGGACCACACCCAGTCGCCATGTTCGAAGTAAACGTCTTCACTCCAGCACAATTCGGAGCTTTTGTGTCTTGGCTAGCCATCTGGCGGGGCCCCCTTTCTGCTCTGATCCACCCCAACACAATTCCTGAGGAGGGAGTGTCGGAAGCTGAGTCTGGATATCGTGACCATTCTCAGCGAGCCATTTGGATGGGCGAGAAGGTGCCTCTGGATTATAGTATATTTGCTCGGTCGTCTTAGGCATGCAGCTGGGTTTCACTTCGGTCCTCTTCTATAAGAGGCTGCTTGTGCGAGGCATTGTTATTATATCCCATTTACTTACGATACGGTCTTGTTCATTACGGATATTATGTTTGGAATAGTATAGTAGTTTTTGATAATCGATATCATTCACCCCCCCAAAGATTACATCAGAGTTTGCTATCAGTCCATTTAGGATTTCTCTTCTCAACAAAGGCCTTCAAACCCTCTTTGATGTTATCTCCAGCCAGTAGCTTGGGATGCCAGAGGCTGTTACTGATACGAGTCCCTTCATCAGCGCCTACACCTTCCCACCCCCAATTGATTCCTTGACGAGTCACAATAACTGAATCGGGACTGTTCTCAGCAATCACTTTCGCCCACTCTAGAGCTTCATCCACAACATTCCGACCCTCGGGACAGACTACGTTGACGAGGGCCCAATCCTTGGCCTCTTGGGCTGGAAGCACTCGTCCTGTCAGCATCAGTTCCATGGCGCGCTGCTTTCCTATCGTACGGACCAAACGTGGCATGGCTCCTGCAAACGGAGCTACACCACGCTTCACCTCGGGGAAACAAAACTTTGCGGTAGCACTCGCAATGACGAGGTCGCAGTTGACCGTCGCCTCGAAGCCTCCCCCGTATGCGATGCCGTTGACTGCAGCTATCACCGGCTTTTTACCCGAGCGACGAGAGAGGCCGGCAAACCCGGAAGGTGGCATTTCTCCGAAACTACCTGATCCAATTTCGCCATTCCACGCTTTAAACATTCCATTGTTAGACATGGCAACATCAGCTTGTTGGGCATATCTCATGCTTACCTTTCAGATCAGCTCCCGCTGAGAAAGTTCGCCCTTCTCCAGTCACGATGGCGACCCATAGCGAGGGTTCCTGATCAAACCAGTCAAAGAGCGAGTGGAGCTCCCAGCTGCCCTTGATATCGATAGCATTGAGAGCCTTGGGTCGCGAAATCGTAACGAGAAGCACACGAGGAGCCGGGAAGGATATTTTGGCAATGTTTATCTCCGGGGGAGCACGGGCAAACTTGGGTGAAGACATGGTGAGATTGATATGTGTCTATAGCAGCTTGAAAAAACAAATGTCATTTGGAATTGTATATAGCCATGCTCGAAAGAGTGATACTGGTAAAGCAAAACACTTGATACTTATTAGTTGAAAGGGGGCGGTGGTCGGTAAACCCAGCAACCGCAGCCGGTTTAGTAATACCAAGGGATGCCTAACCTAGGCACGGAGCTGAGATACCCCAAATCTTGATGGCGGAGCGAATGAAGCTCGCAGATACAATATTGCCGGAATCTCCGTCTACTACCTAGGTAGTGAACCGAGAAGCCGACCCCGCATTCTCATCCCTGCGCTGCTTCAGCTGCTATAAGCAAGGCAGACAGCAGACGAAGTGCAGGCACTTATCCCAAATGTAGAAACAGAACGTGAGACTTTAATGTAGATAAATACAGTATAGATTGGTATTTTGTTCATATGGAAATGCATGTATGCTGGCTAATACCTAGCTGCATAGATACCTTAAGGAGCTATACGCCTAGTTTTCCTTTGACAATAAGATTTGACCGGCTGTGGTCGATTGATAGGTAAGAATGGTGACTAAGCTTGGCTTAGCAGGATTTCTTGATATACCAAGGTAAAAGAAGATTGGTTCCTCGGTCCTAGAGGGAAGAATCAAGACGGACTATTGCGACGAAATAACCCAGCCAAGACGGCGGTCATGCTCCGCGGAGAGCGCGGCCGCAGCAGCTAGATCAAATAGCCCATGGACTTTTCTTCGCGATCTTGTCCTTATAGCGGCCGCGCAAGTCAAGTCTATTGTGTTGTGTTTGGTGTCAGTCGAGCCAGTTCGAAGGTGCGTACGTGACCCCCTGTGGTACTCTGCCCAGTCTCACCTTCAACTTGCGGCATGATTCGTAACACCTTTCTTCCAGGCCTATTAGTACTAGTAGTAGTATTTCTATTTGCTCTTTTAACTCATGGCCATACAGTCTCGTCAATGCGGTATACTAGCTTCTCTCCACTGACTTTTCCTTCCTTCATCTCCTGCATCCCAGCAATGGCGCCAAGCAAACCACCTGGCCCTACACGCTCCGGGTGTGTCTTCCATTTACCTTCCGACCAGAGCTTCTCTGCAATGCCAAGAAACTCCTTGCCAAAGGCAAAGTACGTCGGTTCTGCTGGCCATCTCTCGCCTTCAAATATGTAACTCTCGCCTGAAACACTGTAGCCCAGGAAGAAGATGGACCCGACGTTTAGTCGAGGGATTTCGATACCAAGTAGATTGACATAGGTGCCTCCCTCTGTGCTGATTGCGTCGGCACAGATAGCCGCTGTTGATTCAATAGCGACTGTGTCAAGGACTTGCGTCAGTTGGTTTTGAGTATCGGCCCGGACTTGTTCCCCAACCTTCGGATTGTGCTACTGGGCGTTAGAAGATACCCGAATCATGAAGCAATGAGCAATTCCAAAAAGCAAAAGAGAGATGTCTCATACGTAGTCATAGACAATATCGGCGCCACGGTCTGTGACGAGTTTCAAGTTTTTCGTCGAGCAAGTCGTGAGTACTTTTCTTCCAGACCTATCGACGCAGATACTTAGCAGCGCTTTGAGAAACGATCAAACAGCAACACTTACAGTTTTGCGAATTGAATAGCAATAGTGCCAGTGGCTGTACTTCCTCCATAGATGAGGATCGGGGCAGCACTCTCGTTTTCCCGTATTGGATTCTCATCTGTGCCAGGCAAAGGTAATCCCAGAAAGTGGTATAATGCCAATCCCACAGTAATAAGTGCAACCCCTACAGTTGCTGCCTCTTCCCAAGTCACGGCATCAGGTATGCGTACAACAAGGTCACCCTTGCTGATGATGTACCGGGCGAATGCTCCAGTCTCTGGGTTGGCATCATTGCCTGTTATATGTGAGTTTATATTGCACAATCCCCTCTTCCTGATTACAAAAAGGATTGCTACACAAGAAGATGTATATGCGCCCAGCCGACTTACCTCCATGAGCGCATCCCGCAACACGATCGCCTATCCGAAGGTCTTTGGTGACAGCTGGGCCTATTTCTTGCACGATGCCCGCCCAATCACAACCAACAAGCGTGCCGTCATCGCCAGTAGCCTCGAGAGTCGTCCAGTCAGTAGGATTAATAGCGACAGTGACTACTCTGATCAATACATAGTCGTCCAATAGCCGTGGAAGTGGAATAGGCTTTAGTACTGCGTGGCCAGCACTTTTCCTAATTAAACCGTAGTTTTGCATGCTATCGGCCATGGTGCATGGATTATAGCAGTGCCCATAAAGGGAAGTAAGGGCGACATATATGAACTCTATATAGCGCTTTTAGAAATAGCGAGTTTTGGGCTGCCGTACTAAAAAAACAGCTGATCCGTAGATGGTTCAACAGATAGCTTATAAATCAAGCGAATTGCGCAACGGTGCTTCTGCTTTCATCTGCAGTTTATTAAACTGTTTGGGTTAAGCTTGCCTCCTACTGCTACTGGTATGGTGCCTCTTAGGTGCATGTTACAACCTGAATCCTACGTCCATACCTTTATCCGAAACGAGAGAAGAACTGAAGAGAAGCACTGGATTGACAACCTAAGCATACCGGGTCCCTAATATGGGGTAGGTTGTCTAAGGTACAACCTTAGGCCAACAGCTTTACATGCATATAGTAGAGAGAATAGGAAGTAGCCTCAAGTAAAATAGTAAACATATAATGATAAACGCAGCGTAATTTTATCAGTTGTAATACTTTATTAGTCATGGCTAATGAGAGAGTCGGGCTGGGAACTGAACAGCCACTCGGTCTTTAGCGGGTTGTAAGCTCGGCCGAACAAGGTGAGACTCCACACTTTCCACGAACGGCCAAGATGATTGCAAGAGACCGTGGAGCATCATTTACTGCATCTTCAAATACGTAGTTGGTCCGGCATTTTCTCATCATGGACACGCCTTTGAGGCGGCGAATCATGCGAGCTTGATGAAGCGCCGTCCGTATTATTAACGAATCCTTTCGCTCTTAAGTGCACGGCATACGAAACATGAAATGGACTAAGTCCGGGCAACTCTGCTATTTGGAGAAAGCCTGAGAGCATTACGAAGTACATATAGAACCCAACCTGCATCAAACATGTGGCGAATGGCGGACGAACAGCTAATCAGTCTAAATAGCAACAACTCAGCAATTACTTGAACTGTTACCGCAACGATCAGGGGCACCAGATTCACTACCTTGTTCGTCGGTCTCACACACATTGTATTCAGCCTTGGAACTTGACCGTGACGACCAAATGCCCAACATCAGGCAAATCAAGGCATGCTGTCGGTGTCGCCTCCTGAAGCTCCGCTGCGACAAGACCAAACCGTCGTGCGAGAGGTGTATCCGGGCCGGAACCAACTGTTCACTTCGCTTTGACGGTTCCGCACAAACAGAATCAGCATCGAATCCTCCTACGGCAGAGAGCACCGCCATCAGCAACGGCTCTGTGCGTTCGAGTTCCGATCAGTCGCCATCTCCAAGTGACAGATCCGCGCCCTCATCTGACACTGTCACCACCGAGAGAGACCAAGGCTCAAAAACAGTGAGAAGACGGCAGCGCGCGCATCTCTCCTGCACACGGTGCCATCGTCTCAAGGTCGGATGTGACAAACAACTGCCTTGTTCACGATGCCGTCGTTCCGGCTGGGGTCGGCAGTGCACATACACTCATCGAGTCGAGAATGACTCGTCAGCATCAGCGAGCGATGCGGCACCGGACATTGGCTTCGTAGAGTCGAAAGAAGATCCCAGAGACATTTACACTTCATGGCATGCGCGACGCCGAGGCACAACCCATTGGAAAGCACTTGTACTACGCGTAAGTAAGATTCGTAGATACCCCTGCATCACAAGCACCGCACGCGGATCCAATAAAGGGACAGTTTGCTAATATAGGTAAATTCAGATCGAGAGTTCTGCCCTCAAGATCGGTCATCTATTTCATCATGCAGAAAACATCCACCTGGTTCATGTTGACTGCGCGACGGACATTCTCCTTCCAAGCAACTTTCCCTTCAATAGCCCAGGTGCTATTAAATACTCGTCGCTCGATAAAGTCCGCAGTCTCATCTGCACCTACCGTAACAACTACATGTCCTTTGTCGACGCCTACTTTTCTCTATACCAGCCTGTGCACCCCATCATCGACCCTGCTCGCTTCATCGAAGAAATCAACTGCTTCTGGAATGATCCTTCGGATATCGACGTCTCCTGGCTATCCAGCTTCCTCATGGTTCTGGCACTCGGTTGCTTCGCCGAGACACGGGATGCGACATCAACAATCGAACTTTGTCTAGCAGCCGAGGCTTGCATGGCCAAGACACCGTTCATGGTTCGGCCAAGCATGTCAGTAATGCGTACCATGTGCCTCATGGTCCTTGCTAAGCAACTGGCAAATGGATCATGTTGGTCCTTTGATGCCAGTTGGACGCTGCTCGGCATCATTGTGCGGCTCGCCGTTTGCATAGGCCTCCATAGGCCGCCACTTGCTACTCCTGTTGAAGACAATGCGATGACTCAATCCGATTGGCAATCCAGTCAAATTCTATGGATAACAATAGTCTATTTCTGCATACAAACAGCGGCGATTACTGGCATGCCGTGTCTCCTTTCTTCCGACGACATCCTTCAAAGAGATGAGATGCAAGACGCCCACTTGTCTCATATAGAGGAGCTCGGCCCGTGGCTATCTCTCAGCGATTCATTTCCTATTATATGCAAAATTATAGCCAGAGTCAATTCCAGTACCGAAAGGCCTTCGTACGACGAGATACTCAGACACAACGCCGACATGAGAAGACTCATGGCCACCACTTTGGAACATTCCGGCTGCCGAGGCCCCTTACGTGCCGTCCTTGATATTTTCTTCCGCCGCATCTTGATGGTCCTTCATCGCTGCCACGCGTTGCGCCCCAATGCTCCTACATTACATCCGGTTTCGTACTGGGCTTCTCTCGAATGCAGCCTGGCAATCCTAGTACATCACCGCGATTTCTGCGAGCACATGGGAAATCCTGATAACCGTGACCTATTAGGCCGTATGTATAAGCTCGACTTCTTTGCGGCTGCTCTGACCGCCGGTATTCATCTGCTGCTAGTAGATGCAGTAGATGCACCACTTGCGGATGGATTTTCTATACCGCCCAGGCAGACAATCCTCGAAACGCTCGAGACCTGCACAGAGATATGGGGCAGGGACGAAGAGAGATCGATTTGCTTCCGCGCCGGACACAGATCATTGACGCAAATTCTCTCCATGCTTTCTGATATGGACAATCATGAAGTGCCTCATTCATAAGCAACTTACATGTATACTTTCATCCGGCCTAAGTGTACCTGTATTTTAATCATCTGCTTCCTGTATACCAAATTCTGCCAGTATGGACTCATTATGCTGTCCTACACTTGGAACTTCTCCCATATTCGCCCGCGAAGCATCATCAGCTCCAGGTGGCAGCAACCCAGGAACGATTCCGCCCGGCGTCTTCACCTCGACCCAACGCTCTCTCGCTCTCAGCTGGGGATGATTCCACACTCCTTGCATGTCGTTCACGTTTGCATTGGCGATTCCCGCTTTATCCAGCTTCTCAATAACTTCACCCGCAGTGAGGCTGGAGAAGCAGGCGCAAATAATCTTCTTCAGCTCTGTCCGATTAGTGCTTCTCAGAGAATTATTCGCAAATCGCTCATCCGTCGCCAATGATGCGTTGCCCAGCACATCTCGACACAAGACAGCCCATTCTCTCTCGTTCTGCACGCCCATCATTACAGATGCTCCGTCAGCTCCCGTCTCAAAAGGTCCATACGGATATATCGTCGCATGAGATGCACCCGCTCGAGCTGGCCCCGGCTGCCCATCAAAAGCGTAATACATAGGAAAACCCATCCACTCAACCATACTCTCTAGCATCGAGATGTCAATACGGCGGCCTCTCCCAGACTTTTCACGCTCCAAAAGGGCCGCCAGTATGTTTGAATAGGCGTACATTCCGGCCGCAATATCTGCTATAGATATGCCCGTCTTGGCCGGCTCCATCTCGCCGCCTGTTACATCAAGCATGCCCGATTCGCTTTGCACGAGCAAGTCATATGCCTTCTTATCACGGTAAGGCCCATGCGATCCATAGCCCGAAATGTCGCATACAATAATGCCCGAATTCGTTTTACGGAGCTCTTCATGCGAGAGCCCAAGCCTCTCCGCCGCACCCGGCGCCAGATTCTGCACCATGATGTCCGCACGAAGAAGAATCTTTTTCAAGATGCTCAAGTCACGCGGGGTCTTCAGGTCCAGCGCAAGGCTTTCCTTGGAACGGTTGGTCCATACAAAATGCGACGATACGCCGTTCACGCGCGAGTCGTACCCCCTAGCAAAGTCGCCCACGTCGGGACGCTCAACTTTGATGACTCTGGCGCCCAAGTCGGCCAACTGCCGAGTGCAAAAGGGGGCTGCGATGGCTTGCTCTAGGGAGACGACGGTGATGCCGTCCAACGGCAGAGCTTTACTCCGCGCAGTGGTTACGGTTCTCCATTTAGAGGGGATCCGGGGGGGTATGACGTTGGCAAATGTTGGCCTTATATGAGAGTAGGTGTATGAGTTTCTTGAGAGTTCATGAAGTGTTTTGCGCCGGGTGAATGTTTGCCAAAACATCGTCATATGTGAGAATTCCCGCAGCAGGCAAAAGATTGCAGACGTTGAAGAACAAAGATCCAGATTCTACTGGACCAATTAAATGTATATATTTAATATGTAATGCTCTGAGACTTTTCGGGTATTTGAAGTTCGTGATATAGTAGCAATAGCAGCACTGAGCTGATCACGTAACTTGAAGCTACAAGTCGGCGAATGGAACATGTCGCCTTTTTACTTGTAATTGCCGAGAAAAGCGAGGGGAAGCGGGGCAGTGTTTTCTCTAGGTACATAGCGACGCCGTTGACCAGCAACACATAGTAATAGCCTCTTCACGCCTGTATACCGATAGAGTTGTCCACGCTGCATCTTCCACGGAGCAGATGGATTCAATCTCATCACAAGTCTTCTTCTTATCTTGAAATACGCCGAAGTCCCCAGTCACGGGTTCCGCCCTACTTTACTTGCCTCTTTTAGCAAACGCCATAGATCTAACAAAAAACTCTCTTTTGGCTCATAGCCAAGCGTGCTAAAGATCTGGGCTGTTTTCTGAGCCCAGATCTGAGCCCCCCATTTCAGCCCTGCGAGTCTTCATATCTGCAAGCCACACAAGCTAGGTATCATGAAACGTAGCGCTACTGTACGCCTCGGGCCTTTTACCCTCAGAGTCAATTCTTCGACAACGCAACACCAAGTCAGCCACCAAAATATCGTTCTACAGAAAAGACAAAACGCTCACTTGCTAATCGTCCCTCCGCATTTTCTCGTAATGACCGAGATTAAGTGAACCGCTACTATGCACTCGTAGATGTCATCGGGGTCCGCTCAACTCCACCAAGGTCACCGGGTATCATCGGCAGATCTCTGCGGGACTTTTATTACACGATGATACGGGGTACGAGTACGGGGTGCATCTACTCCGCAAAGTTTATCGCGACGGGAAGTTAATCTCGATGGACACGAATCCTCTGGGGAGATGGCGGTATCGTCGGGGATGGTGTGTCTATATGATTCATCACCAGAGGCAAAGACTCGAGTTGAGTTGGTAGAAACGTTTCTTTCAACTATTGCTATCGCTACTAGCCTAACCCTAATGGTATAAATATAAAAAAACGCGTAACAAAATTCATATCTTCATAAAATTGTTGTACAGCTTCGTAACCTGTGCTCGGGCAATTTATGCCAAAGGCGCGCAAGTGAAGGGGGATCTAACGGTTCCATCGCGGTATTGGTTTTTCTGTAAACGCATATTAGCATCGTGTTTAGGAGAGTGTGGTGAAGAAGAATAAAACTTACAATGTCAACAGCACTGGCATATGTACCCGCCACCAGCACAACAAGACCAACAATCATGGAAAGACTGCTCAAGATCAAGTGGACAAGGTTTTTCCGCTCAAACATGCTGCCCTCTTTGAGGAGCACGAACCAGAAGATGGCGGGGAAGTAGTAGGTGAAGCCCGAGATGAAGAGAGAGGACGAGATGGCGAGAAGGTCGGAGAAGAAGGGAATGGCCTCGGCAATGACCCAAGCGATAATGGTGAGGACGGCGAGCATGCTAGCCCAGATGATGTACGCCCTAGGAGTGTTGATGTATCGGATGATGGAGTTCTTGAAGGCGCGTGAGAAGATGAAGCGTCCGACGACAGTGCCGTTGATGGATCCCGAGATGAAGATGACGGGCAAACCAATACCGAAAGCAACCTTGGAGATCAGAGGGCCAGCAGAGAGCAGAGCGGGGGACTTGACGTCCGGTCCGACAAAGGCATAGATGACTGCACCGGTGATGGTGTAAATAGCAATCTCGATGAGTCCAAGAGCCCAGATAGACTTCTTGTAGTCCTTGGGGGTGTGCATCTCGTCCATGAAGGAGAACTGGCAGATGGAAAAGCTGTAGGCAAAGACAATGTTGGTAATGGCAATGAAGGCATCGACAAAGGTCAAATCCTCCTTGGGCCAGGCAGACCAGGGCACTGCCGACAGTCCACCATCGTGACTAGCCTTGATACCGGTAGCAATCATGGTGATACCGATGGCAATGATGATTGAGGCGAAATCAATGTAACCCAGGATGGCCATCTCGGTGAAACTGGGAGGAAGCGCCAAGAGCCAGAGGATGATGGCAGAGATCGCCGCAAAGCCTAGAGAGCAGATGGCGTTGTCGGAGATGTTGAGCAAGGCAATGGCACCAGTCAAGCAGTGAGATCCGATGAGCAGAACCAGCTGAAGGGCAAACATGGCTCCAACCAGCTCGTATCCAAATCTGCCAGCGACCAATCTAGCGGCATCGGCATAGTGGGCAACCTCGGGGAACTTGATCTTGACCATGCCGACAAGGTCACTTGTGTAGATGGCAAGAAGACCAAGACCGACAGAGCAGATGGTACCAGCAACCATGCCGAGAGTGGCAAAGGCGCTGGGCAGAGACAAACTACCAAGAGCAATAGCCTCAACGATGAGGACAACGGTAAGACGCTTCCATCCTAGACGGTTGAACTTGTGCTCGCCCGCCGCTGCGATGGCTCTTTCGGCATCCTCGCGGAATTCCTCGCCCGTCTCACCGGTCGCTTCGTCGGAGAGGTTAGGGTTGACGATCTTCTTGCTGTCGTAGCGGCCCTTTTCAGAGCCTGACGGCGAAGTGATGGACGTATCAGACATGTCGGATACTTGTGTGTAGATAATATATCGATAAAAAGGTAAGGAGAGTCAAGTATTGAGAGGAGGGCTGGACGGGACGAGGCCCTGTGTGTATAAGAGAAGTTCGTGGGTAAAGACCCAAAGAGACGGGAGTATGCCTAGGTATAACCCGGATGTGGAAGGAGAGACGGAAAATGGGATCGAGTTGATTGGTACCCAAGGCCGATAGCCAAGTCTTATTTAAACCGCCAAAGTGGATGGATGAGAGGAAAGAGGAAACGAGATGAAAAGTGCGGAGGTGGAGGAAGAGGCAGTTTAATACCCCAAGCAAGTGGTTCGTGCAGATCCAGGACGATCCCCAAGCGCCTCGCCTCGACAAATTACGGAGCAGATAGATAAGGTAAAGTAAGTCTTGAAAGTAAGCGTCGGATTCTGGGTTTGCCATCTGTTACCAGGTCAGGTAAAGGGCCGAAGATGGAGCATGGGCAGAAGCAAGCACGAGTAGGTACCTACTGTATAGCCCAGTACTACCGTACGAGTACGAGGACTCTACTCCTACTCGTCGAAGCAAGCTAATAAGGTTGCAGAGACCAGAGGAGAGGGCCGGGGTGGCCGCGTCGTCGGGGCCAGAAGCGCCACGGATGGAGTGGGCGTAATGGCTAGGTTCTGGCTGTCCCCAAGGTTCGAAGTGTGCGAACGCCTCCGGCCACCGGATCTTTCCACGGCGAGCTGGATGAAAGCTCCGGGTTCGGGGCTGGTTCGGTGCTCCATTATGAGTAGATAAGGGAAGAAACAGCGCGGTAATCCAATGATAATGACTGGTGCGGCGTGATTTGGTTTGGTCGAAGCAGCCTCGTGCATCTAGACTCGGGGCTGGTCCTCCACTTTGGCCAGCACGATAGACGACGCAGGGGAGCATTTCGAGTTGCTCCTCCAGTTCAGCTTCATGTTCCCATTGTCTGTCTGCAGCATCTCCTCCACTTGTTCCCTCTCTCTCACGTCACGCCCTCTCTCCAACTGATCCCTTTAGCTGAGGGTTCTACCCCAGACCTCCCCCGCAAAAGACCATCGCCAGCATCTGGCGTCAGCAACCGCTTCTCCGCATTCTTGTACGTAAAAACAAATCGTGGCCGGTTTGTCGAGGCACATCATGGCGGTTGAATCAGCATTGCGTCTGTACTGCACGATGTATCTCGGGCTGCCGTCTTTTCCGTAAACCGTCCAGGCATGGATTCTCGTTCATGGTGGGTTGTCGTTTGAGAGGAGAGGCGAGTTTCCGCCAAGTGGAGCCCCCCGAGCGGCTCAAGATTTTTTTTCAGGTTCTTGGTTTCTTCTAGCCCCGAACCCAAAACGTCATTGCGTTAAGCGGAGCCCTACAGCGGTCCACCGAGCCCACTGAGGCAACCCACTAACAACTCCACCGAGCCCACTGAAGGCCAGGCGCTGTCCACTCGACACTCGCTGAAGCAGCCCACCGCCGCATACACGATGGATCCTATTGCGACTCAGTGCCAGTTTTGATGTGTCAAGACTCCAGCGGAGATGGCTCGGATGGCCAGGTTTTTTCGTCTTTTCGCTCGAATAATGCCTCGTCGGGCGGACGCTGTGGCCAACGGAGCTTCTCTTTCTCACAGGTATGCCCTGTTCAGGGACAGGTACGAGCACAAGTTGGGGGTACATACGAGTACAGGCACAGAAAAAGGCACAGAGAGATAGCAGCACGGGTTGATACGTGGCCAAAGCTGGGCTGTGAATGACTCTTGTTCCGTCACGGGCGAGTAATTGTAGTCATTGGTATTGGTAAAGGCAAAAAGATCAGACGGATGTCGCTGTCAGCGGCGAAAAGAGGACGGACGGGCAAGGAACTGAAAAAGCGTCAACCACTGACACTGCCGAGATTAGCAGCAGCCCAGCCGCCTAGGAGGGCGAGGGCACCAAGATGAGATCCAATGGCTTGACGGGCAAAAGTTCTGCACACCACCTCTGCGGCATTCATTGCCGGCCGCGCCAAGTACGTGCCTGCGCAAGCCTCACATCGCCCAGTGTGCCAGTCATCGGCCTGATGATGTCTGGCTGACCACGTACATTCCAGGTTCTTAGCCCAGCCCGAGGTACAGATCGGCCTTTTACGGTAACGACGGAGCACAAATTCTCCGGGACAGGTACATACACACAGGCAGCCATACACACAGGCAGCCTGCTACTGACCAGCACAATTCGGGTACCATTTACCGGGCAGACATGGTTCAATCCAATCTAATGTCCTCAAGTCGGCCTAACAGTTGCAACACCTGATGCAAACTGAACTCCTTGTCCTTGTCCGCTACGAATAAGTGGTGCTGCCTCTTTCAGCAGGTCCAGGCCTAACAATCCCCCCTAAGCCTCTTTCATGCCCGCCCCTGTAGGGCCTCCATGGGCCTCTTAGCGAACCTTACGGGGGCCGAGCCGCTGTACAAACCCGGCTGGAACCAATCTCAGCCACATTATCAATGGATTGATCGCTGCTATTTTTCGCCATCGTTTTGTCACCGGAAGTCACCTGCAGTAGCCCCTCTGCCCAGTAACCACATCCGGACTAGCCCCGCGGCGCTACTGCCGACGATCACTTCCATGCGCCTTCTCGAAAGCTACCCAGAACGGAGCTATGCCAAACTCCGTATAATTCGCCCGTAATCTTTTCGTTCTTCGTTGTTCTTTGGCTGTTTGGGATTCCACACGCACCTCTTCTATCTTACCACTCATTGCCCGTCACGCATTATAGCCTGTGCTCCTAAAAACAGCTGACATGCACCCACTCCAACCATCAGCTCTGCTTTAGTTCCAATGGATGTAATCCGAGCCTTATTGTGTGTGTGTGCCTCACGGCTGGCCGCGGAAAACACGGGCATCAACGGGGTTCAAGCTGGCCTGTCTAATTCCGCCCTCTTCATGCCTCCATGTCCTCCATCAGTGCAGTACACACTTCGTATTACTGAATACCTAGCTCCTCGCTTGAATCCCCATACACGTATGCCGCCGTCCCATCTCAGTATCTTACCATTTTGAGCACTGGCCCGGTGGTCCCCGGCTAGGTAGCATCAAAGCCAAGTGCCGTGACATATCCTGCCCCTTGTCCGCAAGCAGCCGTGCGGTGTCTACGAGTCGCTCAGGGTTTATTCCCTGAGATGCCACCTTTACATGCAATAGACGTCCGGATGCCTGCAGACTGCGTCTTTTCCGGATGTCATCCATTAGCCAATGTTACATACGGGAGCGGTAACGAAAATCATACTCGTACCTGCGCAAAGGCCTTGTCGAGCCGCTGCCTTGCCTTGCCCTGCTCTTCCATGATCTGCCATGGAAGAAATTCCGCCTCTCCACATCGATGACCCTTTCCCCGTAATCATCTCCATTGGGCGAATCGTAACGTTCTCCTCTGACTAGACCGGGGGTAGCGCGCGTTGCGGACATTCAAGATGATAATCTGTTATTCAACAGAATCCCCGGGGTCCTAAAAAACCCCGTCTAGAACCCCGGTCTGGAGCCCCGGAAAGACCCTTGAGATGCTATACCCACTGCCTGTAATCGACGCCTTGATATTCGCTTCTTTGGCCGCCTACTGTATGGAGATTCTACCTCGTTACAAGTGTTCTCCACGAGGCTTGAAATTAGTTGCTTCAAAAGACGGAGCGTATATCCTTCCGCTTCAGTGCCAACGTCCATCACACCAATCCCTGTCAAGGGCTTGTGGATATATTTCCTCAACCAAAGAGATCTATTCTCTTTCAAGCATTGGACTATTTCATGTAGCAAACAAATCATACTGTAGCTGAATATTCTTACACAGAATATCCAATTCTCCCCCGCATACGACGAACCGTGTCAAGCCTTGCTGAACCAGGGGTTTGCTCAATAGATCCGGCGTTGCACATTGTCTACACTTAGACAAGATCGTAGACGTTGATGATGCGTACAGTAGAACCACAAGCAACCTTGAGATACATACTGCCGCCAATAAATCCCTGAGAAGACGATTTCAAAAGTTCATTGTGTACGAAAATGAGAGATAAGGAACAAGAAAGGGCAGAAGGAAAGCGGACGTTTAGCATACAGTTGTTGATGGTCCGAGCTGGCGCTGCCTGCTTGAACCAACATGATAATGTCGCATTGATGCCTGAGCTAGGCTTGAATACGAAGTTGATAGACGCACTGGGCAGTGTCTAGCATGATCTATTTCCAAAAACGAGTATCATATTCCGAGTCGAATGCAAGCAAGCATCAATGCTTGACCAGTTGCATGGATTGGAGATAACCGATGGTTCGATACACGTACATGTACTCACAGATATCGAGAAACGGAGATTCGTCAGATGATCATCACACGACATGATGACAGGGTAACCTTGCCGGTTTTTTAGAATGATCAACCATGCTGTCCTTGTTTTGCAAGTGTATAATTGCTTGCGTTGGCTCAAGCAAGTCTGTCTGGCCATGAAGTTGGAGGGTGGCAGCGAAATTTGGAGGCGTGTATAACACGCCCTATCACCCATGCAAGTGCGAAATCCCCGCAAATGATATGAAAGCACTAATCATGGGGTAACAAGGCCGTCGGAATTGTTTCGTGGTATGCGAGTCAGAGTACCTTATCTTTGGATGAATTCAGACACTGCTCTTTGTGCTTTTTGAGTTGCAAAATGCAATTTGATTCTTAGGTTATAGGGTAGCTAAGGTAGTTTGAGATGCAGGCCATCGAGACCAAATATACTTCCTCACCAAAGAGAATACTAGATTGGTCAAATAATGAAGAATGATTATCAAATACTTGGAAATAAACACAAAGTCTCATTGTTTATGTGGTATCGATACTCGCTATTTTCTTGACAATGCTGCATTTATTTTGGTGTTCATGTACTCTGTGATTGAATGCCTCTTCATCAGTGCTTCATGATGCGGCCTTGCAGCTTATGTCATGATTTTTCTCGCCACACGTGCTCCAACTTTGCAATCAACGTCGCAAAAAATCCCTTATCTTATCGGCAGCCCAAATTTTGTGCAGCAATATTGCCCCTCCAAACACCACAAAGAACGGACAATCAATATCAAAATCGTCTTTGCTCTCCGTTGACTGTATTTTCTGTCATCACGACTTCTGTGCTTGTGCAACATTGAGAGCCAGATCCGATAGACGTATAATCTCGCTCAGATCGCTTTACAGACGCCGCCATGGCCGCCCCGTTGGCTCAACCCACTGAGCCATCCGCGACTCCGACTGTCGCAACGGCGAAACCGATTCACAGCCTCGTTCTTGATACTGGTCCGCTGATTAAGAACGATCCTCCTGCCAGTGTTCTCATCGCCAAGGCTGAAAAGCTCTACACTCTCCCCAATATCATCAGCGAAATCCGCGACGTTGCGACCAGATCAAGAGTCGAAACGACGCTTCTCCCATTCGTCGAACTTCGGTCGCCCAGGCCTGAGAGCTTAAAGTTCATTGCCGACTTTGCGAAAAAGACTGGTGATTATGGAGTGCTCAGCAGACCGGATATGGAGGTGCTTGCGCTGGGATACGAATTGGAATGCGAGAGAAACGGAGGTGACTGGAGACTGAGGAACACACCGAACCAGAAGAGATTGAACGGCAGGCCGCAACAAGATAAACCAGCGGAGGAAGCGAAGGAGGAGCAAGCGCAAGAAGAAGAAGTTCAACAGGCCGTAGACACCGAACAGGCTTCAGAAAGCGCAGAACAACAAACAGATGCCCAGTCTGAGCAGCATGCCGAGAACAGCCTCAACGATGACTTGCAGAACCTGGGTCTGGAGACCTCTGACAAGAATGAAGAGCAATCCGCAACGCCTGAGGTATCGGAATCTGTTGAAGAAACCCAGGATTCTACCCCAGCTGTACAGCAGCCCGAAGAGGCCTCAGAAGAGTCTGACGATGAGGGCTGGATCACCCCCTCCAACCTCAAGAAGCAGCAAGCCATAGACTCTGGCGCAAACGGCACCAACGACAAAGCTCCTCCCAAGATTCTACAGGCTGCCATCCTGACCTCCGATTATGCCATGCAAAACGTCGCACTGCGCGTCAACCTCAACCTCGTCACGCCCTCCTTCTCCCGCATCACATACCTCAAGACGTGGGTTCTGCGCTGCCACG